TATATATATATATATGTGTGTGTGTGTGTGTGTGTGTGTGTGTGTGTGTGTGTGTGTGTGTGTGTGTATGTATGTACATGTTGATCTACTGGCATTACCAATTATACTACATTAAGGGAGAGCACTGCCCTTCAAACGGTAATTAGTAAGCCACAAACTACTGTTGGATACAATCAATCTTGCAGGGATACATTCATCAAACATGCGACCCCAAGCTTCTATTAGAAATCTGTACATGTTTTGCTTTCATATTATAATTATGGCATAAACATAGGTTAGCAAAATGCGGATTCCAATATATACTAGTAGATTAAGTCCTGTAGATCAGCTAATCAGACAATACCTGCAATGTTTGAAGATTCCAGCTGTCTTCTCACAGACTCCACCAGCTGCTCCGTGGGAGTTGAAACGCCGCTGTCTGGTCCTTCAGCACTGTAAGCTCGCTTGTAATGGCCTGGGAGGAAAAGGAGGTAAATACTTACATTTACGTTAAGTAACAATTAGTTGGCCAATGCTAATACATGTAACTTGCATTGCTTTTGTACTCTTTATCGTTTCAGTCTAAAAGCTAATTCAGTTTTTTACTCTAAAAATGGCTTTTTTTAGCAACCTTTTTTTTCATGTTCGAAATGTTTGACCTTACCCAACGTCAGTTCTGCCACAGGTTCCTTTCCACCATCTTTAACCTCCTTCAGCAGTTCCAGGTTGAGTCGCGAGGTGGTGCTGTTGTCCCAGATGTCTGCACTGACTTCCACCCGGAACGGCTCGTAGAGTTTGTTAGTGTCGAAGGTGTCCTCAAACATGAGACGCTACAATGAATATAAAGTCATTTATGATACAATTTAAACATTCATTACGTATCAACATAAGCACAGGATCCTTCTTCTTTCTTGTTTTCAGTATAGAATAAAATAAAGTCCGTGATGTGCTTCATCATTAATCACCATTGATCATGCGGTGGCAAGGCAGTATTTATTGGCCAGAGGAGTGTCGGTGGCTGATGGGAACTCCTCTGGCCAATGGATACTGCATTACCACCGTATGATCTGCTTGGAGATTACTTAATCATATGTCGTTGCATGTGTTTTGATTTCAGGTTTTTATATTCGTTCTAGTTCTGTGATTAAGAACTGTTGCTATGATTTCATGATCAGTAAACCCCACGATCTAATACGTACCTCCGGAGATGAAGACAAAAACATGTCTTCACCATTTGTTACAGTCCCCTCTAGGTGGTAGAGTTCGCCTGGCTTCAGTTGGCAGGTCTTGTAGTCGCAGGGCGCGAAGTTCCACTTGTTCTCATTCTTCTCAAGGGCCTGAAATAAAAAATGACATTATAATTGTAGGAAGATACGAGTATTCAGTCAATAATCGCCATTGATTAAAGAAGCAACGGAAAAGGAATTCGACCCGAATGTTCAAACACTATCATGTATAGGACTCCCCTTTTGTAGGATCTTTGTGACATGTTGGACACAATATTAACTAACGTTGAAACGTTGAAGTCAACCACAAAGGCTCGTGTCCTAGTTTTTTTTTTTTATCTTTATCATTATCTAGGACAGAAATTGACTTCAGGATTATAATCCGACGGTTAATTTGAAGAAGACAGTATACATGTAAAGAATTTACAATGGGAAATTGACGTCGATCTATTCTTAGAAGGTACCCACCTCTTGCACGGTATTAGTGTTGGAGACGATGTAAACTTTCAGCTTGGAAATTTTGAAGTCCTTTAAAGATGCAAAGGCCATCAGTAGTCCATTCCTAGAAACACTCAGGACCTTCTCTGTCCTCCCCACAATCCCGAACAGACTGCCTTTCTTGAACCTGGTGACGGCGTGGGAGGGGGTGAGTTCTGTAACCGGCAGCAGCTCGACGGAATCTCCCACCACGTGCACCACTTGCAGGTCTTCTGAGGCCAGGCCTAACGCAACAGCAGAGTTAGAAAGGAATCAGTCATGTATAAGAATAATTCAAGAGAAAATGACCCACAGAGTTTGGGCATCATTACATTTTTTTTTTATTCAGTCCCTGTTGACGTGGCAGAATTCATACTGCCTTGCAAAAACGCTCTCAGCATTCTCGGTTAGTGTTGTTCTTCCTTACCTGTTGCATCAGTCAGGTGCAGCACGTGCGGCAGTAGGATGTCCACCGGCCCCTCCGCGTCCTCACACTGGATGGAGAAGAGCGGACCCACCGGCATCCATTCCCCCACCTGCGGCCAGCGGTCGGACCAGTTCGCACTCCTGTATGTCACGTGCAGCGGGTAGGGCGTCACCACGCCCAGGTCGGTCCGTCTGCACAGGTACTTCCCTTCACCTGGCAGGCGGAGGGACCTGAGGAGATCAACACAAAAACACAGGTATTGCAGCCAGGTGTCGATCATGAAGGTGTGACATGGCGGGTACCTTTACCGTTTTTGTTGTTGACTTGATGTGTATAGCCGAGTGTTATAGATGTCTACTCACCAGTCTGTGTCTCCGGTCATCTCAGGACTGACCTCTTGTAACGGCAAGGCATCGCGGTATTCCTGGATAAAACCGATAGTACATGTACCTCTTGTTTTATGTAAACAGCGCATTAATGAATTGTGTTTAATACATTTTTCATAATTTAGCTGACTTGAAAAACAACAGGATCACAATAAACAAGAATTCTATTTGTCACGCTTACATGTTCATATATGGCCAAAAAAAACTGCTCTTGTTAAAACGTTGAAAACCTTAGGATGTCATTTGTTTTGTAGTAAAGTATGTATACAAGAAAGTATAATTGTTAAGTTAAAGAAAATATAAACGATGCATATGATTGGGATTTGCTGCCTTACCTTGTGAAATGATATGAATAAATGAGCTCACGACTGATAAGACCATTAGCCCACCTTGTACACCCCCTGTACGTCTTTAGCCAGGTCCGGTTTGCCGATGTTCTGCAGTGTTTCCTCCAGCTGCGGCAGGTAGTGGAGCGGTCCGTGGGGGGTCTTGGTGCGCCAGGCCTTCAGCATCTGGAACGCCTTCTGGGTAGATGTGCTCCCCTGTATGTTATCCAACACGGACCTGTTCAGTCCCAGCTCCTGTCCCAGCCGGGTCCACAGCTGCCACTCCTCACCAACAGCCCAGCTGACCTGGTACAGCCGGTTGTCTGGACAGAAAGGGTATCAATCATTCAATGTTTCATCAACATATATCAACAAGCTGTACTTATGTAACTAAGGTATTGGGGAGAGGGAACAAGAAAAATATTGGAATATTTCTTTAAGTAGTAAGATGGTGTTAGAAATTATTAACCTGTGTGAAACATTTTGATGTAACAGTTTTTATACTACTAATAGATAGAAACATTCCTCATACATACCAATGAAGTACTTGCCAATGACGTCTGTCGGTTTTCTGGTGACCGGAGGTGGCCCTTCCCAGCTTCCCCTGGACATTCTCATCAAGTCCCCCGGCACGTGACGCCTCACAGCCTCTATAGGGAGGGTCTTTGCTGTTTCCCCGCTTCCAACACTGTTACTGGAGTACAAGGCAGGAAACTCGTCCCAACAGGCCTCTATCTCCCTCACTACCGTCTGAGCCCGGCGCCACGCCTTCTCCGGCTCTCCCCGGATGCGGATTTCTTCTCTTGTAGCGGAATGGCGGTACATGACGTCTTCTGAGTTCTCTCCAACATGAACGACAACTGTGTCCTTGGCGAGGAGACGGCGTGTGGTCTGCTCCATGGACAGGATACGGGAGACCATGGTTTCCGGTAGACCCAGAGGAGGCTCTTGGCTGTACTCTATAGTAAGAGAGATCTCCTCTCCGCCTGATGGCACAACCTCTGGCCAGCAGTGCGCCACCTCGTCAGGCTGGGCGGCAGGAAGCTCTGTTGGAAAGATCACCGACCCTGAGTAACACAGGCCAAAGTGCTTCATCAGGGGAAGGAGACTGTTGAAGGTGACAATGTTGTCTCCAAGCAGGTTCTTCATGAAACTGTCGCTGGCCCTGCCCGTCTTCAAGAAGGACGCCCTGTCTTCAGCAAACTGCGCTCTGGTATGCTCAGACAGAGATTCGGCTATGCTGTCCAGATATGCCGGTAGGTCATGCCTGAAGATCTGCTTGAAGAGTGTGAGGATGATGGTTGGGTCCGGGAAGACCAGCTCTTCCATCCCCCTGATGTGTTTGTAGAACAGGATCTGTCCGGTCACGTGCAGATAGCTGAGCGCGTTCAGGACGTCTGACTCCTTCATCCCTGCAGCTGCTCCGACGTCCTGACAATCCCTGACTTGAAGGTGGGTCCGCCCTGTCGCCTGGATGTTTTCTGACAGTTTTGTCCAGGAAGTCGGCAGCTCTTGGCGGGCAGCAGGGAACAATCGCTCGTCCTTCACCATTTCTGCCATCTTGTCGCACAGAGCTCCGATACCCTGGAACGTCTTGCTGCTGACCGGGATAACCTGTACGTTCAACAGACCTTTGGGTCGTCCGTCCAGTAACTTCTCCAGTGACTCTTCCTTGACCAATATGTCGTCCCTTGTGAGACCGTAGAATGGCTCGGGCATGTCTGATCCGCTGTCCACTGCATCTACCGCGTTCTGACAGAGTTGGATCTCTTCTTTCAGCTTGGCTTGTATTTTACTCTCAGCGCCCTGGATGTCTCTCTGGATGGAGGAACAAGCTGCTTCTATCATCTCCTCGGCCTTGTCTGGCGGAAACATGTCAACTTTGGTTCCTACAACAAGGATAGCCGGGTTGAAGACGTGGGAAGTCACGGATGTTAGCCACGTTCCCACTCGTTCCTGGAACTCTTCTGACTTGTATGCTGGCAGGTCTACATTGAGGATGTGCAGGGCCTGACGTGTCAGGAAGAACCGGTGCGTGTAGTGGTAGATCTGGTGACCTCCGAAGTCGTACATCGCGTACTTGACGTTATTCTTGGTGTCATGGAAACGGATGACGTCTACACCGATGGTTCTGTCAGTTTCAGTCTCCACGTGACCTTGACCCTTTATCATACAGTTGAGCAGACTGGTCTTCCCTGCCTCCGTCTGTCCCAGGAACACGCCTTTGACTTCCAAAGGTGTTGTGGTGTCGTCCGCATGCGCTCCGGGATGACGTAGCTGTTTCATCGCGGTTGCTACTGTAGGAACGGTTACATGAAGTATGCTAACTACAGTAGACAGCACACAAATATATTACATAAATATTTCTGTGGTATCTGGACATATTTTCTAGTCGTCCCTCCTCTTGAAAAATAAAGATTACGAGGTGTAAGAAACTTGATATAAAATATAACTTAGGAATTGCTTTGAACTGTTCTTGTAAAACAGCCAATACATATAACATGTAACACTTCAGTGATGTTCGAGTTGGGTGTATGGAAATACAGATCGGATATCATTTGCTAAAGTACACGACCATACTCTAACGGGAGAATCACGTAGTAATTGTATTTTTAAGGTCTTAATATTTGGAGAATGGCCTGTCATAACTGTGTCTACCTTGACTTTGCTGCTGTGTGAAAGGTCCCGTCTGTGCCGTTTGTTGACCAGGTTGTGCCGCCTGCTGTTTCCCGATTTGTTGACCAGGTTGTGCCGCCTGCTGTTTCCCGATTTGCTGACCAGGTTGTGCCGCCTGCTGTTTCCCGATGCCGCAGAACCGCTCCGCGTCCCGCTCCTGTTCCTCCATCTCCTCCGCCAGGAAGTCCTGTCCTTCCTCCCGCAGGACCCGCACTAACCAGTTGTACGGCTCCTGACGCCTCCTGTCATACAGCAGCATGGCTACCAACCGCTCGGCCCGGCTTGCTGGTGTCGGCTTCGTCTGGGGGGGGGTGATTTTTAGTACATATTTTAGTACTTCGTGTTTTCGTATCCGTCCTGTATGTGTAGTGGTCGGGTTTAAACAGAGATGAAGAGCTCGAGCGTAGGTAACACAATATACTGTGGTAGATATTGACTGAAGGCGGTGTATTGTTACTCAAAATATGCTAGGCGTATATCGGGTGGCATCAAATGGCCTTTTTGCGAGTTTTGTTTTCCCAGAATTCCACGCGGTACAATATGGTAAATACAGAGTAGAGTCGGGCGTATAAAAGCTTTATCAGTGTGAAGTACAGGTGTTGTTATCAAGCTATATAATTATAAAGGCTTAAACACAATACTAATGCAAAGTACATGTGACGTTGTTTCTTATGTTGTTATCGTGACTGAAAGGTGCCGGTTCCACCATGTAACTTACCTGGATAGACCGGACGGGTTTACCCAAAAGATATTAAACACAATACTAATGCAAAGTACTTGTGACGTTGTTATGTTGTAATGGAGGCTGAGAAGTGCCGGTTCCACCATGTAACTTACCTGGACAGACCGGACGTCAGCCGGACTCAGCTGGTTCTCCTGTTCCAGCCGTGAGAGAACAGCAGGGAGGTTCATGTTGTCAGACAGGAACGCACGAGTGTCGCCCAGGGCCCACCGGCACGGGAACCTCAGTTCACCTGTGGAGATGAACAGACAAACGGCATGCGTCAGTCAGGCCTGACTCGCTCTATGTAGAGACATCATATCAGTATACAAAGTGTTGAGGCATATATTTCATAATCGTATTGCTACTATACAAATATATGATAACCTTACAGTACAAGATAAAAGTAACAAGTATATCTCATGAAGAGCTATACTTATGACTCAATTTTTCTAATTTCTAATTTTATGTGCCTAGAGGTCACATCTCCTATTCACTAAGTATTCCGTCTCACATCCGGGATACGTATTCGAGCAGTACAGAAAACTAATAATTTCCAAACCACCAAATGCCTTCTGTGTGATTGTTCTTACCCTTCTGTGTGATTGTTCTTACCCTTCTGTGTGATTGTTCTTACCCTTCTGTGTGATTGTTCTTACCTTGTATGGGTAAGTGAGAGCAGTAGTAACTTTTATCTATAATTGACAAAAAGAGCCCATATTTATTGCGTTATTTAATAGCCATGATATGTCCACCCTCACCTGTTTGTCTGCAGAGCGCGTCACGCACATCCAAGGCGATCCCTATCATCCCCTTGACACCACTGCCGGGCATCGTCTCCTCAACCCTGTCCCGCTGGACCCGCCTGGCCGGCGCCTCCAGGGTTGGGTACTGCCGGCTGACTAACGTACCGAACTCACGGAAGTCATCCTCGTTCTGGTCCAGCCAAATGACGTATCGAGGCTTGTTGTTCCTGACGGCAGTTTCCAGTCTGACCGTGAGCGAGGACTGGTCAGCAAGCAGGTGTCTGCTGATCACGGGCACGACAAGTTTCACGCTGCCGAGGGTCAGTGTGGACGTGAGCTGTGCGCGGCTGATGGCATCAGGAGCACCTGTGACCTGCTGACAGGATATGGCTTCCTGGGGTAGATTGTAATACTCGCCCAGACCCATCAGCCTCTCCACCAGCCTCCTGACGAACTCCTCGTCCTCTGCTGCGTGCAGGATGGCAACACGCGGACCTGGTAGGAAACAAAAGGTTCACAATGAATAGGTATAAGTTTAAAATAACAACACGTAAACGTTTATTATACCATAGCCATTTGCCTTTTTTGTACACTTCACCTTTTATATTTTTTACACCAAGAAGCACAGTATATGTTTTCTGTCCAATCCTATTAAATCTATGTGAATGAAATAAATGAATAAATACCATTTTCGTGTATTGGAACTTAAAACATTTTTTTATCTATTCATTTCGCACAAAAAAACAAGATACAATTAGTGAAGTAAATTAAATTAAAAACATTCTGCAGGAGAGGATGAAGCCTTAAAGGCTTGTACAAGTCCTTCTCCTTAAACATAACAAAACAATCACACTTAAACTGATTAACTGAAATCCTTAAATGAAAATCAAGGCAACTGAAGAGAAAATATCAACAAATCGTACATACGTAACCATTATACAGTTAAAAACAAAATTATAGAAAGATAAAATAATGAAGAAAATAAGCAACACTTGAATAAATCAATTCAAGAAGTATGGCAGGAATTAAGCTAATAGAATGTTGGATTATTTGAAACATTGATGCGGAACTATTATTATACGTTTTAGTGTCGGCATTGAAAGTTAAAATTTGCCAGGTTTAAGATTTACTTTGAAGTGAACCGATGTAGCCCACCTGTCTCCATGGTGATTGACAGTCGTGACGTCAGAACAGGAAAGTCAGACCTCCGGTAGGACGAGCCGGACAGACGACATCCCAGACTGCGGGGTTCCTACGCGGGCGGTGACACGATGTCGTCATTCTGGTGGTGTTACACATTTAAGTCAAAGTTTATTGCGCAATAGTTGCATCTCATACAATGTATGGCAAATAACACTTAATTACCACAAACTATTTCTACTAGCGTACTAACTAAGCGAACTTTAATCAATCAATACATGTACATGTTATGATGGAATATTACATTTCACATTGTTATAATTAAATGGGGAAGGTCTCCCCTAGTTGTATAAAGTACACCAACTTATAAATAGCTGTACACTATTTATACTAGCGTACTTACTAAGCTAACTTTATCAATCAATCAATACATGTACATGTTATGATGGAATATCACATTTCACATTGTTATGATACCACTAGGGGTGACCTTCCTCATTAAATGATAATCATTAAATGAGAAAGGTCACCAGCATCCCTAGTGGTATAAAAAAAGGGTCTATTCTGTATCTGTATCTGTATCTGTATAGCCGGTATAACCGCCTTTCGGCGTAACACACCAGCTATTGATGTTGGTCGTTCTATGCCTGTCTATCTATCTATCTATCAATTTATCTACCTATCTACCTACATGTATCTATCTACCTATCTTTATCTCTATCTACCTATTTTACCCACCTGTGTATATAACAATATATGTATCTAATCCATTTCATTCTATATTTACCTGACCTATCAATCTAATATCTATGAATCCAACTTTCTTCTTGTCTGTCCATCCATCTATCTATTTATCCATCTATTTTGTGCTTCTGCCATATACAAGCCCATTGCACCGGTTTACGAACGCCTTCATACTTCCATTGATCTAGTACTGTATGTCCCGTGCGCGCTGCCGTTAGTGTACTTTGGACGTGTGGACCTTGGAACGTGTGGTCACGGGTAGCTCACGAGTTCGGTCCGCCATTTTGTGGCGTGCAAATAACAGGGAAGTTATCTCCAAGCAGATCTTTCGGTAGCCAGCACAGTATCCAAGCAAAATGCAAGCAATGTCCAAATAGGTTACCAAAGCTTAGGTATCCTTTCGGATATACATTTACTGTCGTGCCTCCTGGACCGATGCTGTCTTGGCTACCGTAAGATTTGGTTGGAGATACACATGAAAGTACAACTACGCCTGAGTACCCACTTTGTTGTCTGTGATGCCCAAACGTTCTGACATTTCGCGCTAGCTACCACAAAACAAGTCTTGCAAGACCCACTGTACATTTAAAATCAGTCCAGGTCCATTCGTATTGAAAGTATAGAATTTGTGATATTATGACCGTACCCATTTTGGAAAATAAACAGGGAGATATAACGTAACTTCTATCAGAAAATGAACTTCCATGGTACGATTTAATGTTGCTCCCTACACCTCCTAATATGTTTATTATCAACACTTCTGTCGCACATATGAAGGGTTTTATCATGCATATAAAGATAAACGTCAGTTTTGTTTGGTTGTAATCGAACATACATATAGAACAGCCATGAGTGTATAACAGGTCAACTGTAAATGACAAATAAAGTGCTACCCTATTGTCACATGAGGAAAGAAAACACCGATTTATATGATATGTAACTTAAAACGCTAACTTAACAACAAAACTAGTACTGTACGAAGTGTTTGATACTTACGGTTACCTGTTCTGTCCAATGTACCTGTGCCCAGGTGTGCTCCTTAAGGAAAATGTCCGCCCAAGAGAAGGGGACAAGTTTGAAGGTTATGGGGGGGGGGGTGTTGGAGAGGAACAAGAATCTACCTTGACATTATCTACCTTGTCATTGTCTAGTCACACACGCAACAACAATGTACTTTTTAATTAAATATACATCTTGTACAGTGTGACAAAACAAAGTGTGTGCCATTTTTGTTGATTTTAGTTGGACAGCCTCTGTAAAGTTTACCCCAGACTTGGTTCGTATCCGAAGTTAAGCATTAACTAAATTTGCCAACATCATCAGGTTGTTTTGCACACGTTTCGTTGCGGCCGTGTAGAAGCGCCGGCTGGCGACATCTTAGTGAAATGCAGCGCGATAGAGCAATGCTTGTAGTTTTACAAAGGACTGCGAGGAGCGTTTAATACATGGGCTGCCCAACATGTAATACTTCTTTACAATCACATTATACCCGTTCCCAGCTTTCAGGGTCTTGGGTTCTGTTGTTTACCGTTAATCTAGAGTTTGGAGAGCCGGTCAAAGTTCAGAGTACTTTCAGTGCACTATTGTGTTCACAATTCTACTAGTAACTTCGAGCATGGAATTGACACCATTCACGCAAATGGTGAATTAAAGAAAATAAGTCAACAAAACTATCAGTAGACATTGCGGACCAACTTGTATAGTTGTTCTGGATACTAGTATATTGGGCTACTAATGGCTACTGAAAGAGCATCAAGACGCCAAACAAAAGATACGGGCATTTACTAAATACTCTTCTACTTGAGGACCGTGCCTCCGAACTTTACAATGTGCTATATACATGTACCTTGCTGGGTGGGTCTCAGATATTTCCAACTCTATTCTCGTTTTAAGTGACAGAAAGTGTGTAACTCTACTATTTGACATATGTTGTCTGCCATATGAAGTTGTCGCCCTACAAATTACTCTGTAAGATTGCACGGAATTCTCCAAGGACTTTAAAACAGATACCATAGCCACATGTTCTATGCCACAGTCCCTCGGTCATTCAGAACGTCAAAGTCCCAACAGTGTTTCCACAACTTTGGTAACACTTGATAACGTTACAATATAATGAATTTTCCAGTAAAATCCTTCCCGTACCAACGGCAAGTGTTTCTAATGGCTTATTGTGTTATTGACCTCGTGACTTCTTCAGAACTAGAACTGAATCTGACTTTGTGTGCCTCTGTGGACATTGCTGCAAAACAGCTGACATAAACTCTATTCGGTACCTCAAAATGTTCACAATTCTTGCCGACTGGGTGCGGAAGACTCACAAATCCACGCTAACAGCAACAGGCATGTAACTGCCAAATTCTACCTCTCGTGTCTCTGAATCCGTTATTGTGGTATTGCTGACATACCTTCCATATCATATCTTAGAAAGTCCACAACTATAGCCGACTGCGTGCGGAAGACTTACAAATCCACGCTGACAGCAACAGACATGTACACATGTAACTGCCAACTTCTACAGTAACTTTTCTTGTCTCTGTATCCGTTATTGTGGTATTGCTGACATACCTTCCATATCATATCTTAAAAAGGCCACAATTATAGCAGACTGGGTGCGGAAGACCCACAAATCCACGCTAACAGCAACAGGTCGTACCCAGTCTGTCTTCACCGCCAGGAACTCTGGTGTGATACCTTAAGCCATGATAGTAAGGCCCCGTACGTAACTGTTGTGCGAGTTCTGTGGCTGAAGCAAGCTGTTTGTACAGTTTTACAGCGTGCACGCCGAGTAGTTTTGTTAGAGTCCAGAAGAGGACTGAACGGTGGAGTTCAAATCAAGACAAAGGTGGGTCGCCATATTCCTTCCTGTAACACAGGCGAGACACTAGATATCACAGAATGTGCATCTGTCGGAGTTATAACAACCAAACCTTCCTGTGTCATCACTGGCCAGCGTTTCTGTGAAATTCCGTAAGTTATGGTCACCAGCAACGGTTGATACTTAGGCAGGGTAGCTGGCCGATATCATCGCTTCTTTCCAAGTTAACAAAATTGCAGCTGGCGGTTCACGATTCACTCAGTGTATGGTAGTCATGGTAACGGTAAAATGCCGCTTTCTGGGCCTCTACCATGTACGGTTCATACCCTATGTTACAGCCCTATGTTACGACAGCCCTATGTTACGACAGCCCTATGTTACGACAGCCCTATGTAACGACAGCCCTATGTTACGACAGCTATTGTTATTGTTATTGTTATATGCTGACGAACAATTGATGTCGGCGCCTTTCGCATACGTTAATCTCATTAAAACCCGTTTTTCAAGTTTACATCCGGTAAAATGTATTCACAAATATTTTTCCTCGAACAAAATCATATCGGATTTGAAAATTCTCTTTTGGGAGTTACGTTTTTGATGGTCTTGTAGCGGGCAGGTTGCATGAAAATCCACGCCGCAGTTCGCCATCCACGCCGCTGACACTTCCGGCTTGTTTGAGTACGCGAAAGACACCACAAATCGGCATATGGATACATACGTTTTCTTAAAAAATTCTTAATAATGAATTTCTTTAATGGAATGTTACTTAGTAGAGGTAGAAACACCGTAGAAAGTAGCGCAGTGTAAGTCTCTTCGCCAAGAAACAATTTCTGCAGCTCTGCCGGCAAAGATGGCTCTATCCAATCAGAGAGTAGGTCATATGAGGTCAACCAATCAGAGCGTAGAGTTCACGCTGCTACTTACATATTAATGAGAAAATGGCGCGTATTTTCTTCTACGGCGAGGTAGCGAATGCGTGCTGCAAGTTATTTTCTGGCGATTTTCTGACTTTTAACACCGCTTTTTCGCACGCTACGATCACGCTACCATTTGAAATACTGGAGACAACAGATGAGTGATCATTTTACAACCAAGGAACACTTTTGTTGAATAAAACAGCAATGAAAGTTACGATACAGCCAAATTATTTTCAAAATTTGTCTCGTGTATGAGAGATAGGATGACGCTTCTTTACGTGTTTTGATGTATTTTTGGCGTGATATAAACTAGTAATTTGTAGCGGAAATGTTGCTAGTACGGAAGAAGTACGGACGAAGCAAGGCTCTTCACTATTAAAATCCAAAATACAAATTAAAATAAATACAATACTGTGATACAGCTGACATAAACTCCGTCTGGTATCTAACAAGGGATGTAACTGTTGCTGACTGGGTGTGAGAAATGCAGAAAATCACGTTTACAGCAGCAGACTGTGCAGTCTGTCTGACCAGACATTAACATAAATAACATACTATTTACATTGATGATACTCCAGCCCCTGAATCGTAGTTCTTTTCCTTCTGTCTGTATAGATCTTAGCCTTCCCCGATGGGAAGAAAATTTGAGTTTTCAGATATCTTCTTGACAATATGCAATGGGATTTTAAAACGGTGTGTTTGTGTATAAGTTGTGTTTTCATTTCAAATGACTACCTTGGTGCTTATTGTAGTCATGGCAACGGTAAAATGCCGCTTTCTGTGCCTCTGTGTGCAATACTGTGATACAGCTAACATAAACTCCGTCTGGTATCTAACAAGGGATGTAACTGTTGCTGACTGGGTGTGAGAAATGCAGAAATTTATGTTTACAGAAGCAGGCTGTGAAGTCTGTATTACCATACATTAGCATAAATAACATGCTATTTACATTGATGATATTCCAGCCCCTGAAACATCGTTCTCTTCCTTTTGTCTGTATACCAGAATTTAGATCATAGCCTTCCCCGACGGGAATAAAAGTTGAGTTTTCAGATATCGTCTTGACAACATGCAATGGGATTTTAAAACGGTGTGTTTGTTTCTCGGTTGTCATTTCAAATGACTACCTCTTGGTGCTTATGGTAGTCATGGTAATGGTAAAATGCCGGTTTCTGGGCCTCTATGTGTGCAATACTGTGATACTGCTGACATAAACCCCGTCTGGTATCTAAAAAGGGATGTAACTGTTGCTGAATGGGGACTATAAATGCAGAAATTCAGGTTTTTAGCGGCAGACTCTTCCGTCTGTCTGACCTACCAATTGTTTTAGTCTCTCACCGCGATCGTGTTGGCAGTTTGAATTACACCAAATTCTCTTATCGTTACATACAGTATTGTGGTTCATTTAACTTTTTAAAACAAAGGTTCAACATGAATGATACACTTCTACGGCGATTTTATTTTTGTGCTAGTCGTTTCCAAAAAATCCAGTCCTTTAGGTGCAAGAAAGAAATCCCTATGAAAAAGATCCCCCGATAAAAAGGCCTAAAACAATCCAAAAATAAGCCAAAACCCAAACTTCTACTTGGAAAGTGTAGGATCATGTAACATATCCATTGACTGTGATCGATGAATATGGTGATCATTTGTTAGCACATTGGTGTTAGGTCCCTACATGTTACAACTGATACATGATCTAGACTTTAGAGAAATGATTTCTACTTTATTTCGCATACTGTAAGCTGATAGACCGAGGAAGCATCTTTGGAATCAGCAAATGAAAGGTTGAAAGTTGCCAATCACAAAATGTTAGATCATCGACAAAGTCTTACTTTCATACATGCAAATATCATTGAGAAAACACACGTAATACACAAATAATATCCATGCAAATTAGATACCCACAACAAAATGTTAGTTCATTTATAAATGTTATGTCCATTATAAGGTTAGAAGGAGAGTTTGTTCTGTAAAAAAATTAACTGAAACCTAAGGCTACAGTGTGGGTGGTTCAGTTTCAGTGTGATCAAAGTTCAGACATTATAACTGAATTGTCCATTGCTCCAAAGGAACTAATGTGATTTGGTAACAGCATCAATACATCTGTAGAGTATGGTAATTTATTTTTCATTACTCTAGTTGCTAGCATCGTCTCAGGAAATGGGAGGCAAATCGTGTATTTACAATTCCATGACGTCAGTGGTCTCTGTTGTCGCTAGCTGGATCGTCAGTCCGAGCCACCGGCTTCGGCACCTCCACCCTGCGCTTGCGCACCGGCGGCGTCTGTAAAGTAGGTGTGGTCAAATGATGAAAAAATTTACTATGGAAGACAACGGATAGGGGTAAAAAGAATCGTTATAGAAAACAATGGATCATCGTATATTGCTCAGTTACTATTAAAATCATCGATCACCATTGTACTATCAATGGAAACACTGAAAGTTCATACATCCATAGTATTTATCTTTGAAAGAAGTTAAAGTTTCTTACCAGTGATGCCGCAGGCCTGTAGGAACTTCTGGTGAGACTCTTCCCAGTACTTGGAGGTCAGCAGTTTCTCTCTGAAGGCGCGTGCTTCCTCGAACTCTGCCTCAACATTCTCAATGACACCTTCAATCTTTTCTGCCCACTTGTCTGCATCAGCGTCGGTCGCGGTGTCTCCCTTCATCTTGACGATGCAGTGGCGGAATGTGGGCTGATACTTCTTCGCCAGTTGCTCCACCAGCTCTGCAAGGCCCGAGTGCTCCGAGATGAGGACGGGAACTCCTGCCGCGATGGCCTCCAGGCCGACCAGTCCGAACGGTTCGGCCCGGGACGGCATCAGGACCAGGTGACAGTTCTCCATGTCTCGGCGGATCTCCTCCTGAGTGCCGTACGGGAGAAGGGTGGGTTTGACCCGTCCGGATCTCAGCTTCTCATCCAGGATTCTCTTGCTCTCCTTGAAGTCGTTCTCATCGATGCCGCGGACTCTCAGCCTCAGTGTGTGCAGATGGTCAAGCCGCAGTGCCGCCTTGTCTACGCCTCCAGCCGCCAGGTCGTGCCCTTTCAGCCTCTCCACATTTCGCACCCTGCCGATGGACAGAATCACTCTCTCTGGCTTTCGGGCGCCACCTTCTTCGCCAAAGCTCACTGCTGCGCGACTGAACACCTTTGAAGGCTCCGGTAGGAAGATGTGGTGATCCACATTTTGCCGACGGAGAAACTGGTTGAAGTGGCGGTGAATGCGCGCTCCTACCGAGAAGACGACATCAGCCTTGCCAATGTCGTCCTGGATGCTGGCTTCCTTCCTCCCCACACCCAGGGCCTTCTCGTCACTCTTGTAGTGCTCTGTCTCCTCTGGTGCCACGTGACCGAACATGGCGAGTTTGGCGCGTGGAAATCGCTCTTCTTTAATCTTCCTCGCTGCTCTGCTGGTGACGTCAACATGACCCACGATGCAGCAGATATCTGATGGAATGTGTGGGAAGTGGACACTGTGGTACACAGTCAGCCACTCTAAGGACGGCTTGGCGCTGCTGTCGGCATCAAGGCGAGGTTTGAGGAGTGTCACTCCGTCTCGTTCTGCATCCCTCTCGTCCTGTTCACTTGCCTCCAACACGGTAACGTAGACCCTGGCGCCGGCGGCGGCGAGCTTGCGCGCGGCATCTAGGTTGATGGTGGAGATTCCGCCCTTCGACGTGCCGTACTCGGTGCTGACCAAGAGTACTAAAACGCTGACTGGATTAAAATGCATAGGTCAGCTTCACAAGGTAACATTTCTTATTACATTATCGTTTGAAATTACAAAGTTCAATGTTTATATTTTTCTTGCGGTATATAATATTCTGCATTTAAATTTTCCTCTCATTTGGACAATTTGTTGCCTAGATTGTTGATTCAATTTGTTGATCCAACTATCCGAGTTCTAACCAGAACTACTGTACATGGACATTGTAATCAATATCTCATTATTCCTGTACCGCTTTGAACATTCTGATGTTGTCAATGAGAGACGTGTTCAAATATAATGTTTATCATCATCAAACGAGCGCATTTCTAAAATCTCACCTGTGGAGCTTCCCTTTGTCCTTATCGCAAGGGACACGTCTGTGCGTCCCTGGTCAGTACTTTTCATCTTTTTGCCTGTTGAGAAAACATCAGCATGTGAAAATATAAATAAATGCTGTTTTGATTACGAGTATGTATACGTACGTTAGTTGCAAAACATGCAGTTGATAGGAGCTGTTTTAGTTGTGATTTTTTCGTTGAAGTTACAGCAAGGATGCAACAGGCTGTAATTCGACAGTTTACCCACTTTCTTCCTAATTTATTACGTTCATTTTAAGATGAAAGTTTGCTAAGTTGGGTAAGGCTACATCGATGCTCATACCTTTCTTTCCTGACCCACTCTCTCCCGCCCGTGTCCGGCTGGACCTCCTCTTCCTCTGAGGACGAGCGGCAGCCCCTCCGGCACGTCCGCTCTCTTCTTGGGTAGCAAAACCCGGAGCATCTGACTCACCTCTCAGCGCACGTCTTCCTGCTGGTTTAATATTATACAATAATAATTCATTTTACAGAGAAATGTTAGCCAGCAATAATATTGTCATGATACACCTTGATCACATATCTGTTGGTGAAACATCTTGGACGCTTAAAGTATCTCTAGTTTAGCATGAGATGCCCTCTAGTTGAACTTGAAGGTTTTATGATGATTGTTTAATTGATAATACATTTCGGATTAGACAAATGGATGTGCTTACAGCTGCCTGGTTGATGAACGTCGACTCCCCAAAACGCCGTGCCCGCAGGCTCAGAGGACAGCCCGCTGTCGCTCTCACCGCTGTCCGTGTCCGGAAACTGCGATCCTCGTCCTGAGGCTTTGGGGACAATTGTGCAAAATGGTGGGTGATTTCTTTGTTGTTACTGCATGTGATTTGCGTCTTACTTTCTAATCATGCAATGATAGTCCAAATTACCATCGTGTCTCTCAAGCTCAAGACTTGTCAAGATTGGGCAAAACCAGAAACCAAATACACAATTGAAAGTATCCAAAGACTAAGAACTACCTTTCATCCTCTCGTTGACCAAAAGAATGTCATCAAAAGTGAACTCCGTACCTTTGGTGGTGATGAACTCACAAACCGTCGTCCCGGCAGCGTTCGTCAGCAGCATCTTGAACGTCGGCTGCTGCCTCTTCCCTGACCTCAGGTTTCTGGTGTCGATTTCCACCCGGAACTTCTTGTAGAACTTGTCCCTCTCCAGTGTGTCGTAGAAAACGAGACCCTGAAAAATTATATATCGTGAGTCTTAGAAAAGATAAACCTACTGGTAGATGTTCACTGTTCACTGAATATTATACAATCGGTTATCAACAAAGCAACAAAGTTTGACGAACTAAAAAAAAACAGACATAAGATTCCTAAAAGGGCTGGTGATCACCTCAGGATTTGTAGGCATTTTCATGTCATCTCCGTTTCGAGATCTGACGGACACCTCTAGACGGTACAACTCCCCTGTCTGCAACACGCACTGGTCCTGGTCCCACCTGATGTACCCATCTAAAGCTTCCAGATCCTGCAGAGTCTTCACAAAATATGTAAGAGGTCTGTTAGCTGGCTATTAGATATCGACGAAGCGCAACGACGAATAACAAGGCAGTTGAAGAAGCAAACGTATTGTAGCTTATACCTTTTTTTCTAAGAAATTACTCCACATTACACGTAAGCAAAGGCAAAACACCAGATTTTCAGTATTTAAACATGTATAAGGCATATGTTTGGCAATGTGAGCTAGCAACAATGTAGTTTAGTCACCTGAAGAGCTACCATGGCATTAGACGCGATGTAGACATGGAATTGGCATTCTGGCACGAAATCTCGTGGTCCGAACACAACGCAAAGACCATTCCTTGGGTAGAACCTGGCGACAATCTGTTTCATCACAGGACCAAACTGGCTGCCCTTTCTGAACCTGGTGCTGATGTGGGTTGAAGTGATCTCAGAGACGGGTAGAAGTTCGACTTCACCGCCGACAACGTGCACAACCCGCAGGTTTGCTACATCTAGTTCTGGAGAAAAACGATTTGAATCAGTAAAATCAACAACATCGCCGATTTTATTCGACGGGTTGAGAGGGAACTTAAGAGAAAACTCAGGAGTTATATTAAACAGTTTATAAATGACTGAAGATATTCTGTACATTCAAGTGATGTGGGCCAGATAAATGTGATTCTGAAATGTGCACTTACCAGCATCGTCTGTCATGTGCAGCACGTGCGGCAGTAGGATGTCCACCGGCCCCTCCACGTCCTCACACTGGATGGAGAAGAGCGGACCCACCGCCATCCATCCCTCATCCTGCTGCCAGTTGTCGGACCAGTTCGCACTCCTGTAGGTCACGTGCAGCGGGTAGGGCGTCACCACGCCCAGGTCGGTCCGTCTGCACAGGTACTTCCCTTCACCTGGCAGGCGGAGGGACCTGAGGAGATAAACACAGGTATTGTAGCCAGGTGTTCAATTATACAAGGGCAACATAGCGCATGCCTTTACCTTTAAGTTTCTTTGTTGTTGCTTGGATATGTATACTCGAGTGTTATAGATGGCTACTCACCAGTCTGTGTCTCCCGTCATCTCAGGACTGACCACTTGTAACGGCAAGGCATCACGGTATTCCTAGATAAAACCGATTGTTAATTTCACTGTTATATATTAACATGGCATGATAAAGAGTTGTGCTTGATAAGCAGTTCATAACATAAATAGTTTCGATGGAAAAGAACAGGATTAAAACAAGACTTCTTTTTTGTCATATATACACTAGTTCTTACATATGGCCAAAACGAAAAAAAAGTTATACGTTGCAATGTTTAGAACGATAGGATGAAATCAATTGTATAATTATTACATGTAGATTAAAAAAAATAACCATAATCATTGGTGTGTGTTGCTTCACATTGTGAAATGATCTAAATCTAAGTTCATTAACCCACCTTGTACATCCCCTGTACGTCTTTAGCCAGGCCCGGTTTGCCGATGTTCTGCAGTGTTTCCTCCAGCTGCGGCAGGTAGTGGAGCGGTCCGTGGGGGGTCTTGGTGCGCCAGGCCTTCAGCATCTGGAACGCATCCTGAGGGTAATTATGATAGTTTCTTCCCTCTATGTTGTCCAACACGGACCTGTTCAGTCCCAGCTCCTGTCCCAGCCGGGTCCACTCCTTACCAACAGCCCTGCTGACCGGGTACAGCCGGTTGTCTGGACAGGAATAACATCAAAGTTTCATTAACACAAATAATCACGAAGTTGTACCTAATGTAAAAGAATGCAATTGGTATAAGATGTACATTAAATTAAAAGGACTTTAATGTTTCAGTAACAGCAACAAATGAAAAATTAGCAAGAAAGATGTTTAACATAGAATAGTGTATGTGATAAAGACCCGTAACATTAAAATCAAAAGATGGCGCCTTTCGTTTTACTTTCAAGTTAGACATTTTTTATTAGTTATGATAAATAAGGACGCATGTCGTACTTACCAATAAAGTACTTGCCGATGACGTCTGTCGGTGTTCTGGTGACCGGAAGTGGCCCTTCCCAGCTTCCCCTGGACATTCTCATCAAGTCCCCCGGCACGTGACGCCTCACAGCCTCTATAGGGAGGGACTTTGCTGTTTCCCCGCTTCCAACACTGTTACTGGAGTACAAGGCAGGAAACTCGTCCCAACAGGCCTCTATCTCCCTCACTACCGTCTGAGCCCGGCGCCACGCCTTCTCCGGCTCTCCCCGGATCCGGATTTCTTCTCTTGTAGCGGAATGGCGGTACATGACGTCTTCTGGGTTCTCTCCAACATGAACGACAACTGTGTCCTTGGTGAGAAGACGGCGTGTGGTCTGCTCCATGGACAGGATACGAGAGACCATGGTTTCCGGTAGACCCAGAGGAGGCTCTTGGCTGTACTCTATAGCAAGAGAGATCTCCTCTCCGCCTGATGGCACAACCTCTGGCCAGCAGTGCGCCACCTCGTCAGGCTGGGCGTCAGGAAGCTCTGTTGGAAAGATCACCGACCCTGAGTAACACAGGCCGAAGTGCTTCATCAGGGGAAGGAGACTATTGAAGGTGACAACGTTGTCTCCAAGCAAGTTCTTCATGAAACTGTCGCTGGCCCTGCCCGTCTTAAAGAAGGACGCCCTGTCTTCAGCAAACTGCGATCTGGTGTGCTCAGACAGAGACTCAGCTATACTGTCCAGATATCCCGGTAGGTCATGCCTGAAGATCTGCTTGAAGAGTGTGAGGATGATGGTTGGGTCCGGGAAGACCAGATCTTCCATCCCTCTGATGTGGTTGTAGAACAGGATCTGTCCGGTCACGTGCAGATAGCTGAGCGCGTTCAGGACGTCTGACTCCTTCATCCCTGCAGCTGCTCCGACGTCCTGACAATCCCTGACTTGAAGGTGGGTCCGTCCTGTCGCCTGGATGTTTTCTGACAGTTTTGTCCAGGAAGTCGGCATCTCTTGGCGGGCAGCAGGGAACAATCGCTCGTCCTTCACCATTTCTGCCATCTTGTCGCACAGAGCTCCGATACCCTGGAACGTCTTGCTGCTGACCGGGATAACCTGTACGTTCAACAGACCTTTGGGTCGTCCGTCCAGTACCTTCTCCAGTGACTCTTTCTTAGCCAAGATGTCATCCCTTGTGAGACCGTAGAATGGCTCGGACATGTCTGATCTGATGTCCACTGCATCCACCGCGTTCTGACAGAGTTGAATCTCTTCTTTCAGCTTGGCTTGTATTTTACTCTCAGCGCACTGGATGTCTCTCTGGATGGAGGAACAAGCTGCTGCTATCATCTCCTCGGCCTTGTCTGGCGGAAAGTTGTCAACTTTGGTTCCTAGAACAAGGATAGCCGGGTTGAAGACGTGGGAAGTCACGGATGTTAGCCACGTTCCCACTCGTTCCTGGAACTCTTCTGACTTGTATGCTGGCAGGTCTACATTGAGGATGTGCAGGGCCTGACGTGTCAGGAAGAACCGGTGCGTGTAGTGGTAGATCTGGTGACCTCCGAAGTCGTACATCGCGTACTTGACATTATTCTTGTTGTCATGGAAACTGATGACGTCAACACCGATGGTTCTGTCAGTTTGAGTCTCCACGTGACCTTGACCCTTTATCATACAGTTGATCAGACTGGTCTTCCCTGCCTCCGTCTGTCCCAGAAACACGCCCTTGACTTCCAAAGGTGTGGCGTCGTCCGCATGCGCTCCGGGATGACGTAGCTGTTTCATCGCGGTTGCTACTGTAGGAACGGTTACATGAAAAATGCTAACTACAGTAGACAGCGCACAAATATATTACCTAAATATTTCTGTGGTATCTGGACATTGTGAAATTAACTGTTTTAGACCTTATATTTTCTAGCCGTCCCTCCTCTGTGAAAATAAAGATTATGAGCTGTAAGAAACTTGATATAAAATATAACTTAAGAATTGCTTTAAATTGTTCTTGTAAAACAGCCTATACATATAACATGTAACCCTTCAGTGATGTTCGAGTTGGGTGTAGGGAAATACTTGCTAAAGTACATGACTATAGTTTAAACTTTACTGTTCACTCGAGAATCACGTAGTAATTGTATTTTTAAGGTCTTAATATTTGGAAAATGGCATGTCATAACTGTGTCTACCTTGACTTTGCTGCGGTGTGAAATATCCCGACAGTGCCGTTTGTTGACCAGGTTGTGCCGCCTGCTGTTTCCCGATTTGTTGACCAGGTTGTGCCGCCTGCTGTTTCCCGATTTGTTGACCAGGTTGTGCCGCCTGCTGTTTCCCGATGCCGTAGAACCGCTCCTCAAACCGCTCCCCTTCCTCCATCTCCTCCACCAGGAAGTCCTGTCCTTCCTCCCGCAGAACCCGCACTAACCAGTCGTACGGCTCCTGCCGCCGCCTGTTCCGCAGCATGTCTACCAACCGTTTGGCCCGGCTTACTGGTGTCGGCTCCGCCTGGGGGAGGGAACATCGGCGGGGGTGTGATCTTACTTAAACAACTGTTAGTTAACATTGCTGTTTTATTGTTTTAATGGGAGAGGGGGATCATCAACAGGCCTGGTATGATCTGACTGCAATAATCTATTGTTGTGGGTAGCGAGAAGGAGGTAGGAGGTACTTCTGGCCATGGACAATACGTGCCTTTCCAATCTATTGTTTTATACGTTATCGTTGCTCCGAACATTTTTTTAGTTTTATTTTCATATCCGTCCATTATAGTAACTACAAGTTTAAAATGATTTATCAATGTGAAGTACATGTGTTGAGGAGATGTTGTTATCACAGCTCTGAGACGTATGACTAGTGCCGGTCCCACCATGTAACTTACCTGGATAGACCGGACGTCAGCCGGACTCAGCTGGTTCTCCTGTTCCAGCCGTGTGAGAACAGCTGGGAGGTTCATGTTGTCAGACAGGAACGCATGAGTGTAGCTCAAAGCCTCCCAGCACGGGAACCTCAGTTCACCTGTGGAGGAACAGACAAACGGCGGGCGTCAGTCTAGCATGACTTGCTCTATGAAGCGATATCGCATCAATCCACAAAGTGTTGACGAATACATTTCATAATCATATTGCTGCTATACAAATAACCATGCAGTACAAGATGAATGTAGCAAGTACATCTCATGAAGAGCTATACTTATGATTCAATTTTTCCAATTTTTAATTTTATGTGCCTAGGGACCACCTCTCCAATTAACTAGTATTCTATTTCGGAAACGTATTCAAACGCCCATCGTACAAAGTACAGAAAACTCCAAATGCCTTCGGTGTGATTCTTGAGAAAATATTCATAAAAAAGAGACGCACTACGGCTGTATGACTTCTCTCTACAAAACATCGGCCTGTAATGTGTGCAATTTTACTGTTTCTTTGTTATGTGAAGTTTAAATTACGCCACGCAAATCAAACACGACTGTCCCATCCAGTAAAACTGAAAGTGAAAGTTTCACTCATGGTTACAGAGGCAGGATCGATAATCACTAAACTTCACTACCAGAAAACTTGTTCTAGCCGTGTATGAACAGCCTAAACTAAAACATTATATATATTTTTTGCGTTCTGTAACAGCCATGCTATGTCCACCCTCACCTGTCTGTCTGCAGAGCGCGTCACGCACATCCCAGGCGATGCCTTTCATCCAACTGACATCACTGCCGGGCATCGTCTCCTCAACCCTGTACCGCTGGACCCGCCAGGCCGGCGCCTCCAGGGTTGGGTACTGCCGGCTGACTAACGTACCGAACTCACGGAAGTCATCCTCGTTCCGGTCCAGCCAAATGACGTATCGAGGCTTGTTGTTCCTGACGGCAGTTTCCAGTCCGACCGTGAGCGAGGACTGGTCAGCAAGCAGGTGTCTGCTGATCACGGGCACGACAAGTTTCACGCTGCCGAGGGTCAGTGTGGACGTGAGCTGTGCGCGGCTGACGGCATCAGGATCACCTGTGACCTGCTGACAGAATATGGCTGTCCGGGGTAGACGGTAATACTCCGGGTTCAGACTCTTCAGCTCCCCCACCAACCACCTGACGAACTCCCCATCCTCTGCTGCGTGCAGGATGGCAACACGCGGACCTGATAGGGAACAACAGGTTTACAATGTAAACATGTTTAATTAAAAGTATATTCCAAAAATGTGAACTTTTTAATCATACCATATAAGTAGGTCAGATATATTCATTTTATCTAAAGGGTAAAACTATCTAACATAGTATCCTAGCTTATAAAGGTAAATTAACCTTACTTAAGGCAGAATACGTTATTTGGAGTGAAAGTGAAAGTAAAGATATTGTGGAATATAACAGTTATCTTCAGAAAAAAATGACAAGATTCATGCAGACTGGACATTTAGGATGTGTCACCCGCGAAAAATGAAGACATGTAATAAAAGCTTGTGGCGAGTAGGCATAGTACGAAATGAGATCTAAAACCAAGAGGTTTCTTCACATTCCAAGCTTATCAGCACTAAAAGCCACAGACCATATCATAAGAGTGAATGGCGTTGCTCACCTGTCTCCATGGTGATTGGCTGATGACGTCGGCGATGTTGTGACGTCAGACCCGGAAGGTCAATCTCCCGGTACGATGAGGACAGACGACATCCCAGTTCTAATGCAGTGTGGGGGGGGGGGCGGTAATAGAAGTACCAAGTGGTAAAGAAGTTTATGTAATCATATTGCTTCGTCACGCGGAAATTCGTCACGTTAAGCTTTGGTCCCAATTGGAGAAAGGGGCCCTACCGGGTAGTCCCCGGGCTGTTTTTGGCACTTTCGGGCGTGACCCCTACGTGGCCCGGTCGGACACCTCGCGGCGACCGGGCTCTTTTGGCCCGGCGGGGACCCGAGAAGAATTTAATTCTGACTTAAATTCTACCCGGGCCCCGCTGAAAAAAAGACGCCGTGACCTCATCGTGAGAACACCGACAGGTATCCCTCCGGTTGCCGGCAGTCCACCGAGACTAATTTTGATACGGCGCAGACCAGATACACACTATTAAAGGAACAAACTACCACAACACATCAAATCACTGTCAAGCACATCTAACTTTAAAAAAGCCATCCGCCAACTGTTCACACAATATGAGTCCTGTGATTAGAGTGTGAATTAGGTATCTTTCATTTGTACATAATGTAATAATGTAAATTTCCTCTTTATGTCATATGTGTATTTTTAACTATGTCATCTGTTGTTTGTATTGTATGATCTTTGTATGAACCCTGGAGGACTAGCCAGTTTTTGGCTAAAGGGTATCGTAATAAAAGGGAAAAAAGGAAGGTGTGTACTTCGTAAGACCGTGTCAAATGTGTGACGTCACAGATCAGATGATCACAACAAAAGCGTGAACTCTATATTAAGTGGGTCAGCTGCCGGGTTCCTGCCGGGTGCCTGTCGGAGACCGACCGATAAGGGTGACAAAATGCCACTGAAGGAAACTTTTAATTATGACCACAACAACCGGTGCCCGCCAGGCATTACATAAATGGCTACTGACATTTACATGGACATAGAAGAGTCGAAGTTGGCTTAAAGGAAGCTTTTGGGCGTCCTCCAGAGCGATTCCCGTTCGTAAGAGATTACTTCAAACCACAAGACAGATCTATTAAATATTGTCCAGCGTTACACACAATGTCTGGTGAGAATCTTGACTGCTTGTATCACTTCTGCATTGTTAGTTCCTTACGGGCCTGGTATACAGGTAAAGCGTTGGACTAAGATTGAATCGAAGGCTTGAAGACGTCAACTTTACCTTTTCTTGTCTTCTACTGTCCTGTTTCTCCAGAATCGTTCAAAAATCGCCCCCTTTTCAGGTCGCTCCGAGGTGAAACCTAGACAAGGAAGTGGCGCGAGGGCGGCCTCATTGAAGTAAAGGGGGAACAGGTTTGTAACAAAGTGTAAAAGACACCCCTATAAGACACCACAATGTCCCCACCACGCACTCGTCAGTGTCAACCTTAACCTGGCGCTGTTTTAGTCGCAACTGTTTGAAGCCTGTTCCACAGAAAAACACACTTCTGCAGGGCGCACTTGGTTCGTCCTTTTCTGCGCTAACGGTAAACACCTGTCGCGCCACAAGCGGTCCCGCCTTTGTTCCGATCTGGTATGGTGTTGCGTGCCCACACCTGGTGGTGACCTCGGGGTCACACAGCCACAATGCCGAACTGTTGGTTCGCTTACCTGGCGCAAAACACGTCTGCTTAAAACCAGGCCTCGCTACAGTTTTCCTGGCTAGTCTAAATGACTATCCTGAGTCTACCAGTTGCCGTATACTATTTAATACTGAGGGAGACTAACACAATATTAATGTATCGCGAAACATCTGTCGCCACCTGTGGTCGTACCTTTGTTTTTTGACGTAACGACACACCTGTTGGTGACCTCGGGGTCAACCTGCCCTAATGGCGTGCTGTTATGAAAAGGACAAGAGTATTGGATTGCGGGGTTTTACAATGCATCGAGTTGGTTTTCGTTACGCAAAGAAAATACATGGCAATAGTTATATGTCCTACGCGGGACTGGTTTACATCCTACGCACGACTGGCGTATATACATTCAACGCACTTTTGAACTGAAGTTTCCTCTAGTTACCCCAGCGTTACACAGCTGTAATAGAAGTGAGGCCAGAAGTTACATTTTACTGATTGAGGCCCCCTGTAAGATATTATAGTAACTATCACAGCACCTCATTTTGCGCCACTTTTTATTGATCGAGATAACTTTTCACCACCACCTGTCGCACCGGGGTCAATGACCGCTCCCCGTGGGCACTATACCCAGTGAGGGGTGTTGTCCAGTATGTCGTAGGTGTAGATATAGGTATGATCGGTGAGCACCAGTGTGCTTTAAGAAATCTCTGTATTAGTACTATAGGGCTTAAGTCTTTGTATTTTGATTTTTAAGCTTCAATTTGATCTTTCAAACTTGGAACTGAGCTATCCTGTTTGTTTGCGCAGTTAAGTAATAGTCTTATGAGACTGACTGACAATAGGGGTTAAATCAAAGAACACCGTCAGAGTTTTTTTCAAAGCCGTTAAGCAAATGGTCTTTGATCCTGGACTTTTTTCTGCCGAAGGACACCGTCTCTAGCCTCTCTAGTGTTTTTGAAACGTCCCTAACAGTGAAGTATTAACAAAGTGTTCAGGGACAGGCCGTTAATGCTGGCATACGGAGATGGGTGCGGCAACTTAGCCAACCGTAAATGGTACAGAAACCATTCTGCTGCGACTCATTTGCAGGATCGAACCAACGCTAACGATGTAAATGTGCAACCCTACAATTTGACATATATTGTCTGCCATGTAAAGTTACGCTGCCGGCCTACAAATTACGCTGTAAGATGGCACGGAATTCTCCAAGGACTTTAAAACTGATGCCATAGCCGCATGTTCTATGTCACAATCCCTTGGTCATTCAAAATGTCAAAGTCTCCAACCGTGTTTTCAGTTGTAACACGTACTTGATAATGTTACAATATAATAAATTTCCCATAACAAAATCCTTCCGTACCAATGGCAAGTGTTTCTAATGACTTCCTCAACAGAACTTAATCTAAATTTGTGTGCCTCTGTGGATATTGCGGCAAAACTGCTGACATAAACTCTATTCGGCATCTCAAAATCCTCACAATTATTGCCGACTGGGTGCGAAAGACTCCCATATCCACGCTAACAGCAACAGGCCGTACCCAGTCTGTCTTCACCGCCAGGAACTCTGGCGTGATACCTTCCGCCATGGTAGCAAGGCCCCTTACGTAAGTGTTGTGCGAGTTCTGTGGTTGAAGCAAGCTGTTTATACAGTTTTACAGCGTGCACGCCGAGTAGTTTTGTTAGAGTCCAGAAGAGGACTAAACGATGGAGTTCAAAGCAAGACAAAGGTGGGTGGTCATATTCCTTCCTGTAACACAGGCGAGACACTAGATATCACAGAATGTGCATCTATCGGAGTTATAACAACCAAACCTTTCTGTGTCATCACTGGCCGGCGTTTCTGTGAAATTCCGTAAGTTATGGTCAACAGCAATGGTTGATACTTAGGCAGGGTAGCTGGCCGACATCATCGCTTCTTTCCAAGTTAACAAAATTGCAGCTGGCGGTTCACGATTCACTCAGTGTATGGTAGTCATGGCAACGGTAAAATGCCGCTTTCTGGGCCTCTATGTGCAATACTGTGGTACAGCTGACAGAAACTCCGTCTGGTATCTAACAAGGGATGTACATGTAACTGTTGCTGACTGGGGACTAAAAATGCAGAAATTCACGTTTTTAGTGGCAGACTCTTCCGTCTGTCTGACCTACCCAATGTTTTAGTCTCTCACCGCGATCGTGTTGGCAGTTTGGATTACACCAAATTCTGTTACCGTTACATACAGCATTGTGGTTAATTTAACTTTTTGAAACAATGGTACAACATAATTGGTACAGTTCTGCGGCAATTTTATTTTTCTGCTCATCGTTTCTAGCTCGTAAAATATCTATTACACCATAAAATATCTATCTGCCGTAACTATGGAATGTAAACAAAACAAACAACGATCGGGTACAGATTGACGTTTAATCTGATGTATATGTACTGGCAGCAGCACAAACATTTATACAAGAGATGATGCATTGGATTATATGTACTCTAGAACTCCCTGGGCGTTAGTTAGAATTGGTAGATGAGTTAGAGCTGATAAATGAAAGAATCGATACACCATATACAGAAAACAAACCAAATAGTAATCAGGTAAAAACTGAATGTTGAAAACCGGGTATAAACATTTAATGAAGTGTTAATTCTTTGGACTGTACCGATGGCTAAAATATATATAAAACATATGTGTGCCATTTGGTCGATTTTTTATCTGTACAGGATCATTACTCTCCAAGCAGATGCGTAAAAATTCAGTGCTTTCGGTGCAAAAAAGAAATCCCGATGAAAAAGATACCCCGATAAAACGATAAAAGGCCTAAAACACGGCAAAAATAAGCCAAAACCCAAACCTCTACTTGGAAAGTGTACGATAATGTAACATATCCATTGACTGTGATCGCTGAATATAGTGAGTTGTTAGCATATTGGGGTTATGTTCCTACATGTTACAACTGATACATGATCTAGACTTTAGAGAAATGATTTCTACTTTCTTTCGCATAAGCTGATAGACCGAGGAAGCATCTTCGGAATCAGCAAATGAAAGGTTAAAAAGTTGCAAATCACAAAATGTAAGATCATCGACAAAGTCTTACTTTCATACATGCAAATATCATTGAGCAAACACACGTAATACACAAATAATATCCATGCAGATTGCATGTCCACAACAAAATGTTAGTTCATTGATAAAAGTTATGCCCACTATAACTGCATTGTTCACTGTCCATTGCTCGAAATGAACTAATGGGATTTGGTAACAGCATGATTAAATCTATTCTATAAGTAAAAAAAAACTTGAGTGGGCCGTCACCACGTCTTGTGATTACATGTTGGAATTTAAAAAAATTACATTTGTAGAGTCTGGTAATTTATTCCCCATTACTCTAGTTACTAACATCGTCTCAGGAAATGGGAGGCGAGTCGTGTATTTACAATTCCATGACGTCAGCGGTCTCTGTTGTCGCTAGCTGGATCGTCAGTCCGAGTCACCGGCTTCGGCACCTCCACTCTGCGCTTGCGCACCGGCGGCGTCTGTAAAGTAGGTGTTGTCAAATGATGAAAAAATTTTCTATGGAAGACAACGGATAAGGGTAAGAAGAATCGTTATACAAAACAATGGATCATCGTATGTTGCTCAGTTACTATTAAAATCATCGATCACCATTCTACTGTCATGGAAACATTGAAAGTTCATACACCCTCTGTATTTATCTAGGAAGACATTAGAGTTTCTTACCAGTGATGCCGCAGGCCTGTAGGAACTTCTGGTGAGACTCTTCCCAGTACTTGGAGGCCAGCAGTTTCTCCTTGAAGGCGCGTGCTTCCGCGAACTCTGACCTGGCGTTCTTGATGACATCCTCGATTCTTTCTGCCCACTTCTCTTCATCAGTGGTTGCATCGTTTCCCTTCATCTTGACGATACAGTGGCGGAACTTGGGCTGCCCCAGCCTATCTGATAGCTCCTCTATCAGCTCTGCAAGTCCCGAGTGCTCCGAGATGAGGACGGGAACTCCTGCCGCGATGGCCTCCAGACCGACCAGTCCGAACGGTTCGGCCCGGGACGGCATCAGGACCAGGTGACAGTTCTCCATGTCTCGGCGGATCTCCTCCTGAGTGCCGTACGGGAGAAGGGTGGGTTTGACCCGTCCGGATCTCAGCTTCTCATCCAGGATTCTCTTGCTCTCCTTGAAGTCGTTCTCATCGATGCCGCGGACTCTCAGCCTCAGTGTGTACAGATGGTCAAGCCGCAGTGCCGCCTTGTCTACGCCTCCAGCCGCCAGGTCGTGCCCTTTCAGCCTCTCCACATTCCGCACCCTGCCGATGGACAGAATCACTCTCTCTGGCTTTCGGACGCCATCTTCTTCACAAAAGCTCACTGCTGCGCGACTGAAAACCTCGGAAGGCTCAGGTAGGAAGATGTGGTGATCCACGTTATGCCGACGGAGAAACTGGTTGAAGTGGCGATGAATGCGCGCTCCTACCGAGAAGACGACATTAGCCTTGCCAAGGTCGTCCTGGATGCTGGCTTCCTTCCTCCCCACACCCAGGGCCTTCTCGTCACTCTTGTAGTGCTCTGTCTCCTCTGGCGCCACGTGACCGAACATGGCGAGTTTGGAGCGAGGAAATCGCTCCTCTTTGATCTTCCTCGCTGCTCTGCTGGTGACGTCAACATGGCCCACGATGCAGCAGATATCTGATGGAATGTGTGGAAAGTGGTGTTTGTGGTACACAGTCAGCCACTCTAAGGACGGCTTGGCGTTGCTGTCGGCATCACGTTGAGGTTTGAGGAGTGTCACCCCGTCTCGTTCTGCATCCTTCTCATCCTGTTGACTTGCCTCCAACACGGTAACGTAGACCTTGGCGCCGGCGGCGGAGAGCGTGCGCGCGGCATCTAGGTTGATGGTGGAGATTCCGCCCTTCGATGTGCAGTACTCGTCACTGACAAACAGAACTGAAACTCTGCCTGTAATAAAACAAACAGGTAAGGTAAACGCCAAAAATCAGTTACTCAAGCAACTGGATATGATTTTGGAACGTCAGACGTTTTAGCTAGTATCCACTAGCTTTCGTCAGTGACTGAAGAAGACTGAAGAAATGCAGGTTTATATGCACAAACTATTGATTGATATGTAAATAAGATGAAGACAATTTTTTTTGAAGTCGAAAAAGGAACAAAGGTAAGTTAAACCTTGAAGTTGACTCTCTTTTTACGTTTGACATTATAACGTAATTCATGCCGTTTCTTAGTTCTCTATATATTGATCTACTGGCATTACCAATTATACTACATGAAAAGAGTAAATAGTAACATTAATACATAAACAGTAAGTCACAAACTACTGCTGGATACTATCAATCTTGCAGCAGTACATAATCAAATATGCGACCTCAAGGTTCTATTTAAAACTGTTTTGCTTTCATACTATAATCATAATATAAACAAAGGTTAGCAAAATGCGGATGCCAATATGTAGATTATGTCTTGTACCCGCAATGTTTGAAGATTGCAGCTGTCTCCTCACAGACTCCACCAGCTGCTCCGTGGGAGTTGAAACGCCGCTGTCTGGTCCTTCAGCACCGTAACCTCGCTTGTAACGGCCTGGGAGGAAAATCAAGGTATACATATAATAATTGTATTTTTTTCAAGGCAGTATGACTGGATCTATTATTTTTCATACACGTAATAAAGTCCACTAATACCCTGATTTATTTTCTTTATACATCCTGCCAAAAGTTAAAGCTGTAACTACATCCTAAAGAAATGGCAATGGGTCATTTGTTTCATTTTTTTCATTTTCTTTTTACATTTTTTTTTTTGCAATTTAGAAGAAGCTGTAAAAGCTACTGGCGTAATTAAGTATCCAAACAATTTTTTTTTCTAGAGTTTGACCTTACCCAGCGTCATTTCTGCTACAGGTTCATTTGCACCATCTGTAGCCACTTTAAGCAGTTCCAGGTTCAGTCGCGAGGTGGTACTGTTGTCCCAGATGTCTGCACTGACTTCCACCCGGAACGGCTCGTAGAACTTGTTGTTGTCGAAGGTGTCCTCAAACATAAGGTACTGAAAATAGGTTGAGACAACCTCCTTTCATATCCTAAGTTTGCAAGTGAAAATATTTTTCACAGGTGCACATAAGTCATTTTTTCGATGTACTCATTTGTCACTCATGTACGTTGGTGGATTCATGTTGTGTATCAGAAATATGGTCTGGCAGCATTGGCATGTATATGAATAGTTAATACAAGTGTGAAGTATCCAGAATCTCAAACCAACCTCCGGTGATGAGGATACGAACATGTCTCTGCCGTTGGTAATACGTCCTTCAAGATAGTAGATATCACCTGCACACAGCCGGCAGGTCTTGTAGTCCCGGAGTGAAAAATGCAGCTTCTCTGCTTCTTCCGCAAGGGTCTATGTAAGCGACACAGAGAAATTTTACTTATTTACTTAACTTTATTAAAACGACTAATTGATTTGTAGCACACCATGCGAAGCTGGTGTGTCACGCCAAAGGGCGGTTATATCGGGTATACAAATACAGCTACAGATACAGAATCTAGAGCCGCTTCGAAGAACATTGACATTGAAATATCACTTGACGGCCTGAAAAGATAAGAGTATATGACAAGTGTAAGCCCCCACCTCTTGCATGATCCTGGTATTGGAGACCATGTAAACTTTCATCCTGGAAACGTCAGAGCCATCCTCGCAGGCAAAAGCCGTCAGCAGGCCATTCCTGGAGATGCCCAGAACCTTCTCTGTCCTCCCCACCAGCCCGAACAGACTGCCTTTCTTGAACCTGGTGACGGCGTGGGAGGGGGTGAGTTCTGTAACCGGCAGCAGCTCGGCGGAATCTCCCACCACGTGCACCACTTGCAGGTCTTCTGCGGCCAGGCCTAACGTACACAGCAGCGATTTTAGGTCCCAGTTTCCATATATAACTTGTAACATTATGCTGGAATTGATACTGCATTGCAAAAAAAAACCTCAGCAAATTCCTGGTTTGTGATGTTGTTTCTTACCTGTTGCATCAGCCAGGTGCAGCACGTGCGGCAGTAGGATGTCCACCGGCCCCTCCACGTCCTCACACTGGATGGAGAAGAGCGGACCCACCGGCATCCATTCCCCCACCTGCGGCCAGCGGTCGGACCAGTTCGCACTCCTGTAGGTCACGTGCAGCGGGTAGGGCGTCACCACGCCCAGGTCGGTCCGTCTGCACAGGTACTTCCCTTCACCTGGCAGGCGGAGGGACCTGAGGAGATAAACACAGGTATTGTAGCCAGGTGTTCAATCTTACAGCTGTGACATAGCGGGTACTTTTACCTGTCTCTTTCTCTATAGTTGCCATGATATGTATAGTTTAGCGAGTACATGAAGTGTTATAAATGGCTACTCACCAGTCTTTGTCTAAAGTCATCTCAGGACTGACCTCTTGTAATGGCAAGGCATCACGGTATTCCTGGATAAAACAAAAGAATATTGACATGGCCTCATTATATGAATATCTTTTACAAAACAGTTTCACTGGATAAACAACCGTGCCAATGTCGACAAGAATATATTCATTTATTTCTAATTCCACAGACATGCTCTTAGCCAAACCTGGATAGTTGATAGTTGTAGGTTAAGAAACTGTGATGTAGTCTTTGTTTCTTAGGGAATCTCCATTAGTGTTGACAATATATCGCTAATCTTCCTGGAGTCCAGTTTGTCGCAGTAGAGTATTACTCTGCAATTCAGCATAATGGTTGCAGTGAAGAAAAATTAAACTATACATATGATTAAGGTCCGTTGCTTTATCTTGTGAATTGATCTTAAGTTCATAAACCCACCTTGTACACCCCCTCCACCTTTACAGCCAGGTCCGGTTCGCCGATGTTCTGCAGTGTTTCCTTCAGCTGCGGCAGGTAGTGGAGCGGTCCGTGGGGGGTCTTGGTGCGCCAGGCCTTCAGCATCTGGAACGCCTCCTGGGTGTCCTCGGAGTGGTACTTCCCCCGTATGTTGTCTAACACGGACCTGTTCAGTCCCAGCTCCTGTCCCAGCCGGGTCCACTCCACACCAACAGCCCTGCTGACCTGGTACAGCCGGTTGTCTGGGCAGAAAGGACATAGATGTTCCATTAACATAGTTTATAAAGTTGTAAACCATGTAACTGACCGAGGGGGGTGTGTGACTCAAGAAAGTTTAAAGTATTAAATCAGTGACAGGGGGGATTGTTTGCTTAATCATATTATCGTTATTCAGATAATCGTAAAAACACATGTCGTACTTACCAATAAAGTACTTCCCGATGACGTCTGTCGGTGTTCTGGTGACCGGAAGTGGCCCTTCCCAGCTTCCCCTGGACATTCTCATCAAGTCCCCAGGCACGTGACGCCTCACAGCCTCTATAGGGAGGGACTTTGCTGTTTCCCCGCTTCCAACACTGTTACTGGAGTACAAGGCAGGAAACTCGTCCCAACAGGCCTCTATCTCCCTCACTACCGTCTGAGCCCGGCGCCACGCCTTCTCCGGCTCTCCCCGGATCCGGATTTCTTCTCTTGTAGCGGAATGGCGGTACATGACGTCTTCTGTGTTCTCTCCAACATGAACGACAACTGTGTCCTTGGTGAGGAGACGGCGTGTGGTCTGCTCCATGGACAGGATACGGGAGACCATGGTTTCCGGTAGACCCAGAGGAGGCTCTTGGCTGTACTCTATAGAAAGAGAGATCTCCTCTCCGCCTGATGGCACAACCTCTGGCCAGCAGTGCGCCACCTCGTCAGGCTGGGCGGCAGGAAGCTCTGTTGGAAAGATCACCGACCCTGAGTAACACAGGCCGAAGTGCTTCATCAGGGGAAGGAGACTGTTGAAGGTGACAATGTTGTCTCCAAGCAGGTTCTTCATGAAACTGTCGCTGGCCCTGCCCGTCTTCAAGAAGGACGCCCTGTCTTCAGCAAACTGCGCTCCGGTATAATCAGAGAGAGACTCAGCTATGCTGTCCAGATATCCCGGTAGGTCATGCCTGAAGATCTGCTTGAAGAGTGTGAGGATGATGGTTGGGTCCGGGAAGACCAGATCTTCCATCCCCCTGATGTGGTTGTAGAACAGGATCTGTCCGGTCACGTGCAGATAGCTGAGCGCGTTCAGGACGTCTGACTCCTTCATCCCTGCAGCTGCTCCGACGTCCTGACAATCCCTGACTTGAAGGTGGGTCCGTCCTGTCGCCTGGATGTTTTCTGACAGTTTTGTCCAGGAAGCCGGCAGCTCTTGGCGGGCAGCAGGGAACAATCGCTCGTCCTTCACCATTTTTGCCATCTTGTCGCACAGAGCTCCAATACCCTGGAACGTCTTGCTGCTGACCGGGATAACCTGCACGTTCAACAGACCTTTGGGTCGTCCGTCCAGTAACTTCTCCAGTGACTCTTTCTTGGCCAAGACGTCGTCCCTTGTGAGACCGTAGAATGGCTCGGGCATGTCTGATGTGCTGCCTACTACATCCAACGCGTTCTGACAGAGTTGGATCTCTTCTGTCAGCTTGGCTTGTATTTTACTCTCAGCGCCCTGGATGTCTCTCTGGATGGAGGAACAAGCTGCTGATATCATCTCCTCGGCCTTGTCTGCCGGAAACATGTCAACTTTGGTTCCTACAACAAGGATAGCCGGGTTGAAGACGTGGGAAGTCACGGATGTTAGCCACGTTCCCACTCGTTCCTGGAACTCTTCTGACTTGTATGCTGGAAGGTCTACATTGAGGATGTGCAGGGCCTGACGTGTCAGGAAGAACCGGTGCATGTAGTGGTAGATCTGGTGACCTCCGAAGTCGTACATCGCGTACTTGACGTTATTCTTGGTGTCATGGAAACTGATGACGTCAACACCGATGGTTCTATCAGTTTCAGTCTCCACGTGACCTTGACCCTTTATCATACAGTTGAGCAGACTGGTCTTCCCTGCCTCCGTCTGTCCCAGAAACACGCCCTTGACTTCCAAAGGTGTTGTGGCGTCGTCCGCATGCGCTCCGGGATGACGTAGTTGTTTCGTCACGGGTACTGCTGTAGAAACGGTTACATGAAGTATAAAAATAGCAGACTGTAAGTACATAACTGTGGTGTGATATCTATAACAGTGTAGAATTAGACACATATTTCTACTATCCCTTTATGTTAAAGCAATGATATAGATAGCTAACAGGTGAGGCAAAAGTCGGGAATGAAAGTACTATTAGCGGAAATCTCTCCAATTACGCATGAAAGGGATATTTCCTCACTTCATGTTTTTTTAAACATATTCTTGAGAAACAGTCCAGTGTTCGATTCTGTGGTGACTTACGGGTAGGATGAACAGAAAAATACAAATGGAAAAGACTGAAATAAAGTAATGGTTTGTTTTGCCTACCTTGAATTTGCTGCTGTGTGAAATGTTCGGTCTGTGCCGTGTGTTGACCAGGTTGTGCCGCCTGCTGTTTCCCGATGCCGTAGAGCCGCTCCGCGTCCCGCTCCCGTTCCTCCATCTCCTCCGCCAGGAAGTCCTGTCCTTCCTCCCGCAGGACCCGCACTAACCAGTCATACGGCTCCTGCCGCCGCCTGTCCTGCAGCATGTCTACCAACCGGCGGGCCCGGCTTACTGGTGTCGGCTCCGCCTGGGGGAGGGAACATCGGCGGGGTGTGATCTTACGTAGACAACTGTTAGGTAACCGTTTCACTGTGTGTTTTACTGTGTGAGTGTCGTTTTTTCAAACAGTGACGCATTTTACTTTAGCAAGATGACACTTTTCAATTTGAATTCTGTGAAATAAATAAATACATCATTCCACGGTGAAATAGCCACGTGGGTACCGTAGAGTATTTGCCTTACCTTCAGTAAGTGATCCGTTCGATTCCCAAAACATATGAATCATGATATTAATGTACAGCGCGGCTTGATTTTGTTTTCTCAGCCTGAGAAGGGGGGGGGTGATCTTACTTTAATAGACTTTTTTGTTTTATTGTGTTAGTGTCGTTTCTCTGTGTTTAGGGTTTGAACAACGACGCGCTTAAATTTAGCAAGATTAGACTTTTCAATTAAATGCTGTAAAATGAAAAGTGCGAAATCAAATTGATATGAGCGCTATCATCATTCCATGGTGAAATAGCCAATGGGGTAGTGTATTTGCCTTGCATTTAGTAAGTGATCAGTTTGAACTCCAAAACATATAAAGCATGATATCAATGTACAGTACATGTGGCGCGGTGATGTTAAGTGCCAGTTCCACCATGTAACTTACCTGGATGATCCGGACGTTAGCCGGACTCAGCTGGTTCTCCTGTTCCAGCCGTGTGAGAACAGCTGGGAGGTTCATGTTGTCAGACAAGAACGCACGAGTGTTGCCCAAGGCCATCAAGCACGGGATCCTCTGTTCACCTGTGGAGATGAACAGACAAACGGCAAGCGTCAGTCTAACCTGATTCGCTCTATGTAGAGACATCGTATCAATCCACAAAGTGTTGAGGCATACATTTCATAATCATATTACTGATATACACATACATGATAACCATACAGTACAAGATAAAGGTAGGAAGTTTGGATAAAGGTAGCAGGCATATCTCATTAAGAGCTATACTTATCATTAAACTTTTCTAACTTTTAATTCATGTGCCTAGAGGTCACATCTCCAATTAACAGATATTCCGTCTCACATCCCGGAGATGTATTCGAACAGTACAGAAAACTAATAATTTCCGAATCGCCAAATGCCTTCTGTGTGATTCTTGTGAAAGTATCAATAAATAAGAGACGCGCGACGGCTTTATACATCAGCTACATAGCCATAAAATCCCTTTCTACACAACATTGGCCCGTGTTTTATCGCTATATTGTGTACAGATTCTTTGTTATGTGAAGTTTAAACTACGCCACGCACACCAAAGGCGAGTTTTCCATCCAGTAAAACTGAAAGTGAAAGTTTCACTCTTGGTTACAGAGGCAGGGTCTCTAATCACTGGACTACACACTCTACCAGTAGTAAACTTCTTCTTACCTTGTATGGGTAAGTGAGAACAGTCGTATATAACTTTTATTTATTTAGACGTGACAAAAAGAGCCCATGTTCTTTCGTTATATAATACCCATGATGTTTCCACCCTCACCTGTTTGTCTGCAGAGCGCGTCACGCACATCACAGGCGATGTCGTCCATCCCACTGACAGCACTACCGGGCATCGTCTCCCAAACCCTGTCCCGCTGGACCCGCCTGGTCGGCGCCTCCAGGGTTGGGTACTGCCGGCTGACTAACGTACCGAACTCACGGAAGTCATCCTCGTTCTGGTCCAGCCAAATGACGTATCGAGGCTTGTTGTTCCTGACGGCAGTTTCCAGTCCGACCGTGAGCGAGGACTGGTCAGCAAGCAGGTGTCTGCTGATCACGGGCACGACAAGTTTCACGCTGCCGAGGGTCAGTGTGGACGTGAGCTGTGCGCGGCTGACGGCACCAGGAGCACCTGTGACCTGCTGACAGAATATGGCTGACTGGGGTAGACGGTAATTTCCGGGCAGATCCATCAGCCCCTTCACCAGCCTCCTGACGAACTCCTCATCCTCTGCTGCGTGCAGGATGGCAACACGCGGACCTGGTAGGAAGCAACAGAATAGCAACATGGTTAGGTAATTCAAAAGTGTGCATTTTTTTATCACGCCATTTTTAAAAATGCACCACACATATAACTAAATAATATTATGTATGAACAATATTATGTTAAAGTTAAAAGTAAAAGAGTGAAAGTGAAACTAAAGTATTGCATGACATAATGGCTCGACCTGACCAAAAAATAGTCAAGTCAACATAATGCCATGTAATACAAGCTGGTCAAAATGATAGACATGGCTTATATACATGGTTGATATTAAACATGCACAAGAGCTCAGACCTAAAACTATCTAAGTGTATCTGCATCGAAGGTTTAAAGCAAGTGTAAATCATGAGAGTTAATTTTAAGTGAAAGTGACCTGCTCACCTGTCGCCATGGTGATTGGGTGATGACGTCAGCAAATTGTGACGTCACAGTCAGACTCCCAACTTGACAAGACGAGCAGACGACATCCCGGACTGCAGGGTTATAGTGGAGGAGGGACGTTAAGGATGTCAATTTGTCAATCAACACAGCAGTTCTGAAGTTTATCAACTTATTTTTTTAGGTGATGTCTAACAATGGCGTCTTATTTACACTTGAATTTGATTAAAGGTCTGTCGAATGATTCCTGTTTTTAAGAGACGTCTTTAAACCGCAAGACCTGCTGTTGTACATTTGTGAAATAATGAGCAAATAAACATTGAACTTTTTTAACTATCGCGATTCCCCAACATTACAGTGTCTGGTAATAAGCCAGTCGGTCACTTCCGCATTGTTTGTTGCTTATATGATTGGAAAACAGGTTAAAGACTTAAACTGTACCTTACCTTGTCTTCCTAGTGTCCTGTTCCTTCAGAATCGGTACAAAATCGCTCCCTTTTCGGGTCGCTCAGAGGCGAAATCTTGACAAGTGACGAGAGGACGGGCTCATTCACGTAAAGGGGGTGTGTGGGTTGGTAACAAAGCGCAAAAGACTACCCCTATGATATACCGCAATGTAATCTACTGTCCCTACCTTTCTTTTTATCAATCGTAACCCGTAGTTATTTTAGACGCGACTGTTTGAAGCCTGTTCCACAGAAAAACACACTTTTGCACGGAGCACTTGGTTCGTCCTTTTCTACGCTAACGGTAAACACCTGTCGCGCCACCTTTATTGACGTAACGACACACCTGGTGGTGACCTCGGGGTCAACCTGGCACAATGGCGCGTTGTTGGTTTGCATACCAGCGCGAAACACGTCTGTTTACAAACAGGCCTCGCTGGAGTTTTACTGGTAGAACTAAGTAGCTATCACGGGTCCAGTAGTAGTAGTAAGCCTAATATCTAATTTTGTGGAGGAGAGACCAATACTGTGATCAATGAAATAATTATATCGACACCGCCATGCCCCTCTGGTGTTTTTGAAACGTCCCTAAAGGTGAGGTATGAACAAAGCGTTCAAGGACAGGGACGGGTCGTTAATGCTGGCATGTGTGTGTGTTTCTGTATGAATGTATGTGTGTGTATGTGTGTGTGTTTGTGTGTGTTTCTGTATGTATGTGTATGTGTGTGTGCGTATGTATGTGTGTTTGAAATGTGACGGCAGTGGAACATTTATGTCGGTGATATATTTTTGGTACATACATTTTCTTCATTCCTTTTTTTTTTTTTTTACTTTTTGTCGTAAACGCGCATATACACAATTATTCTACTTACATACACACGTACAAACACATTCACCTCAAACACTGCTAATGTGGAGTTCTTGACGGAAGTTTATTTCCAAAGTTTTGGTACATGTGCCAGGGCGATTCCATCCCTGCTTCCATGAGGGGGGGGGGTGATCACATTTTTTCCCAAACGTGATGACTTTACAGAATATAGTCTACCTCTACAAGCGGCAATACACGTCAGATATGTTCAGCCTGGAACGCAAACAGTTAGAAAAACCTCACAAACTGAACCGAAGGGATTCTATACCAAAGCAGCTCAGTCGCTATATTATATATTTATATAGATATATCTATACCTAGTAACATAGAACTCTGTAACGGGTTGGATCCTCTCAGAGGAGCCAGATGCTTCTCTCAGTGCTTTCTGTCGGGATTGGCTACGCGGAGTAAATGGTGAAGGGACTATTTCCACAGTTTGAAGCGACTATTGCACCATGGATTTAAAAAAAAAAAACAAGGACACAGGATGAAAAGCTGGATTTACCAATAAAAGTCGGGTAATGCTTACTTCATACCGAACTTTACAATAATTATCTTATAATGATAGTAAACGAAATGATTTATTTACTACCATAGTTACGTTCGGTACTGTTTCTATCATTCAATCTTTATTCATTTCAATCAACATGGCTGAAATACATGTACGCATATACATCGTACCCCTCAATTAAGTTAATTAAGTTAATACTGGATTAAACATTAACCGACTTAGCAGGCATATGCATTTACTACTATTGTTAAATCCAACTTTTCATGCAGTGGGAAACCTGCACGGAAATTAAAAAAAAACGGGAAAGACCCTGAAAAACAACAGCCGACATGGGCTGTTTGGAACACTACACGGTAGAACTGGATATAACCTCACACTCAATATCATTCCTTAAAATCAGGAACAGTGCATCTGTAACGTGGGTGTTTTGGCAAATAGTATACCACATAATATACATGTAAAATCATGGTACCTATACGCTCAAATGTAATGGTGTTGCAATTTTAACAGATTTTCTTTGTACGTTTACCTAATAATGTTTCCTAAAAATGACATGTTAGATAAAGGTAACTTATGGATGTTATACCTTACGGCATAACTTCAGATAAACATTGTATTCACATTGGAATTAGTTGGTGATGGTAACCATGATACCATTCAGAGTAGCCGGATTGTACAACCATGACTAGATTTTCTACTATCCCTGTACTTTCCACTTTTTCCAAACTTAAAACTATACACTTAAAATGTTGACATCTTCAAAACAGGTTAACGTTCATATGTCAGCATGCTATAACTATCCTTCTAATGATATAAACATGGTAGCCATTCCCTCCAAACCGATCCCACATGATGCTTTGTAGATATTCCTTGGTTAAAAACAAATATTCGCACGGTTGTAGCAGCACTAAACGTACATGGGCAGTTCCAGTCATGAAGTTCAGAGAAAAAAAAGCATTCCAAGTCTGGAGTTATTTTTATTCATGTTTCTCTTGTTTTTATCCTATAAGAGTACTCCACATTGCTGGGCGCAAGATTATTTTCTTTCCACAACAAGGTCTCCCCTGAACTTCATCAAATGGAATCGCCCAACAAGCATCACGGCGCTGTCAGCCAATGAACGGCTGCATTCCAGTTAGCCAATGAAATGACAGCATTAGATTTGGCCAATGAAATGAAAGCATTGAAGTTAGCCAATGTATAATAACATTCCAGACTATTGGTATTGCATTTTGTGATGGCTTACATGAAGACTCCGCCAAGAATTGGGCCCGTACTAAATAAAAAATACAAATAATGAATATAACACAACACAATCGTTACAGATAAAAACCTTGTAGATATGCAACTAAATAACTCTACTCACTTGCAACATCCTGGAATGAAGACAACACTGACATTTCATCTGTGGGGCAATAACGTACATGTAGTACTTTTCACTTTGTAAAACATTTGTAATTCTTAGAGAAAGCCAAGATTGGGCATCTTGCCACAGTTTCAACACGAACTAAAACTTTCAGTCCACCAAATTAAAACATTTGGACGGCGTCCTAATGATCTTGACATTACGTTGATCCAACCTATCATTGGTGTGAAGCATTGGCACAACCTTAAAGTGTATACTAGTATTCAACCCGCACTGATTCAGTTTAACTAATGTGCTGTACACAAATAAAGGTAGGGATGGAGAAATACCAGGGCACCTGCCTTCTGATTGGTCGACAGTCAGTGGTGTGGCCTGTCATTGGTGAGATATCAAGCCGTATAAGGAAAGCTTTATTCTGATTGGTTAATACGGATTCTGTGTTGTTCTTCATTGGTTGATTTAAAATTTTGAAATAACGTATGTGTGAACCATGGATGATAGATTCAAATCGTTCATGAAAGCTTAAATTTGTAAAAAAAAAATATAAAAAACAGAAACTGTGCTTCAATGCGAGGTAAAAATGAATTTAGTTGATAAATGGACAATTCGCACTTCCGCAGTTGCAGAGTTCTGGTGATGACATGGGTACAGGCGGTGCAGAAGGCCTGGTGTTTTGCCAAACCTCGGTAGAGTCTCTCCTATTTACAATCAGGAAATGTTACATGGTTCTTAATTAATAACAACTTATAACATCTGTTATAACAACTGTACACTTGGCAATGCTATAGTAATTAACTCCAACTACAGTCTTTTCCACTGTTGAAAATGGCAGGTAAGGCTTATAATAAGATAGTGTAACACATAATGTGATCATCTCATATACACAACAGGTATTCCAGCCTTCTTCGTTTTGATTTTTACATTTATTTATATCTTTTGTCTGCCTTTTATGCATCCAGTTTGATACAACTTACTGTAAAGTCATCTGTGAGAGATATGCAAAACTCTAAACACGTAACACGTATCAATATCTATTCATATATATTACGAATTCTTTTCCTTTTGTATAGCTAGACATTAACTATTGTACTTTTATACAGTGTTCTTTCCATGTCGAACAAACTGAACGATACATTCAGTAATAGTACAAAAATAGGACTGTTATGGTGCAAAACCACGCAATAAAACTTCAACATTGCACTAACAAACTTTAAAAACAGGCCTGTATACACATACCCAAGCTCATGGTGGGCCAATACGTAAAGGACAATTTAGTACAAAAACATATGACAGAATCTTAACCAAATGTACCAGCATGTAGCTATCTCCCGTTTATCTATCAAATCTGAAGTTATCCGAGCATACGCTGCCAGGGTAGATTCTCATTTCAGTCCATTTACAAAATTCAATCCACAAACTGTCATAATTCCACTGGGTACCATAGGACCGCAACATTGGAAACAACAGTGTTGTTCTAGCCTTCTCAGTGTCTTAGACACCTGAATAATTATCTAAATTGTAATTAATAGTAGCTCTTTTAATATTTCATTTTTATGGTACCCAGTGAAATTATGAAAGTTAACATAATTAAAACTACTTCTCTCAGTTACATTAACAATCTACATTTAACAAAGTGAAGAACATTAATGATTATCAATTTGCTTAGTTTTGGTAGGGGCAGAGCATTACGCCATTGTGCAACTGGGTATAGACTCAGGTTAACCTTCTGCCTGCTACCTAACTCTGTAACCTTTAGAGAATCGGTATTGTAACGGCTATCTTGGTGTGTTAAAGGTTAAACACCATCCATCATTGCCATCAATACCATTAAAACACCATCCACCTCTCAGCTCCGAATGCTCATTCTCATCAAACCTGTTCCAACTTACAACATATCCAACATGCAAACCTTTTCTTCATGATAATTCAGCATGTTGAAAACAGAAGAAGGTTAATACTAGACCAAGTATGATTTGAGTAACTCTGGTTAAGAATGCTAGAGTTAGCTGAGTATCTTAGCGTGCTATTCTCATGTTCCACAGTACAAAATTCAGAACCAAGTAATGAAAATTGACAAAGACTGCAATTCTACTTTTTGTGGTTGACATATGTATGGATCTATGTATGTCACTAAAGTTTATGCATCTAAACCAGGTACAGTCTTACAAAAACGAAATGAGGTTGAGGACAAAAATTACACCAACTGGTCCTTCTTAACTTCTCTAAATGTACTACACAACAATACTGATGTCATCTGAGACTGTAATGGATCCTTATACAGCTGAAGGAGGTTCTAGTTTTAAGAGAAACTGAAGAAGTGCTGAAACACCTACTCTGTAGCAAACATGGGACAATCATGGCGTTTCCCCGACTCCTTTGCTTTTGGCCACAGTGGTAGACACGAGGGGGGAGGGGGGCATTACATATGGCACGTAGGATCACATTGGACTTCTGGGCTGAGTGTGACGTCTACACATAGTGTCATGGCACGTGAATTCATGTTACAGTTAGCTTTTCTGTACATATGGCTTTGGACATCATCATCTTGTAGTGAGTACCAACAATATAACACAGACTATGTTCCCTAAAGTTTTGCTTCGTTCGTCCAAAATTTTAAATTACAAACTTCCCACAATACACTGCATCGTCGCCTGCGCATCCTAAAACTGACCCTGCTTGTGACATATTGCGACCGGCTGTTACCATGGAAACCATCGCCATGGCAACGGGTACTGCATTGCATTTATCATCGGTCCTCACGGGAAAGAATCTGAACTTTGACCTCCTTGACAGTAAAGTGAAATTTGATTGGCTAGTGCACGTGTGGAATCTAGTGCTGTCATTGGTCAATCTACACATTGATCTAATTGGCTATTGGAGCAAGGCCTCTGATTGGCTATAACAACTGCAAACTCTGATTGGTTACCGAAACTTTTTCAGCTTGGCTTGTGGTTGGGTGGTTGACTCTGCTGGCAAGACTGGTTTCTTCTTTCCCCCTTTTTGTATCCCCAAACCTCTTCATGACTTCAGTTGCACTTTCCAGCCACTTTTTCCGCTTGCTCCATGGAACTCGACTCTTTGTGTTGCTCTTTCAGCTGCTTCAATCCTCAAAACTCGAACCCGTCTACAACACTTCTTAATATGACCGTTAAAATCCGTCGTCTCTCTTGCACTGAAGTTAAAAAAGCCTCCCGATCCTTGCCCGTAGGTTATGGAGTTGTTCTTCGCTACACGACCGCACCTCGGAGCTGGTTGTTCCGATCGAGGGCCGAGGGAACAAAGCTGCTGCAGCGGGCACGGAGTCCGTCCGGATAGATACTCCCCGGTTCCTAACTGTACAAAAAAGTGCAGGGGGAGTCCTTGCATACGCTGCTTGGGGGGCATTTGTACAATAGAGTCAGCACGCGGCATTTCCAACAGGAGAAACGGCCGGCGTCCTGACCAAAGTCCTACTCTATATCATACATCATCGGTTGCTATGTTCCGGCCTGGTTGTCGCGGTGATGCTGTTGCTAGGCGAGGGTTGCTAGGGGCCGTCTGGGTTACTGTTCATGATGGCCTGGCGGTAGCTGTAGCGGTCGGACATGCTGCGGTGCACTTTGGGTGGCCTCTGGCGGGTGGAGACGGTCGAGTGGGACTTCTTCAGACCCTCCCTCCTGGTCTCGCCTGCAGGGAGGAAGGGGGTAAGGTGTTACTCAGACTGAAGTACAGAGGGGAGGGGGGCAAGGCGTTACTGACACAGACTGAAGCTGTTACCATGTGGGTACATCGTATCGTATCCAGAACCATGAAATTTTTACTGGAATGGGTACACTGTATCATATCCAGAACCGTAAAATTTTTACTGGAATGGGTACACTGTATCATATCCAGAACCGTACAATTTTTACTGGAATGGGTACACTGTAGTATCGTATCCAGAACCATGCCAATCTACTATCTATCAGTCACTGACAGAGACTGAAGCTGTTACCATGTGGGTACATCATATCGTATCGTATCCAGAACCGTGTCTATCTCCTTCTATCCATCCATATACCTATATCTTTCTATAGATAGATGGATAGATAGATATAGATACATTAGATGGGTAGATGGATGGATGGATAGAAATAGATAGATATAGATAGATAGATAGATAGATAGATATAGATAGATAGATAGATAGATAGATATAGATAGATAGTGGATAGATAAAGATATTATGTGAATGGATTGGGTACGATTCTGGATAGTCTCTGCATATCCAAGAACATGGTTTTGCCCCAGGCATGGTTCTGGATAAGCATGCATGGGCTATCCAGAACTGTGCCTAACCAATGGTTCGGTATAAAACACGGTTCTGGATCCAACAAACCCCTATGTTTCCACATCCCAAATATTCCAACAACCATAATGCTTTGTCAGAACATAGGGGTTTAACTATAATGTTCATATTCTTTACAATTTCATGCATAGCTTGGAAAAAATTGTGGGAACCTATATATATAATGTTAGATTACATGGAAATGTTGTTCAGTGTGTCAGTAGTAAGTAAAGACAGACAGAGGAGAGGCTACATGTTAGTAAAAGTTTAATGAGGCACTTCTAATAACATCTGAAACCCAAAGAAGCACATCAGGACATTATTGTTAGTAACAACATTTGCCCCCCCCCCAAAAAGTAATAATCACATTATCATGATGAAAAATTATTTTCCACGATGTGGGGACTTGGGGAGACGTGGGTACTACATGTATACCTTCCCACCCTACCCAGAATGCCGTGCGGTGACTAAGAGAAGCCGGTTGGTTGGAGGGACCTCCGTGAGACAGGGCCAGCTGCGATGGGGGGGGGGGGCAGGAGTCAGGTGGAATGAATGAAGTGATATTAGTACAGAGAAAGATGAAGGCATGAATATTCAAATGAAAGCTCATCTGCGTTGGTAGAATCTATAGTAGCAAAGTTTTACTTAGATTCAACACAAAGGGGGAACTCTTGCCACTTTTGATGCACTCCTGATGTCATCACACTTCCGACTTCCGGAAAGTCAGGGATTAATTGTATCACACATTTGATGAAGGTTGACGTGTTCAGCCGAAAATTTATGGTTAGATAAACTTTGCTACTATGAAGGCATGAGGTCGACTGACTCATCTTTGCAATTGTTTTTGATTCCATAGTTTACAGTTGAAATCAATTTGTTTGACCAATTTGGTACACCATCCACGTTTTGTTGTTTCATGTTGTGTTGTTGTTTCATCATCCTACTAATTGACTTTGTAATTATTGGGCAAGATGCTCCAAGATTCTGCCTCACTCATTTAAATACATGTACATATTAGGAGAGTCTTCTGTTACCCCAACAAGGACCCTGCACACTTTAGCTCACATGAATGAACTTAAAATTATACCACAAACCATAGACAAAGCTGCACCACATTCAAGTTATACAACTGATACAAACAGCAAAACTTGATAACAAGAAACAAACAAAAAGAAGCAAAACAGACACTGGTAATGACGGAGAGCAAATCTTGTGATTGTGTTATACAATGTAATTTGTTAGTGAGTGGTGATCATTTTCATCATTGGATATTTTTGTCAGCATGCAGTTAGATTGAATAACCTCCAAATTTCCAGGACAGTGAAATTGCTGGACTGATTCAGAAATACGTGCAACAAGTGTGGTTGCCATAGTTACATGGTTGCCATAGTTACATGGTTTCCATAGTTACCTCATAGCCAGGTTGCCATGGTGATAGAATAGCTATCTGTCTTGTCTAGAAGAGGGGACAGAAGGTGAATATCTACTCTACAGGCAACATAAGCAAAGAAAAAAAATAATAATTAGTAACACAAAAATAACAAAAAAAAGGTAAATAAAAAGGGAAGTAAGGATATGCCAAACTTTTGGGACTATTGTCACTAGAAAAGGTGGCCGATGACAAGTATTGTTTCTGTTTGGCTGTTTGAAAATTCGGTCATAATTCATCCTTAATTTTCTTATTGTTTTAAAGGAGTACTAACCTCCAGAAGGAGGTGCTATATTTCGACAGGCATTTATTTTTGGAAGTGAAAAATGCATATTATTTTACAGTATACAATTAAATGCCCATTTTGCGCGCAAGTCTTAAAACGCATCGAATCCAGGACAAACTCTCCAAATACCCTCAAAACTATCCCAGAAAACACCACGCTACCCCATTGCTGTCTATGTTTTAAACAAAAAGTTACGTTACAGACCTCATTTCGGGGGCGATAAGAAAAATTCGTACCGTTTTGTGTTCTTTGGTATCTTACTAACCATTGCCCTTCTTGGTGTCCTTATCGCCCCTCATTTATGCCGCAAATATTGACGATGAAAAAAACGGGGTAACCTAGTTATCCTTTCCATAAGTGGCGTAATCTAATTATCTGTTCAAGTAATACTTACATGCAAATAAGTTGAGAAAATCAAAACACTCAGGATAAAACTGGCGCCCACTGTATTCGACATCCTGATATTATAATATCCAAGCCACAGATCAAGCAAAGTAAAGCAAGTAATTTCTCAATAACCAGCTTGTTAGTGTGCTTGTCTCCTACCATTTTCGCCGAAAAATGTTTATGTTGACCTGAAGTGTATGAGTATTGCGTAAGCCAGAGTTCCCGGATGTATCAATTGTGGTTCAGCATGGGGGAAAATGATATCACTTTACAAACATGCGCCGCTCAACTCGTACAAGCGAAATTATGTAAAAAGTCGGCTAGTTATGTATTCATTGCAGCATGATGTATCGGAAAATAGCACTTCCTTCTGGAGGTTAGTACTCCTTTAAACCAAAATTCAGTCAGCAACAAAATAAAAGCACTAGCAGAAAAGAGACATAGCAAGTATGCAGTATACTATTGAGAAGAAATATCAATAATACATGTATTATAGATGAAATATTCTACACATAAGCCGTTGATTGAGATAGATCACTATAATGTTGTTTTCCATCATCAGGAGTTCAGGACATGAAAGCATCATCAGGAAAGTTACTGGTTCTTCATTGCAGAATGTGAATGTTTATGATTTGTAAGGGAGGTGCAGTTCTAAAATGTTTCACTAGAGGGTTGCAACAGAAAGAAAACAAAAGTTAGCTGTAGGGAAAATAAAACAGGAAGGCTTGATAGAAAAAAAAGGATATTAAACTGAAAAAATATTTCACATGAAAGATATTTATTTGAATCCCTGCCATTTTTTCATCATGAGCTTTTTTGAGTGACTTATTAATGACCTTTTTGCAAAGAGCAAAACAATGTATCTTCCTTCGGTAAACATAATTAGTAATTGGATCAGTGATGATTGATAATCAATGGAATAGCCCTAGCAACGGTTGCTATGCACCTGTCTGGTTGAATCCGGTCGGCATGGAGGTGGTCCCGCTGATGGGGCGCATCATGGCGGTCTCCTCGTCTTGCGCGATCTTGGACTGGAGCAAGTAGACGTACGTCTTAAATCTGGTTATCTGAGGGGAAGGAAATAGGTACAGTCAGATAACAATATTATGGGGTTGTGTGGCGCAGTCGGTAGCGCGTTCGGCTCACACCCCAGAGGTCGCGAGTTCGAACCCTGCTCATGTCACCGATCTTGTGCCCTTGGGAAAGGCACTTTACACGACTTTACTCACTTTACTCAGGTAGAAATGAGTACCTAGCTTCGGTTAGGGACAAAAAATGGAGGTCCCGTGTTTGGGAGAGGCACACCTAATGCACGTTAAAGAACCCACCGCACTTATAAAAAAGAGTAGGGGATCTTCCCGGTGTGAGTGGTTCAAAACCTTACAGTCCGGTCTTACGCAGCTTGTACATGTACGCACATGTACAAAACTGGTATGTTACGCCTAAAGGCGGTTTACCGGTTATGCGAAACAAACAAACAATATAAAGGAGTGGTATCCATAACCATGCTTATGTAGTTCTTCAACCCGCTTTTGGATAGAACATTAGTCTGCACTATATATGGCAAGAAATTGGAGCATTTCAAAACTTCACAGAAAAGGTAACATAGTCTGATATTGCATCCAAGGGAATTAAAAGATAATTTACTCTCACAGCGGCACATCTGCCTCTCCACACGCCAAACCCAGTCCCTTGATAATTGGGGTCAGGCCAGGAATATCTTAGTTTAACAGAATTTGGCTGGCTTAAGAAGATTAGCTGGCTCGGAGTCAGCAGGAAGATTAGCTGGCTTAGAGTCAGCAGGAAGATTAGCTGACTCAGAGTCAGCAGGAAGATTAGCTGGCTCGGAGTCAGCAGGAAGATTAGCTGGCTCAGAGTCAGCAGGAAGATTAGCTGGCTCGGGGTCAGCAGGAAGATTAGCTGGCTCTGAGTCAGCAGGAAGATTAGCTGGCTCGGAGTCAGCAGGTAGATTAGCTGGCTCGGAGTCAGCAGGTAGATTAGCTGGCTCAGAGTCAGCAGGAAGATTAGCTGGCTCGGAGTCAGCAGGAAGATTAGCTGGCTCGGAGTCAGCAGGATTAGCTGGCTCAGAGTCAGCAGGATTAGCTGGCTCGAAGTCATCAGAGAGATTAGCTGGCTCAGAGTCAGCAGGAAGATTAGCTGGCTCAGAGTCAGCAGGATAAGCTGGCTCAGAGTCAGCAGAAAGCTTAGCTGGCTCAGAGTCAGCAGGAAGATTAGCTGGCTCGGAGTCAGTAGGAAGATTAGCTGGCTCGGAGTCAGCAGGAAGATTAGCTGGCTCGGAGTCAGCAGGAAGATTAGCTGGCTCGGAGTCAGCAGGGAGATTAGCTGGCTCAGAGTCAGCAGGAAGATTAGCTGGCTCGGAGTCAGCAGGAAGATTAGCTGGCTCGGAGTCAGCAGGAAGATTAGCTGGCTCGGAGTCAGCAGGAAGATTAGCTGGCTCGGAGTCAGCAGGTAGATTAGCTGGCTCGGAGTCAGCAGTCAGCAGGAAGATTAGCTGGCTCAGAGTCAGCAGGAAGATTAGCTGGCTCAGAGTCAGCAATACCTCTCACGGATTCAGACTGTTTCTGTAATAGTTGAAACAAGTGGAGTATATAACATTCTTGAAGAAGCTGTCATAGCCCCAGCCTGACTCCAACCATGGGGGGCTGGGTTGGGCGTGTGTTACTGTTACTTTTTGGGGAAGCCAGCCAAGTTTTGTTAAACTAAGATATTCCTGGCCTGACCCCAAATATTAAGGGACTGGGTTGGGCGTGTGAAGAGGCAGATGAGCCGCTGTGAGTGTCAATTATCTATTAATTCCCTTGGATGCAATATTAGACTATGTTACCTTTTCTGTGAAGTTCGGGAATGCCCTATGGCTCAGCTGGTTCCCAAGGGAGAGATAAAATGAACCCATGTGTGATAATGGACTGCTAATTCCATGTTTTATGAAAAACTTAATGGACTAATTGGCTATCTAGTAGTTCTTGTAACCTTTTTTGTGAAGTTTTGAAATGCCCCGTGTTCTACCATGTTCAGTAATTTGCCACTATTGGTCTGCACCAGGCTAAGGGGGTTTCTAAGGGGGTTTGAATAGTGGAATTCTGGGTCCACTATTAGGGTTTCATTTCCCATCTTCCTGTGCAGGAAAATCCAGCCAAAGTCCCATGGCCAATTTTTCTCCCCACTCAGCTAAAATTTATTATTATAGATCATCAGCCCACAATGTCAGTCTGGTAGAGACTGGTTATATAGGAATGTCACGTTGATTTGTTAGTTTTCAGACAAATGAATGCCAATGCCCATATATATGGTATCAAAAATGCTATATAAGGGGCTATCTTTACCTTTTTACCTTTACCTACAGGGAATAAAAACAAACCAAATACAGAGCTCGTGTGGCGTCGTGTGGCGTTGTATGGCGTAGCGGCAGAGTGCGCGACTCGGAAGTAAGAGTCACGGGTTTGAGTCCTGACATGCCACCGATCTTGTGCCCTTGGGAAAGGCACTTTACACGACTTTCCTCACTTAGCTCAGGTGTAAATGAGTATTGTCCTGTCATGTATTTGTCCCGTGTTGGTGGCGGCATTAATATAAGTTGAAAAAACTTGAGTGTGTCGTCACCACGTCTGGTGATTACATGTTGGAATAAAAATGAATACAGAGCTAGAATCTGTCCACCACCCTCACCTCAAACTCCAGGTAGTTGTGCTTCTCGTGCCACTCCCGAATGACGTGTGACCTGGCGCGCTTGTCTGGCGCGTACTGCCGGTGTTCCGCTAGCTCCTGTTCCAGGGACTGCACCTGGGGGTGGGAGAGGATGTAATTTAAAACCGATAAAGCCTTCTTACAATGCATATTTTAAAGCATTCCAGATTTAAGTATGGTATTCATTCATTCATTCATATTAACAGAACCTGGACCTGAAGAGGTAGAGAATCGAAGTTTTTGAAGTGACAAGGCTAACTCAAAGAGACTGGATTTGGGAAGTTCTGTTAGGAGTTCTGTACGATTTTATAGACCTTACCTTGTTCTCATGGTGCTGTAGCTGTTCTGTAGTTGTTCTGTAGACCTAACCTTGTTCTTGTGGTACTGCAGCTGTTCTGTAGCTGTTCTGTAGACCTTACCTTGTTCTCATGGTGCTGTAGTTGTTCTGTAGACCTTACCTTGTTCTCATGGTGCTGTAGCTGTTCTGTAGTTGTTCTATAGACCTTACCTTGTTCTCATGGTGCTGTAGCTGTTCTGTAGTTGTTCTATAGACCCTACCTTGTTCTCATGGTGCTGTAGTTGTTCTGTAGTTGTTCTATAGACCTTACCTTGTTCTCATGGTGCTGTAGCTATTCTGCAGCTGTTCTGTAGACCTTACCTTGTTCTCATGGTGCTGTAGCTGTTCTGTAGTTGTTCTGTAGACCTTACCTTGTTCTCGTGGTGCTGTAGCTATTCTGTAGACCTTACCTTGTTCTCATGGTGCTGCAGCTGTTCTGTAGACCTTACCTTGTTATCATGGTGCTGCAGCTGTTGTGTAGACCTAACCTTGTTCTCATGGTGCTGTAGCTGTTCTGTAGTTGTTCTGTAGACCTTACCTTGTTATCATGGTGCTGCAGCTGTTCTGTAGACCTTACAATGTTCTTGTGGTGCTGTAGATGTTCTGTAGTTGTTCTGTAGACCTTACCTTGTTCTCATGGTGCTGTAGTTGTTCTGTAGACCTTACCTTGTTCTCATGGTGCTGTAGCTGTTCTGTAGTTGTTCTGTAGACCTTACCTTGTTCTCATGGTGCTGTAGTTGTTCTGTAGGAGTTAGCCTTGTCGGTGCCACGGGCATGACTGGTCTTCGGAACTTTTTCTGGGAGCCAATGGCAGCGGGAAGTGGTGGAGATGACAGGGAAGCTGCGGCCAGATTGATCATCGTCATCCAGTCCTGCATTTCTTCCTGGTCACTGTTGTGGGAAGGGTTTACAAAATAAATAAAATGTTTGATGTTCTGTGTTTTCTGCCCTTCTGTTCACACTTGAACCTTAATCTTTATTAAAATTCTTTTTAAAAAAATGTCATCCATTGTATGTATAGTTCATTTGTATCTTTATGAGTGGCTTTTTTCTATGGTTGACATACCATGAAATAAAAAAAAATTTTTCCACACAATAATAATTATCATTATTAACAAGCACGAGAATATTATAAAATGTATACATGCAGCTGACTTGCACTTCTCCTCACAAAACATTGATGCACACCTACGGATTAAACCATTTTACAACATGAAACATGTTTCTGTGTGCATGAAATCTGTAGAAACTGTATTTTCAGCCTAGAACACCAGATCTGCCCAAATCTTCTTGATTAAAGCATATCATACTAAGAAAGGTACAGACTTTTTGCACATGAATAACAGGAAGTAACGGACCTGGCTTGGAACAGAAAAATCCTCCACTCGGCCGTGCGTAATCTGAAGACATTGGGCCTTTTCTTGTAGTCAGTGGCCTTGCTGGCCAAGGAGTGGTGAATGCTGATAGAGTTCCTAATGTCTTCAGTGTACACTTGACGCTCGTATCTGTACTCCTCCTATAGGCAATCATCAATACATGATCAATAATCTACTACGACTACCAATAATCATCAATAATCTATTGTATCTGTACTCCCTGTACAGCCAATCATCAATAAACAATCAATAATCTATTACTGCTACCAATAATCATCAATACGTGTTCAATAATCTATTCCTCCTACCAATAATTTACAATACATTATCCATGATCTATTGTATCTGTGCTCCTCCTATAGACAATCATTGACTACATGATGAAAATTCTATTCTATCTGTACTTGTCTACATTATCCTAAATCTCCCTGTTTGAGCTAATTCACTCACACCAGCAAAACATACTGAAAAATCTGGGTTTAGCGCAGACACAGTACGTTCTACCAACTTGCTTCACTCAAAAACATGTATGCGTTATAGCAGGAATAAGCAGTGAGATGCTTGAAATAAAAGTCTGTTTTTTTTAAATAATTATCATAATTCTGTATGAAGTATCTGTGTATGAAAGTTGAAACTATGAAAAGGATGGAGGCGAAAATAACGGAATTGTCATATGAAGCACATCTACTTGCCTCTTCAGGTATACCGTCTTCTTTCCTGGGTTTCTTCTCATGCGATTGTTAATATACAAACAGAAGGATGCGGAAAGAAAATAAGACATGAAATTAAACCAAAATCACTTAATATGAACAAAACTGCTGTATGTGGAAAATAGTAATGAAAACTAAAGTGGAAATGCATGAAATCATAAATTCAAGGAGCAATGAAGTTATACCCATGGCTACACGTATGTAGATGTATAAGGAAATTTTAACAAAATCAAAGTGAATCTAACGTTCAACGAAGAGCACAAGATAATGTAACCTTTGATGAAAGTTTATTCCCACTTTATTTCTGCAAACTGCTTCCTTAAAACAAGTTATAAGTACACTCTATGTCTTAAGAAAGCTGACAGTAGAAGACGTTACAAAGAGAAACTTTAAGACTCTCACCTTGTGCATGAAGAGTATGAGCCCCTTTAAGGAAGCGTAGAACATCTTCCAGCCCCGCTTGCCAAGAGGTGCTGTCGAGGAAAACAGCGTTACCGTAAATCTTATTATAACATGTTTGCAGTGGTTTCATTTCCATATTTTCTGTGGTATACTGTAAATCATTTTATGTTTGCAGTCTGAGAAAAATGGACATGCTCCTGTAACTAAGTATGTTTGTGGTGGCGGTAGGTGTGGCAAAAAGAAAGTTTCCAAATTATTTGTTCACGATAATGATATTATGTTCGCAGTACAGAAGTGACTGCAAAAACCGCAAAATTATATAAAAGTACCATGAAAAAATTGTGATTTGGAGCACAATGTTCTATTTCTTTTCAGATACAGCTATACATGTATGTGAGCTGCTCACTAGATATTATTCTTGTATATGTAAACCTGAGAGCTTATTCACAAAATTAACACAGTTTCCATTCCAGTGATGTGCTGTGTAAACCATTACTGGTGATATTAGATATGAAGTGAAGTGATCACACCCAAACCTAAAACAACACATGGCAGTTACATGTTCTTGTTAAAAACTGGCAGTAAGTGTAGAGTAAAATGTTGTCTCAAGGTGTGAGTAGTAGTACAATGTAGGTAAAGCAAAACAATTGATATAATACAGTTTATATATGTCAAACAATTTTTCATCATTAAACAGACTGTGAGGGTTATGCTGGTCAAAAGAAGTGAATCTTTTCGAAAAAAAACAACAGTTACTGTAAAAAAAAGTGTGCACCACTTGATGAGATTTATCCTATTAAAAACGTCCTGATATTCAGAACACAATTTATTTCCTTAGTTCTTGGTCATTTTATGATAAACATAAAACAAAAGAACAAGACGAAAACAGAAATTCTGTTTTCAATTTATCTTTCCAGTTTATCACAGGGTACTATGAATTAGTTTTAAGAAATTCCTTTTTCCTGAAAATTTTGCACAGAGCAAATTTTCGGTGCATAACGATCCAAGAACCAACAAAATAAACCGTTGTGGCCTAAAAGTTGCTACATTAAGACAGAAAGGAGGGAAAGAATGTTTAAAGTTAAAACTTTTGGTCCAACACAAAAAATCCTCTCACCTAGAGCTTTCGACCAGTCACTCTGGTCTTCCTCAGTAGACTGACCCAGTGAGGCTTGCCACATGGCTTCTTTGACGTCAACACTGGGTCAAAGGTACCTTGTAGACGATGTCGGCCCCCGTCGCGGTTAAGTGACCCAGTGTTGACGTCACACTTCACAGAACCCACGTGACAAGCCTCACTACAATGTAGGTCAGTCTCTAGGTGAGAGAACTTTTTGTGTTGGACCAAAAGTTTTAACTTTAAACGTCCTGTAACTACCAACACAGATGAACTTTCATGATAGAGGGAATAAAAGATTGACACCTGAATGAGCAGAAGGCTACTCACCCGGCAAACAACAAAGTACTGGAGACGGGTGAGTCGGGAGAAACAAACAAACAAACAAACAAAAATGGGTCGCCAGAAGAAGTACCGGTGGAAGTCACACGTCGACAGGGCTGGAAATACTGGGTGCATGTGCATCTTAGTGCACCCAAACTTGGAGCTGTGCACCCAATAATTTTCTGTGGGTGCACTGGTGTACCCAAATATTTTTGTAGCTATTTTTGTACAATCATATTAAATGTATAATATTATAGTATACAGGCTATTCCTGTCATCTTAGTGTCAGAAAAATAATAAAATCTTTGTTGTAGTATTTGTTCAAGATTTTGAAGTTAGCTCCCATTTGACAATTCAAACTAAGAAGAGGAGCAGTAAGATCTGTAATTAGGTTTTATAATATATGGTGCATCCAAGAATGCACCAGTGCACCTATTCCCCAAAATGAATTTCGAGCCCTGCGTTGAAGATGCAAAACATGGACACACAAACGAACACAGTGGAGCAAGCCATGCCTGTACGTATGCTATACCTTTGTACTGCAAGGCCACACCAATTCTGTAACAGTCAAACTTGTCTTAATTGTGATCACTTTTTGATCATCATCATAATAATAAACTTAAGTGTTCTCAGGTACAAATCTGCGGCTATGCCCAAAAGTAACGCCGGATTGGTACACCAAATCTCTATAAAATGCCATACTTTGTACCCTGTACAATTGTTGAGCAATAAAGTTAAAGTTTCTCTTATATGTGGCTCACCTGATCAAAATGGTCAACTTTGATCAGTCCCTTGGCTTGAGTGACCGCTATTACAGTTTTGACCGTACGTGCATGTTGAATAAATGAATGACAACCTTTCTTGCACATTTTTGCCACACTTGGCTAAGTACTGGTCGAAACAAAATACGATAAACAGAATCTGATACAGAAAAAGAAACTAAATATCGTTGTACAAATTCAACTTCTCCTTGCTTTGTTGTACCAGAACTCTGCAACTCAGACTGAAAAGCTTACATCTGATGTTTTTCATGTGGCATGTTCAGCTATAGCTGATGCTGTTAGGCTGATGCAAATTAAGATTTGCCCATATCTTGACTGAGGGAGGCTATTTGGAGAAGTCTCACTGGTATCTCAGATTTGGATTTATGTCAGGGCATAGAAGAGTTTGGCTGTATGATAAAGTCAGCAAAGCCCTAAGGCTTCTGTGGCAGCATATAAGATAATGGCTTAGGAATCGCATGTCGATGAGTATGCTAATCTGCATCATATTGTTTGTTTTGGCTCCTCATACTCAGTCTTCTGTATAAAACATGACAAAAAGAAACAAAAGCAAAATGTGAAGACCAAATTATTCTTTAAGAAATTTATGCAGAATGTCATAAACTGTACCACCTATCCAGTTTTGTCTTGTTTTCCTTAATAAGACAGCTTCTGCAGTTTTTAAAATCCTTTACCACAATCTGAGATGCAACAAACTGAATCAGTGTGGCCTTCCAGATCTCTTAACAGTGTCTTATATTATTATGATGCTGCTTCTACTTTCACGTGTAACAAGCAGTGCATTTGGCAAAGGCTTGGCAGCAACAGACTGCAACTGGCAATGGAAAAGCTGGCCAGTAATTCTTCTTCTAAAAGTGATTATATTCTAGACTAAAGTATATGTTTCTGTGAGCTTTAGGAGACTGGGTAGACTTGTGCAGGGGAGAGCAGTGCAGATCTCAGGCCACACTAAGTCTTTACCTGGCTTTTAGAACTAAAGAATTATGAAAATACAAAATCAAAATAAGCCCAATAAGTGCCATGGAATCATGATGTAAAGCAGCAACAGGAAGTAGAATCTAAATGATGGAGTTATCAACAAATCTTTTTTGGCAACTAGTGACCATGCTTTAACTTATTCATATAATTTGTTATTCAATACATCTCTCCCTACCCTTCCGTTAGATTTCTACAATCACTATGTACATGTAGTAATATAACACATTGTTAAGAGACCTGGATCTTCTCTGTTTTGTTTTGTAAGAAAATATGAGGTAATGTTTCCCGTCATCTTTTGAGTTTTAAGATTGAAACACAACGTCCGACAACCAAGTAACAGTATTGGTGTGGCCCATGACATGCCTACATGTATACATACACAGCGTGGAATACAGGGGAAGACAGGTGCACACACAAACACACAAATAAACAAACAAATAAACAAATTGTTGTGTTTACTTTTGCGCCCATCGGCCTCGACCGTGCACTTCCTGAGGAGGAAGCCTTGCTTGAAGGTCACAGCGTTGGGGTCGCGTGGAACGTCTAAGAAAGGATTGTCTCCGATTCCTGGAGAAGACTGGACAGGAAAATGCAACATTTTGTAATTCAACTCCAGTGATAAAGCATACTTGTAATGTCAACTAACAGGTTCTTTTGCCAGATCACCAATTTCTGCCTTCCTGAAAAAATGCGTAAAATATTATTCAGTGTTAGGAGATCTCCAATGCAACATCTTTAATCTCAGTCATATATTGACACATAATTGGTTAAACATATTTTCTATATTAATACATTTGGTAGACCCCAATCATGTTACCATATGTTTTTGTCTGGCCCCAAAAATACAACATCAAATCTAAGATGTACATGAATTAACAATTTGACACCAAATTAATTTTACATAACGTCAATGGACATACATGTACATATGATACTGATGGGCCTTACGTATGCACCACCGTGAGAAAAAATGCATCCGGTTGATTTGTAGTGAATCACACATTCACACATTTGAATTTTGTCCAAATTTGCACACCGGGGCATGCCCCGACTGTTTTACCAAAGGTGCATGTGAGCAGTTTATGTCCTGCTGGCTGGAGAAGCAGTTTAATATACTTTTTATGGGCCTCATCGAAGCCAACATTGATTTTTGCAGCCCTCCTGGACCAAAGAAAGGACAAAGGTCATACGATAAGTGCTGAAGTCACCTTCAAACTGGGGGAGGGGGGCAGTTTTAAGTCAGATTTTAGTCAATAGTCTCGTACATTGTATAGGCCAGCAGTCTCGTACATTGTACAAAGCCTTGCCTTACACTGTACAGCTCAGTCATTTTGCCTTTTTTCAATACTGTATTGCTTATCATGTAAGACTACATTGTAGATTACTGAAATAGCTATAGTAGTGGTCTCATAACACATTGCCGTATATAATGTACATTTTGATCAGACAAATTATCAAACTATTTATCAAAGTATGGTTTTTCCATTGAAATGATTTTCTGAATTCAAAATAAAAGGGAATTATCATTATGGTAATGTCTACATCCATTTTCATAGCCTGGGTACCATTCCATAATTGCTAGCAGCTTTCTACTGTCCCTGGACACCACATAGGATAACTATGGAGGATGAAACCCAGGCTACCATTTTGATGATGATCTTGGTTTATTTTTCTATAAACAGCACAATAATACAGTAAATACACAATGCCATTACTTTGCAGCCATTAAGGCTAAATTGTGTGAATTTAAGCAATAAACAATTAATATCTAATAAATTCTTCTTGAATGTCACTTCTTGTCATTTTCCCTACTTCCATGGAAAATCCTACTTAATTTGCAACATCCTTGTCTTGGCTTGTCTAACTTTTGTTTCCTTTTGGACTTCCGACAAATTGTCCTCACTTTATTTGCATATCAATCAATAGTTCATGCTTATAAACCTGCATTTCTCCTCTGGTCTCTCAGTCACTGACGAAAGCTAGAGGATGCTACCTAAAACGTCTGTTTCTAAAATTATATCCAGTTGCTTGGGTAACTGTTTTTGACGCAAATCCCGGATAATTCTGAAGCTAGTCACGACTAGGAACTGCCGTGTTTCATCCCAGTTTACAGCCGTTTCACCGGGCTCGTCTCTACGCCTCATTTCTGCTGATTCCTCTCTCATATTGCCTATTACCGACTATCGTCACACAGACCACATCAAATAAAGGCTTCCTGCTGTTAACTCTCTCTACTGTCGGCTGTTCAGATGGGCTAACTGGAGAATTTTCTCCGCATGAAGGCATACCCACTCTCTATAACATGTTATAAGGGCTAATGCAGGGGATGTTCACTTGTTGGTCATTTTAGATTGGAGAGCCATTTTCTAAAGTTCAGGGGTACCCAAAGTGTGCATAGCTCCGGGATTATACTGATGATGTGTTTAGTACATGTTCACCATTCTTTTCAATGTGGCAGTCTTAGTAAATCTGGAAAAATAGTTATGAGATTTGACATAATGTTATGTTCAGCAATGCCAATGGTTGTGTACATCGATGAAGGTTAGACATCCAGGTAATGAGATACGTAAGAAAACAGCTACTCATCCAACTGGATAGATTTTGAAAAACGTCACTAATTTCAAGCAGCATTTTGGTAAGCCACAGACATTTCAAGTAACATCTACAAATAGTACAATGTACTACTTTTTGTCAGTGATTAACAAATGTTAATGTCACTGACAAAAGGTAGTGGATGTTACTTGAAACGTCTGAAAGTTTCCAAAATCTATCCATTGCTTGTGTAGTTGTTTTCCTGTGCAATGATTGTGTACACTATAAGAATAGACTGGTTTAAATTTGTACTTACTGTAGATTCATTGCCAGTCTTGTTTGCTGCTGCTCCCTCCTTCTCTTCTTCATCACTGCAGACAAAACAAACCAACAGGAATCCACAGTTATTCACTTTCATCATCATCCAAGTGGTATCTGTGTGGTGTAGTGGATAGAGCAGCCAACTGTCCAGCAAGGAGACCCAGGTTCAATCCCCAGGGTTGGACCCAGACATGTCCGGACATGCACCCAGCCGCTGTGCCCTTGGGAAAGGCACTTTACCCATATTTCCCCCCTCAGTTAGAGGGATCCTGGACCCTACTAGGCTTTGGGTTGGCGTTAGGAAGGACTTCCACTTGATGCAAGCACGTCCAACCCCAAGTTAAGTGGAAAAATGATGTTAAAATTGGATAAGATCCACTCCCAGCAATGTTCTCACTCAACACATCTCATTAGGACTGCCTAATACTGCACAAATTCAGGAAGGTATTAAGCATTTCCTGGCCTAATGTAGAATGATGAAGTAACAATGTACAATATATACAATCATGTAGTATTACCCAATCACAGGTTGATCAGGTTATCAAGCTCTTGATTTGGGAGGGTAAGTCCAGATTAGGGAGGGTCAATCAGCGAATTGTAAGAGTAGGTTTATGTATTGATTACTCTGATTGCTCGCGTACGTGATCAATATTGTGGGATTGGTAGAGCTTGCCTGCCTTATTGTGGATTAACTTTTCCCAATCAGCCTTTCATTAATACCACTTGTTTTTGTGTGGGCGGTTCAGATTTCCCATCCCAAGTACAACGTATTGACATTCAAGATGTAGATTTAAGTTACCTGCATAGGGCTCATACTAACAGAAATGCCGATAAAAATAAAATGAGATATAATAATGTAGTGTTAAAGCCTAACCATTTCTACATTTATTACTCAACGTTTGTATCATTCTGTATCTATATGGCCGGTATAACTGCCCTTCGGTGTAGCACACCAGCTAGCATCAACCCACACGACAGAGGCAAGTGGCCGGCTGCCATCAAGCCACACTATTGCAGTACATTGCTCGTCTAACCCTCGGAAGACAGGGAACAACAGACGATAAATCATGTAGTGAGTGAGTGACTAACTGACTGACAGCTTTAAATCATATTGATATCTAAATGATACCAGTGATTAAAACATAGACTGGCATAGCTGTAAAATGTTATTGTTAGTCAGAGAGTACAACAGACAGGCTGTAAAAATGCACCATCCACTGACAATGTCTCCTGCAACAACTACTGGTCATTCAGCACCAGGGACAGGGTCTGGCTACCACCAGTGAAAAATCAAATTTCCAAGTTTTTGGACTTCATTTATTACAATGTTATGCACGCATCTGAACACTTCTGAGTTTCCCATTGAGAAGAGAAACAACAATTACATCAAAGGTTAGATATCAATGAGATACCATGGTACCAGTTACTCAAGGAACTATATAGATTTTCAAATGACTTCAATTCTAGTGTTGTCCAACTACAAACACGAAGAATTCACCTTACAACAACAAGAACCCTCCTTACCTGAGGTACCTGAGGAAAATCTGGATCATGATGAGAACCTCCCACTCCGAGAGCAGGCAAACTGGCTGAACCGACTCCCGAGGAACAACTCCGGCTCCCCGACCCACCCACAGTCTTATATAGTACCAGATTAGGCACATGCTAACGCAGCAGCGGATCCATTTTGTCTCATTTGTCACACTCGGGCTGATCTCCACGCTCCGCCGTCTGACGCGGCTGTTTTTGTTCTTGATTAGGGTTTGATGAGACTTCAGAAATCCCCCGTCCTCGCGGGGAGTCTGCGGGAGTGAGTGTGATGGATCAGGCATGGCAGAAAGAGGGATGGGCAGGCCTCAAAATTAACTTTTCTACCACGCTAATACAGCCCATCCCTACACCAAGTCTCTCATGCTCCTTCTATCAAAACACAGGCCTCGAAATTAACTTTTCTACCACGCTAACACAGCCCAACCCTTTACCAAGTCTCTCATACTCCTTCTATCAAAACACAGGCCTCGAAATTAACTTTTCTTCCTATTTGTCTGTATCTGTATAGCCGGTATAACCGCCTTTCGGCGTAACACACCAGCTTCGCAGGCATGCGGCGCGGCGGCAGCTGGCTATATTACATCGATCGACTTGTTACACCTAACCCTTGAACTTCTAGCTCTAGACATTGTTTAAAGCTATCTATTGACAATGCCCCTACTGTACTTGGTGACAGTGAGTTCCACTCTGCGATAGTTCTAGGAAAGAATGAATTCTTGAACACCTCAATCCTTGGTTGATAACTCTGGTACTTGAATGCATGGCTATTTCTTGTTCTCTTCTGGGCTGGTATTAGGTACTTAGTAGTTGGGACATCCACCAGTTTATTAGTCATTTTGTACATCATGCATAGCTAGTCTGGACATCTTTCTTCTGTCTTCCAGTGAGGTCCACTGTAGGTTTCTTTTCATTTCCGTGACACTAGCACCTCTTTCATAGTTGTTCATACAGAATCTTGCAGCTTGATTCTGTACCCTTTCCAATTTGTCTTTGTCTTTCTTTGTATATGGATCCCATACTGTCGCAGCATATTCTAGGTTCGGTCTTACAAGTGACGTGTATGCAAGGGATTTTACTCTAGTTGGACATGCCCACAGATTACGTTTAATCACTCCCAATGTCTGTTTTGCCTTAGTTGTGATATTATTAACATGTGCACCCCACTTCAGTCCGCTTGTCAGCGTGACGCCCAGATACGGATGGATTTTTGTGGTTGCTAAAGCCTGACCACAAAACTGGTAGCTAGTTGCATGTGGTGTTCGTTTGTTTGTTATGTGCATAATGTAGCATTTTTCGGGATTAAACTATTGTCCAACACTGTCCCAAAATAAATCTCAAATGTCCAAAAGTGAGGATGAACTGCCCCAAACTGTTTTTTGGAAAGTAATTGTATGACTTCAACTTGTAGTCAACTTTCTTTTACTTATGTTCATTCCCAGGCGTACATTAATTGCAGAGTAGATAGGAAATTCGCAGGGACTTTTCCGGATCCATAGGCCGGGACGTGTGCCTGATAAACAAAAGAAGGGCTGACCTGATGCTGATTATTTCTCTATTGTCCCAAAATGTCCCTAAGTGTCTCTTTACTTGTCCAAGCCTAAATTTTAGTGGTCAGTGGCCATCTGGACCACCTTTAATTTCGAGCCCTGGTGGAGCGGGGAAAATTGTAATGATTCCTGTCGGAGAGAAAAATGAGCAGGGGGAAACAAAAGGAACTGGGTGGAAAACGTAAACCAGCTGGCTTGTGTCTGATCTGCCTGGTTATAATGACTTTATCTGTCACCAGTCCAACTACTGTCAATACCAGATTGGGTTCTTCCCTGTCTACGACATTTGGCAAAAGTTGGTTGGCTCGTGTGGCCATACGGATTTGATTATGTGGTTGCTATTCTCTGGGGACATTAAAACTGATGCAGGCATGACAAAAATGGTGTCTTCATTATAAAGTTAAGTTGTCAGGAAGGCTGAACACACAGAGTATGGTACACCGAACGATAAGTTCTTTCTTTCTGCTCTTTCACGTCTTATTGACTTTTGAAAGTAGTAAAAGAAAGTGGTAATTTGGAATTCACTTTAACATCATCTTATCCTTTTGTCCTTTGTCATCGTTCAAGTACTTAAATATGTATAAAGAAACAGTATACAAAAGTTCAAATTTTTATTTGGATACAGATGAAAACAGATTGCACATGCAGATGTCATGGATAATCTAGTCAGTGTTGCCTGACAGACGAAACTTATTGCCATTCCATCATCGGGACGGCGGAAATTGCCCTGTTTAATGTGAACAAGATTAAAAGCAGATCGCTGGAACGCAATCTTGTTGAGATGACAGAAAAAAATTCAGAATTGGACAGAATCACTACAGCAGGAAGCAACCACATACTGGAACTTCTTTTTAAAAATTTTAAGTTTTCATAGATAAAGGTATGGCCAAGTGGGTAGAGTGCTCGCCTTGCATTCGGTAGGTCGTGAGTTCGATCCCCAACCGAGTCATACCAAAGATGTTAAAAATGGTCCATACTGCTTTCTCTGCTTAGCACTCAGCATTTGAGAAGGAGTATGGGAGTTAAACACACACCACTACCAGTGAACTAGCCCCCTGCTGTAGTGATTGCACAACTGTGTGGCCCAAGGGCTAAAGAAACAGAGATGCGACCATGGCCATGCTAATGCTTGTGGGAGGACTTTAACTTCAACTTAAGAGATGAGACACCAGTTTTAGACAGGAACTGCCGTCATTTTCCATGGTGTTATCTGTGATATACAGACTGCTTTGTCGATAGATGTTGAGACACGGGTGTTGGAAACATGCTTTACAGCACCGCCTCCTTATTATATACCTGTAGACTTGAGGGTTATGGACCGATAAAGACAAAATGATAGGTTCTTCTGTTAGTATTAAAAAAAAAAACAACTGAAAAGTTTCTGATCTATAAGTTGTTATATATTGTACCTGCTACATTTGTTTTGCAGCGAAGATTTAATTCTATATCGGTCCCTTGTTCAGGGGTAACCACATTGACAGCTTTGGATAATCAAACTGAACCACACTTTTTTTGAAAAGGGTGTACGTATGAATGTACCTGTTGTCTACCCCATACACCTAGTTAACTTGAATTGCAATGTACCATGGCAAGTCGAAGTACAAATATCAAATATTGTATTATACTAGTATTGCTTGTATTCATGGCTTTTTCTCCACCCCTGCACGTTTACTTTTCTGTAAAATTATCTTCTACAAACTTTGCTTTTATCATGTACTGAATGTGCATATAAATAAAAACCCCAAAACTCCCTACACACAAACCCCCTTCAGGGCCCCTCCTATTGATCCATACAGAACCACCAGCTACGCAAACCTGACTTCTGACTCCACACTACCAGCCCCCCCCCCCCATCGGTGACATCGTGAGAATCAATATGTGAGTTTTTCAATAATCCTCGTCTCGTCGGCTGAACACATGACAGATGGCGTCGACCGACCCTGAAATGTGGTCAGAAGTCGTCTTTCGGGGCGTAACTTTCACCTGTATATAGGTGATCACCTGTACAGTGTCAGGTGTGGTCTGTATTTCTAGTTTTCTTTCTAGTATTTTCAGTTTTAGTGAGTAAGTGTGCCCTACTTGGACTAGAAATAGATTATATTGTAATGCTTTCTAACATAATTTTGCCGCTTTTATATTTTATTGTTTATTTCAGGCCTGCCACAAGGCGGCCCCCCTTGCGGAGGGCAGACCAATCTACTGAGTATAAATGTGTGAACATTCCTGACCACCCCTACATGAGAGATGGATTAGCCCAGAGGAAATTACAATGAAGGTAGACTGTTGAATCATTCAAAATCTGAATAAAGACAATAGCAGCTATTTGCCTTGAAACTACTGGTGCCTTCAACTCAGAGTAAAAGCCCTGGAAATTTCATTGTCTATACCAAAAATTTTTTTTGGGAAATGCACATCAAAGATAATATCTTGTATTTCATGCCCTGAAATTTGACTTGTGCCTCATATTTTTTTATTACAGCAGCTACATGTTAAACCATGGAACTACAATATTGCCTACACTGCAGTCATTACTTCAGAGACAACGTCTTTTTGAACTCAGTAATGTTAGCTGGGTCTCATGCAGAAAAGGCAAAATCACACTATTCACAGACAATAGTTTTTTATATTTCATGCCTTGAAATTTGAGTTGTGCCTCATATTTCTGGTTACAGCTATAGGAACTTATTGAATGCCCGTTGTACCATGTCCCAGAATGATTTACAGAGAGAATTGTGTGCAGTGGCTGTAAATCTGCCGACCCAGGCCTGACCGTGTCCACCCACTCACTACATCACAGGGTGAGAAACTGAGCTGTGACCTGCCGTGGGATCACTCACCACTAGTCACTACTAACACTAAATACCATTAGTATTACGGCACTGCAAATTGAACATTTATGTAGACTAGATGCTCAATTATTTACTAAATATATATTTGTTCGAGGGTAACCCAAAAAAGGTGCTTATGCACACTTCCCTCACTTTCATGAGAAACTGAGCTGTAACCTGCCGAGGCATCACTCACCACTAGTCACCAGTAACACTTACCAGGATGGCACTTCAAAGTTCACATTCAAACAGACTATATATAAGATAGGAGCTTAATTATTTACTTGTATCATATACAGTTGCCGTGCAATAAAGTTCTTCTATATTTGTGAGAGGGCAACTGAAAAAAGGTGCTTATAAATATGCACCTGTTTGCTCTGCCTTTTTGTGTTGTGATAAATCCAAATATACAAACAAATAAATAAAAACCATAAGTGTTACAGTTACTGTAAGAACCCAATTTTGAGATTTTTCTCCAGTTCACAACTGAACAACCGATTGTATGGATAACACAAAAAACTAACAGACAAAATGTTTATAATTGTAGGAAGGAATACTCACACAGCCCACTCGATAGGTTCAGACTTGATGGAGTGATACAACGCCTGAAAGGGAAACAAACAGGTTAGATACATTGTAGAACAAACAAATGAACAGGTTACATGTAGGTCATAGTACAGACAACCATATTTCAAGCTTTCTAGGACAAAGCAAAGTTCTTTCTCAATTCCTTTGCTTTGAACAGTAACAGTTGGTGTGGCAAGTCTTCCAAATCTCAAAACGCATAAAATGGAACCCAAGAAATTTGCACAACAGGGACAGAGGAGGGAGGGGGGCATCGGTACAAATTTGTATAGAACCAGCTATGCTGCAGCGCGATACATCTAAACACGCCATCACATTTCCTTGACAATGACAAAAGAGCTGGCAAAGTAGTGAAACCCAATCAGCTGGGCAGGTAAGGAGACATCTGGATAAAATCTATCCATGTCTTAGAGACGGGAGGGTTACGGCTTGCTCAGACTTACAATGTATTATCACAGTCTTTCTTAAGCTCTCATGTGCCGAGTCAAAGCAGAGTCATTAAGTTCGGACTAAAACTCATATGACTGAGAAAAGACTAAAACCCACTCTGGTGAACATGGCTGACAGACTGGCATCAAATAATTTTACCAACCAAACCAGTCCTGAAACATCAACACCTCAACTAAAGGCAAATGATTCAACAAGATCACCTCAGAAAAAGGAGCTACACATACATGATCGGTGAAATCCAAGAACTGACTGAAAATGGTTGCATGATCACATCAGAAAAAGCTAAATCCGCATCAATGAAATCCAAGAACTGACTATAAATGGTCCAACAATCGGCCTAAAACGCACAACAGCCAACACAAAGCCATTCTATAAATGTCCCTTAAACGGGGCAAGCTTGTCAAACAACGCTATTATACAGCAACACTCACTTCATCAATTTCATCGATAGCCTTGGGAGCACGCAGGTTATAAAAGTTGTAGTCATCCTCAAAGGCATTCATCCTGCGTCCAGCCCGCCACAGTTCATACCACCGGACATTCTACACACACACACGCACCCCTCGGAGAAGTAATCCGACACCAGAGACGACAGTGGAATAATCCGGCGGATGCCCTGACCCGTGTTAATGACGGCGAGCGCAGCTATCATGAATGCATGACCCGCGAGGCTGTGGCGTCATTAATTCCGCGCAGAGGTGCGAAGTCGTCTGATTCCTACGTCGGGCCGCCGGCACCTCTGCAAATAGCCCCGTACATCACATGGTCCGACATGACATCACCGATACTCCAATCACACAACCGGTGATGAAAATTCACCTGCAGGGAGGCTGGGCTCAATTTTTCATACTTCCATTTAAATTTGCCACCTTTATATTCACATAAAGTCACAACTTGTAATTTGGACTTTTATTTGAACATTTTGCTGTCAATGCTCATAGTAATTTTTATCATCAGTTGTCTCCGTTGCAGTCTTTCACAGTAACTTAAAAATTTCAGTTATTTTAACTTTTATGTTTAATTTTTTGTCACAAACATTTGATAAAATGAAGCAGGGACCTCTGCAGCAGTATAACCAAAGACTTGATACTACTGCTACATTTGATACTGATAGTTCTGTTGGAACGATGCATATGCAAAGGACTGGATGTAAATATGCAATTCTCAACATCCCATCATTCTACCTGGTTATTGGAGTACCAAACATCAAGCCACAAAATCAAAATCCATAACAAAACATGCGTGAGCCAAAACTGATACCTGTATATATGACAAGCTATTGACTAATATACAGTCCATATGCACAATTTGATATTCGTATGTAAGACTATGCAAATATAAAATGGGGAAAAAAATCAGCCTATTGTAATAACATCTCAATATTCTAGCTTTGCCTTCTGAAAAATCATGACATGCTAAAATTAACGAAGTGCATGATGTGCATTTGTGGAACAAATCCCACAGTTAAGGTGCCATCTGGCCCTGAGGTAACAAGGCGTGCATGTCTTACTAACAAACAACCTGCCATCGCTTGACTCTCACACATGTAAATAATGAAAGTAATCCATATTGATTTCCAAACTGGTTTTAATTACTGTCAATGTATGCATGGCCAGTGCTCTTTTGTCAGGTAGGCTTTTGTGCATATATAAGGATGTAGTTTAAGCTAGAACAGGGATTGAAATACGTTTTCATGCATACAAGTGTATGAAGCTAACGTTCAAATGACCAGTACCAGAAACAGTTAACCTTTTAGTGAATTCCAATATTTTATTACACTGCTGTGGGGGTCCCTGATACAGGGGTGTACGGCAGCCATTTTCATTTCCATTTTATGGACCATAAAAAAAACTATATTTGAAGTTGTTCCCAGAAGCACAATTTTGAATCTTGAATGTGATTTGCTGTATTGAAGACGGGTTTAATATAGTACAAAGAATGTAGGTATTTTGAGGGGCTGCAAACCTATTGCTGTTTTCATAAGGTAGCTTTATCATGGATGGGTAGACATCAGAAATACCTGCTGAGGTCCAGTGTTACTTGCATGAAGCTGCATATCTATACATGAGGTATTTCGAGTCTTATATTTCCATGTGGAACCTTCCAGACAGTGAGGATAGGATTAAATCATTGTCTCACAACCAGTTTTTTCCATCCTTCTTGGTTTTCTATTCCTTTTAACAATTACCAGACTGGTGCTATTGACATTTGCTGTGCACAAGAACCACAAGACAGAGGCAAATGGCAAGCTACCATCAAGCCCCAGCATCAGTGTGCAAGCATGTCTAACCCTCGGAACACTGGGAACAACAGATGCTAAACTGGATAGAGAGAGAAAGAGAGATGCTTTATAAGTTTATTATAACTATAAGGCAATTTTGTGTCTTATATTTCCATGTGGAACCTTCTAGCTTCCAGACAGCGAGGATAGGATTACATCATTGATCCAGCCTCCCCTCTGCTGAGTTAGAAGAATAGCGGCTGGAAGGCGGGGGATCGAATGAAGGAAATCGTACACCGGAGCCAGCCGTGCGGAAAATGAGAACCCAGGATGAGGACATCTGGGCAGATCACGCTGACGCACTTCACAAGCGGGGGTCTGACTTCATTTTGGGTGACCTAAAATTGCAGGTGCATTTCATTTCTGGTGCACATGACCTAAAATTGCAGGTGCACAGAAAACAATCCGGGTGCACAACACACATGTCATATGAAGGAAAATGTCAGCAAAAGCTAATGTCCATTGTGAGATTTGACAAAAATTACAATTCTACAGCTAAGTTTTAATTCTAAACAAGCAATAGAGAGAAGGTTGTTTAAGATTTTCTGACAAAGAATATGCTGCATACTGTCATGGTAACATACTTGTCTACTAATATAAACTGGATGGAAAGCCAACCTAATAAAATTGACAATTAAAAACTTTGGGTAGATAATACATGTAGCACCAGGATTTCAGCACCAAGGACAGGGACAAACACAGAATTTGAACCCTCACATGAATTGCACAGTCAACCCAATGGAATCAACAATTTTGGATTTGGATGGATAATAGATAGCAAGATCATTACACTGGAAGTGGAAGGCCATTTTGTTCATTCATTCAAAACCCATGAGGTTGACTGAGGAAGAGATGGATCAACATCACATGGGAGGATTTCCACCACCTAAACTTTAAGAGTGAACCCACAGGATAGAGGCAAATGGCAGGAGATGACAGATATCCAAGAGATCCAAAGTTACGTGCTTAGAGACATCAAGCCTCAGCATCAGTGTGCAAGCATGTCTAACCCTCGGATGATGGGGAACAACAGACGTTAAACCGGATAGTGAGTGAGTGAGTGAGTGAGTGAGTGAGTGAGTGAGTGAGTGAGTGAGTGAGTGAGTGAGTGAGTAACACGAAGAAATCAGCACCAAGGACAGGAACAAAGCAACATCCAGAACTGTGCAGCACTTAACTGCTTCTAACACAGATATCATCCTCTGACAAATATGTGAACGTCAAGCAAAGCCTGCACACAGAGGGCAGAGATCCCATGTTCCATGCTAAGAGACATCAAGGCTCAGCGTCAGTGTGCAAGCACATCTAAGTGCAACAAGCACAACAGACGTTAAACCGGATAGTGAGTGAATAACACTAGAAAATCAGCACCGAGGACAGGAACAAAGCAGCACTTTTATGCTTCTAGCCATGGAGGTACAAAAATAACACAGATAGGGTTGTGTACCTAAACAGACCATCAGGTACAGGTACAGAGGTTTAGGTACAGGTCTGGATGTTCTTCTGAACTTCCTTAATATCATTAAAAACAGTAACAAACTTGACAGAATCTTTATTCCATAAAACAGAACAGAACTAGGCAGCCTTATGCCGTATTCAAACAAAACAGAACCTTGTGGACTGTTTTTTGCTGCATACAATACTCTAGCTGTTCTTCTGTATCTGTATCTGTATAGCCGGTATAACCACCTTTCGGCGTAACACACCAGCTTCACAGGCACGCAGCGCGGCGGCAGCTGGCTACATTACACTGAACGACCTGTTACACTTAACCCTTGAACATCTAACTCTAGGCATTATTTAAAGCTATCTAATGACAATGCCCCTACTGTACTTGGTGACAGTGAGTTCCACTGTTCTTGTCATGATCTGACAAATACCAGAACAACAAGCAAGATACTGCGTTCTTACTTATAGACACATTCACTGCACATACATGTAGCTTCAGCTGCATTACATCTACCTGCCTCCCGGCAATTCATGAAAAATTCAGTTTCCCATTTTCTCTATCCATTAGTCTGACGGTGGGACATGAAATATGTAGGAACGAGATCTCACAGTCCTGTAGTTTATGTTGCGATAAAAATCTTGGCGTGAGTCGTGTGCTGTATGTCGCATGCAGGAAGAACTGTGGGGATGTGTGGCGTAGCGGCAGAATGCTCGACTAGGAACCAAGAGGTCCTGGTTGCAAGTCCTGACATGCCATCGGTCTTGTGCCCTTGGGAAAGGCACTTAACACGACTTTCCTCACTTTGCTGAGGTGAAAATAAGTATTGTATTGTCCCGTTTTGGTGGCGGCATTAATATAAGTTAAAAAAACTTTGGTGTACTGTCACCACGTCTTGTGATTACATGTTGGAATAAAAAACCTTGGCAAAGTGGCAAGATGGTCTTGTGTCTTTGGTTACACACTAACACTTGGAATCAAAAGGTTCTGGGTTCCAATTCCTGACAGGCTCCAATGTTGTACCCCATGGAATGAAACTTCACACCACTTTCCTTGCTTCACTCAGGTGAAAATCTGAACCTAGCATTGGTTAGGGATGTCCTCTCATACAGTTGGGACATGGAGCCAGAAGTCCTGTACTTGGTGTTTGGATTGGATGAGTGCTTCGGATTATTGCAAAATCAATGTTGCAACTTCCACCTAGCTGTTGAGCATCGTATTGCAGCATTCAGTCCTTGTGCCTGCACTAGAACTGCCACCTAGCTGTTTCACACTGTACTGCAGCATTGTAACCTATAGATCTCGTGGTTGAGAGTAAAGAGCCATCTATCTATCTGGCATGGAACTGCAAAATTCTAAATGTGGAATGGACTAGCAAAGCTACATACATTGTACATGTAGCTGTAGCAATTTGTTGTTGTTCCTAAACCAGAACCTTTTATAAGTTGGAGGGATTGCCCAGTTTTGTCTTCATGAAATACTAGTAAATAAATTCTAATACAGTTCATTGTTGAAAGTTCAAGATGAGTTCAAAGTTGAAAGTTTAAGATGAGTTCAAAGTTGAAAGTTTCTCCTGACCTTGAGAGTGTCCTTGTTGAAGTTGTTTCCGTCGTTCAGTCCGGACAGGTTGTCGATGAAGGCTGTCAGAGTCATCCTCTTCCCGCCGTGCTGTAAACAGTAACCATGGCAACAAGACTGTAATCAATCACCATGGAAACACTGGTGTAAATAATTACCATGGCAACACTGGTGTAAACATTTACCATGGCAACACTGGTGTAAACAATTACCATGGCAACACTGGTGTCAACAGTAACCATGGCAACACTGGTGTACACAATTACCATTACATTATGATAGCAACACTGTTGTAAATATCTGCCATGGCAACACTGGTGTAAACAATTACCAAGGCAACAATGGTGTAAAAATTTACCATGACAATACTGGTGTAAACAGTCAATCACCTTAGCAACACTGGTATAAACAATCACCATGGAAACACTGGTGTAAACAGTTACCATGGAAACACTGGTGTAAACAGTTACCATGGAAACACTGGTGTAAACAATTACCATGGAAACACTGGTGTCAACAATTACCATGGCAACACTGGTGTAAACAGTTACCATGGCAACAATGGTGTAAAGAATTACCATGGCAACAAGGGTGTAAACAGTCACCATGGCAACACTGGTGTAAAAATTTACCATGGCAACACTGGTGTAAACATGTCAGACTTGGTATTCAAATTTTCACAAGCATGTGGCACACAGCACATGTGAAATGCATGCAAAAGATGCCATGGAACTCTTGGAAGCTAGAACACATGTGTAATACAATATCGCAGCCCAAGTACAACATAAAACATTTAAACACAACAGGATCAGGATCATGTACGAACCTGTCCGTGTAGATCCGTGTTCAGGAGCATCAATGCACACGTGAGCGTGTGAACAGCATCTGTCAACAACAATAAGCAACAACAACTTACAGTAAACAAACAACACTGCAATGCATGTAGCATATCAGTCACAAAATTTGATGGCTCTATAGAACATGCAATGACTACAGTTTTCAAACTTTCAAGCAACATACTCATTTTACAGGTTGCTTCATACCACCTTTGTTTGGACAACTGATATCACTGATGTCTCTATGCCCTAAATGGGTTAGGGTTAGGATCAGGCATGGTTCTGGATAGTCCCTGCATATCCAAGAATGTAGATTTACCCCACGCACAGCTATCCAGAACTGTGTCTGAGCATGGTTCAGGATAAAGCACAGCTCTGGATACAACAGGTCCCCTACAGCCTTGTAAAGGCTCTGGGACTACCTACCTACCTACTATGTATTATAACTTTGATTGTTCCTACCTTCAGACCCGCACATGGCAGGGTTACACTCGTGGTAGCGGTGGGAGAAGTGCATCAGGACTCGTTCCCTCTCCTGGGTCTCTCCCGTTAGAGAAAATGCCTTCAAAAATGTCCTGGAAATCAACAAAGGAATGATGTTTTGAACACAATACAAAGAGAACACACATACATACACAAAAGACACACACAAATACAGACACACACACACACACATACACACGCACAAACACACACACAAACACACACACTCATACAAACACACTCACACAAACACACACAGATACACACAGCACACACATTCACACACACATAGAGATAGAAAATTTATAAATAACCGAGCTCTAAGCAATATTGAGTATTTGATCAGTTGTTGGGAAAGTGTTCCTACCTAAGTGCGATGTCCAGTTGATGCCCGCTGAAGTCAAAGTGCGCCAGGTACTCCTGCGCCACCAGGCGGTTAAACTCATTTCTGCAGGACAGAGGACAAAGCAGGCAGAGTCACTGTTACAGTAAGTTACGACAATATAGTATTTGATGTCAATAGTATATTGATAATAGTGTATGCTGTTCAACTCATTTCTGCAGGACAGAAAGTATTTTCTATTTAATACACACCAAAAGAAAATTTTGGATACCTAGGCTCCATTTAATTTTATTAGCTTCATACAAAACTACCGCACATTACAACGTGTGATCGTTCCTCTTCCACTGTGTCAGATAAGAAGTCAAATGCCAAGGAGCAAAGATGGAGTCAGTCGCAATGTTACGTTACGTTTACTGTTTGTTCATCCTTTTTGTGTTACTTGCAGTTAGCTTCAGGTAAGGATTTGTGAGAAATGTAAGTTTACACGATGAAAGTTAAGATAGTACTAACTTTTTACTAAGATGTCTCGCTACATCCGACTTCTTAAACCCGTCCAAGTTATAAAGTCTCTTCGCCAGCCTTTTGGCCGACGGAATGTCCACTTTCTTCGGACTCCCGGGTTCCCTGTCGAGCGCCAGGTCCACGTCCGAGTCCGAATCCGACCAGGCGCGCGACTCGTAAACCCCCTTTTCTTCCCCGTCACTGTCACTATCATCATCCTCGTCTTTCCTCTCATCTTTCTCCTCGATGTCCGGTATGTCGTCGTCGTCAATTTCCGCGTAGTCTCGTGCGAGCAGCGCGGCGTCACGCGGTAATGTGGCGGCCTCCGAGTAGCTCCGCGGGAGGTCGTGCGAGGTCGGGTCCTCCATGCTGCGCGGGCGGATCGGCAGCTGCAGCCACGGAGGCGGCTGGGGCGGCTGCGGGAGGGGGGCACACGGTGTTACACTTTTTGAAAGTATGTATAACATCTGTGTCCATAATATCACCAGGGTCCATAATATCACCACTTGAGAAATATTGTGCTTAAAGATATTTTTACTGCAACATACTTTTGGTATGCACTCCTGCACACCTCAAATGTACATATACCTAGGGTATGTTGCAGTAAAAATATCTTTAAGCACACTTTTTCTCAAGGTGACGATATTATGGACCCTGGTGATATTAGAGACACAGATGTTATGTGCAAAGCTTATTTCAACTAGAAAGGTAACATTTGTAAAGCAAATGCATAATGTCTACCTTCGCATATGGTCTGCTCTGTTTATTCTTACTCAAACACATTCATTAACGTTATATGGTCAGACAGAAGTCTAAATCCCTGACGCTATAAAACTGCAACATGATCAGGTCAGAGGTCAGCGTTTGGAACAGAAGAAGAAACAGAGCAAAAACAATATGTTTTCCTTCAGTAAACATTATATTAACATTGTTAAAATCTACATAATATATGAATATTGTGATTTCTAACATTTCATTACAGTCTTTTTATTTTACTGCCCAAGCATTTATACAGTCACACCTGCGCCCAAGTGGCCACAGAGGCAACTGGGGAGAGGGGAAGACATTTTTACACTTTACAAATTTCAAAAACAATTTTTTAAGATACATATACTGTAATTTGTAACATTTGTTATACAATGTACATTCAAACCTCCCCCAAGCAGCCAAGGAGGGGGCTGGGGTGGATGGGGGGGGGGCAGACTTTGGTACATAATAGACTTTGTGGAATGCACAAACTTATTTCAACAATCTTCAATATTATTATTATATCTTGTAATTTGTAACGTAACCTACCCAAGGGGACCACAAAGGAGGCTGGGGTGGCTGGAAAGGCGGGCAAAAACTGTTACACTTATAGAGTTATAATAGTGAATTTATTGTTGAAGAAACAATATTCTTGTTCCTAAAAGCTGAACAATGAAGTCAGAGTTAGTGCATGGTGGGAAGAATGCTGAGAAAATTGACACAGATATTAGAATGACACAATCACAATCATACAACATACAGCCAACAGCAAGTAAACATAATTATGGCAGCTGTTTACAAGAAAGGTTGCTGAAATAAATGATACAAATTAAAGGAAGGAAGGATAGAAAGATGAGGAAATGACAGACGTTGATGGTTAGAAGAATGATGGAGTGATAGATTGATGGATAAATGGATGCAGAATGCGAGTGCTTGAGGAACACAATCATGAACAGATGAATGAATGAATGAGAGATGGAGGTATGTAAAAGGATGACCACCCCAGCAGAACTCACTTTGTGAGTGACCACATGACCTATGAAGGTCAGAGTTCGTGCCATTTCTCCGAGAGAAGACTCGTCCAGACTGCGAGGTCTGACTGGCAGCTGGGGACAGAAGCGGGAGGGGGGCGGTGAAATGTATCATGTGAAGGAGCCATGAACATGACAGACTTGAGAGAAAGAACTTACATGTGTACTACATGACTGTAGCACAAATGATAGCTACACATTGTTCAATCTTGAATTCAAGTACTTATAAGAACATAAAAGTCTTAGCTTTGACCTTGAACATTTGTGTGAGCAAAAAGAAACCATCTGAACAACATGATCATTAAGATAACTTAGCTGAGCCATACAGGGAAAGATATTTACTTAATAGAAAGACAAAATACGGCTGCCTTGCTTTACATTCATACTGGATTGAGACAGAGAGAGAGAAAAGAGAATAAGAGAGAGAAAGAGAGAATGACAGAGAGACGTGATCCTTGCCATGATGAGAGATCGCTCATCCAGGCTCCGAGGTCGGGCCAGCTGGCAGCCGTGAGGAGTGAGGGAAGGAATGAAAATGAGAACAGATAACAGAAACATCCATTTTCATGTGACGAAAATGGGTGAAGAGTCACAGAATGAGTTGTGTGTTATATGAATGAAGGGATAATTAGATTAATCAATTTAATGAGATATCTGAACCTTTTGTCACATTTTGAGATGAGTGGCAAACATAAATGAATGAATGAATGACTGGAGAAATGAATGAATGAAAACCTTATTTTTCAGATGAATGGCACACATGGTTAAAATACATGTACATTGGAGCGAACAAATCCATATAAACAAAAACATTATCCACAACATGATACATAACTTTCTTTTTTGCTTCTCAAATTATCAAAGGTTAAAAATTAGCCTGAAGTCACATGATCCAGTCACTGTGTTAACAATAGCACTTCCTGAGTACCAGCTAACAAATTTGTTAAGTGTTCGTTAAGCTGCCTTCAACAAACAAACTGCTAACACATTGTTCATGTGTTATCTTAATCTCTCATGCACACAAACACACTGTATAACTCTTACCTGAAAACCCCATAAATAACTCATGTATTGTACATACAATGTCCATAAAACACCTTGCAAGTCATAGATTTAATCATAATATAGTGTAACTTCAAGTTGGGTGAAAAATCGTGATGGTTTCTGACTGGGCCAACATCTGATGACTGCACAGTTTCTGGCCAAGAACAGCCCCATGTGGTCACTGCAGTTAGTTCTTGAGCCTGGTCAAAAACAGTAAAACTTTGCCCCCAAGGATCTGTTGTAGATTATGTAGAGGATTAGTGTCAGGCCTAAATATTTTCACCCCCCTCCCCACAAGTAACATACCCTTGTTAAGTTAATGAGTAAGTAGTTAAACTCTAGCTGGTGCATTTTAGCAATAGGATACTACCGGCATTGCTGTGGAAGTTATTGTTTCAAGTTGAGTCACCAGAACAGTTCAACTGTTACAGATACGTAAGGTTGATTCAAAATAAGAGATTTCTTTCCTACCTGACCTAACGGTGGATTTAGCTGGTAAATCCTACAAGTTTTAGAGTTTGTCACGTTTTCGTGCTAAGAAGGAAGCATGAGTGAACGCCGGTGACCTCGCTATGGTTAAACAGGGTTGGGCCTCTTCATGTGAACTCACAGTGAGTCATTATTTATATTGCACGGCTCGTTTTGTTTCTCTGTTGGCTTTTCTGGCAGGGCAAATTCAAACGACTGTTTCTGGAACCATGAGCCAAAAATGGAACAATTGTGTTTTGTGAAAGTAAGCTCAGAACAATTTGGAAAAAATTATTCCTGACACATGCAGTCAATTTGAGGAAGGAATTTTTACTGATTTTTGAGAATAAAATAAACTTGAGCTGGATTGCAGAAAACAGGGCCTACTTGAATAGTTCAACAAAAGACCATAAGTACATCAAACAGGAAACTGAAGAATTAAGGTTTAGCTTTAAGTGTTAGTAGTAGTGTATACAAGTTATGTACTATAATGTGCAAAGTCCACACTGTAAACTGAGAGAACAAAACAGGCTTTGTCCAAAACACACAGTCCATGGACTATGCCTCTTTTTTCAGTAGAAACAATGTAAAAGGCAAAAGTAAAGGAAAGTGTTGTTTCATGTTCTACTTTTAAACTTCAGTAAATGGAAGCTTAAAGAGTGGTGAGACTGGCTAGGGCTGATAAAAATTTTCCATATCTTCATGTGGGAAATAAATGTAGAAAGCCCCCTAACTACTAGACTATCGTGTTCAGGACACCTGCATATCTACTACATTTAGAATGTACTAGTTAAAAAAAGACTGAACGAAAGCCACAAGCTACTGACATGCAAGTCCCATTCAGAGTCAGAAGCATAGCAGGAATATTTCCGTTTGTTTAAGAAGTGCATTTTTGTATGCACTGTCACAGCATTTACAGTCAGGCATTTACTATACACAACAGGCAGCTTCCACAATATCATTCAACTTAAAAAAAAACAGGGCTGCAATATTAATCTTTCAAAGCACATGATGTAAGTGTTTTTAAGTGCCTGTGCAGGGGGGACATCTAGCAAATCTGCTGCGTACTGCAGTAAGGAAGGCAATCAGGAAACATGGGGAAATGGCACCTTCTATAACTCGATCTGACCATTTCCATTTCTCTGTGAAAAAATCATGGTAAACATCTGGCTGGTTCTGGGCCACTTGTATGTGGACGTATTTACCTTTACTCAACAACTGTTTGCCTTAGAATGCTGTAAATTGCATCTAATAGGGTTTAAGATGCAAAATTTTCAAGGGAGCAATTTGCACTCGAACCTCCATGCAAACTCCAGGCATCGGTTTGGTTGAACCCTTGCTCCATACCAACATGAGAAAGCGAACATTTTGTTTGTTTTGCCTTGCCACCACACCAGTTTTCTTACACCAATACAGTAAGTTATATTTGTTTCCCATAACCTGTAAAACTGCCTTTGGGGGTGACTATTATTTGCGTGTACAGTAAATACGTACCTGCTGGTAGAGTGGGTTGTGATGCGTGGCCAGCCCGTGTCCGTCATGCATCACCGTGACTATCCTCTCGCTCGTGGCCGTCCCAGTTTGGGGGTCGACCCCGTTGATGACCGTTTCTCTAACTACGTGCATGGTGGGCGTCGTGGCCTCCGAAAAACCCGAGCTGCTCTCGGAAGATTTTTCCGGCGACTTCAGTCCCTCGAGTCTCCGTAAGGTGTGCGCGCCCGGACGCGTTTTCGACGGCGAGTGTTCGAGATTCACGTAAGTTTGCGTGCCGTCTCTCTCCTTCTCCCGTTTTTTGTGCACGTCGACAGAGACAGTTCTGGTGGGGGGGTCCGGGCGGGGCGGCCGCGGTGGGGCGGCTTCGCAGCTGTAGCCTCGCTGCACGTACATGTGTTCCCGCTCGGCCGCGTGCCGTCCGGGCGCTCGCCTGTCGAATGAACGCTGCGGCTTCACCGCGATCGGCGGCTTCTCCACATCCTTCACGGACAGAAACCTGTCGGATTTCTGCTCCAGGTTTTGCTGCTGAGCCTGTAGAGCCTTCTCCTCCTCACCTTCCACCTTCGCCTGCCGTACCAGCATGTGGGAGGGGGACCGACCCTGTAGTCTGGCCTCCGCACCGGTACCTACAGCAGATTATTACCATCATTATTAGATTGCAAAATTTATGTTTAACTTAGTAAGACAACTTTTTAAAAAGTATTTAGAAGTGAATGTAAATAGTAGTTAAAATGTTTGAATTTTACAGTGACTGTAATATGTTACGTAAGAGGACTCCAGGAAAAGTAGTGGGTGTATTGCCACAAATTGGAGGTTCCTTAAAGTGTTTATGTCAGTTCGATAAATAGCTAAAATCTCGTAAACCTCGTAAAATGGCTATGAAAACTATATGTCCCAGAATAGTAGTTTCGATATACTTGTACTCCCGAAAATTGAGAAATGAAGTTTGCACAGCTTTTCAAACAAACAAACAAACAAACAAACCTAACACGTCCAGGCTGCTTGACTTTTTCTGTTCCAGCTGTGCGTGGGGCTGTAAGGAGTTACTCCGCTGCGCCGAGTACAGCAGCTGGTCCGCGCTCGGGCTTTTCGTTCCCGACTCTATCCTCGGCGACGCGTTCGGAAGGCTCACGTCGAACGTCAGCTGACCTACGACCTTCCCGGGTTTTCCGTCCTGCGGCGTCTGCGTTGGCGAGCCCTCGCGCGAGTCCGTCTGGTCGCAGCAGTATCTGTGGTCGAACGACTTCGACCTGCTGGAGGAGTAAATGTCCAACAGAGGCATGGAGCTGTGCAGTTTGGACTGGATGTCTCCCAGACGCGGGTTACGCGTCACCACAGGCGGTTCCTCTGGTGGCATGGCCGGCTCCGTGTTGTTGTGAACCGGCGTGTTTGCGGTCGAGAGACATTTCCCCTCCCCCTCTGACTTGGCCCGCTGGCCGTGGTGCAGCTTCTTGCTGCCAGACCGGTGGTGGTGGTGTTCGTGGCGCGCGTGGCGCTCGTCGGACGCCATCTCGGGCGGGATCCCGTCGTACCCCAGGTGGGGCAGTGGCTCGTAGGCTGGGGGGGGCGGGGTGTGGGGGGTCGCCGGGCGGGGGGGCGGCAGCTGGGACAGCAGTTCCTCAGCCTTGTCTCTTACATCCGGATCTGAAACACACAAAAGAGTTAGGGTTAACTTTCATAATTATAATAAGTTAAACTTATAAGATGATGTATGCAATTTGATCTTATTATCATGTTATTCGATTGTACTATTTCATTAGTTAGTGCATTCAACAGTTTTCCCTATTTTCCTGTGTATCGATACTGATTGCTTTTGTTTCATCAAAATGTATATTTCTTGATTCTGTGCTAAAATATATTAGCAGCACTAGCAATTTGACAAAGAATTAATATACATCATGTAATTATAATACTATACAATTATAGCATTTAAGGGGAAAGCCTAGATAGACTTGTTTACAGAATACATGTAAACTCATGTTAACCCATAGAAAAACTGAGTTCTCTATTGATTTTCAAAATACATGTAACAATCATTGTCAGGAATATGCAGTATGCTGAATGTACAATTTGCTACACAAATGGTGAAGTAGCCGTCAAAAACCTTGTGCACAATTGTACAGCTTGGATGTTGGGTGCATAACTTATGCAGCCAGTATTTTGAGCCCTGTATATAGATGTACACAGTTGTTCACGTTGTGTCCCATGAAATGTACATGGATGTTATATCTTAGCCAGTATTTTGAGCCCTGTACATGTATACATTATTATATATCAGTTGTTCACGTTGTGTCCCATGAAATGCATGTTACACCTGATCAGCACCAATAAACCATGGGCAGCCATTTCGCGAGCGTGCCCCTGAACTAGCTCCTATATCATATGCCGCACGGCTGAGGCCAGAATCCAATAAAAAAACGTCTATGCTGTAATCATCCACATCTCCTGCTGGTATTTACTCAGGTTAGGACTCCGGGATCCCCGGAAAAAAATTGTTGTGTTTCTGGCTAACCGACTGAGCCTAGCAAAAACCTCCCAATCCTTGGCCTTTTTCTAACAAAACTGCACCCAGATATCCTATAAAAAAACGTAATAATAGTATGCTGTAATCATCCACATCTCCTGCTGGCATTTACTGGTTAGGTGTGGGGAAAAACACTGTGTTTCTGGTTACCTGACTGAGCCTAGCAAAAACCTATGGTCCAATCCTACTGAGCCTTTTTTTTTCAGTGGGAGATGGGGAATTTAGGGATGGAAATTTAAAATTATCCATCGGGGCATTTCCGTGATGAAAATATTGTTTACAAGCAGCGAAAACCTGCCAATCCTTAGCCTTTTTTTTTTAGTGGGAGATTGGGGGATTTAGTTCCAAAGTAAAATTTTACATCTGGCATTTCAGTGATTAATATTTTGTAGAATTGCTAATGCCAACGAAAAAGAGAATTTCGACCTAAAGACACTAGCCTCATTTGTACAATATTGTCCAGGACTGTCATCATTGGAAACACAATATTAACTGGGAAAAATAACGAATGAAAACATAAATTTATAACTATTTCAGAATCTATGCAATTTACACCATTTTGTTTCAAATTCTGGAACCTTGGGTTGCTTATAAGATTTTAGCCATACTAAATCCAACATTGAATTAAATGTTTTCCTAACTAAAATTAGGATTCAAAGATCACGGATATCAATTCAAAATTACACAATTTCAGCCAATAATCTCAGATCTTTCTTTCCCCATCACCATTTCTAACCCTTTCCTATCTAAATCTGGTCCCCTGAACTTCATACCCTCCAGCTCACTCTGTCTACATTACAGCTGAAAATGTCACCAGTCTGTCTTCATTGTACCACCGACATTACCATCACACGACTGTACCCAAGACTCATCTTCTGACATTTAAACATCGCTGATGGAAGCACTAAATCCTTAACAACTTATTGGGCATTTATTGATATTTATATGAAGATAAAATAAAGGTGATACTTTATTTGGTATTACAGAGATGGTTGGGAAGTAAGAATACATGTACATTTTATCATATTTCATTTTAAACAATATTAAGATTATCAGAGAAATAAAAGAACTCTGATATGCACAACTTGGATTTTGATAACAATATTTATATGAACGTTTTTAATTTTCCTCTCTTGATAATTCATATCTAATTGATAATATAATTATTAACTAAATTCTACAGTGTGTATTCTTGAAGTTTTAATCATACTAACTGCCATTTGGTAATCCCCAAAAGAACTGTTCACACTAAATTTGAAATCACATGCAGACCCAGACACATCCATGATAGGGCCACATCAATTTAATTCCTTCTTTAGGTGCTCAAATTTGCTAAATCCATTTTTTGCTGATCCTAAAAAATAATCACACAATATACCATATTCAGGATATGCATCTGTTCCAAAATGCTTAATAGAATACATTGTAAGTTGATACCATTATGATTCGGAAAATCCTTGATATCCTGGTTGTGAAAATTTTGAATTATTATATTCAACATTGTATGAAATGTTAACCATTTTTCTTAATTCCTGTGGTAGCATTTGGGCCTAACACACTTAAAAAAAAATTTCTTCCACTTGCTCCATTTATTTTCATCAAAAATCTGACAAAAACCACAAAATAAACTTGTTGTGGCCTAATCAGGTAATCTATTTCACTCTGTGCCACTAACGTATTGCATGATATGGCAAGCATTACAAATACAGCATCTCCTGTAATATTCAGACACTGTACATCTGTGCATGCAGGTAGGTGCATAATTCCTCCAATATCTCCAACCAGAAGTGCTTCATAACCACACAATAAATCAGACTGCAGAAAATAAAAGCGGATAACAGACAAACTGAGTCTGTCTCTACGGCGTGTTATTGCTTTTCAGATGAACTGGAAATTGATGACATTAAGGCTGAAAGTACGTGGATATTAGCTTGGAGGCAGTGAATTAGTTTTGAGGGGAGTGAATTTGCCGTGTGATGAATTCTCAGCCATGAAAATCGGTGAATCCGGTGCTGTAGCGAATGTGGGTGAAATGTAGCGATGGTCGGAAATTTGAGAAGCGTGAGAAAGTCGGGGTGCCCTTGAGCGGCGGAAGGTCAGAGGGTCCTACCTACATCCGACGTCGAGCCTATCCTCTCTTGTTTGTTTGTTTGTAAGACAGAAGGAAAACAAAAATAAGAAAACAATGGAAGCCTTAAACAATGACGTAGGCTTGAAATATCTAACTGTTAGAAAATGTGTGCAATATTTAGATGTGTTTGGTTTACAATATTATAACATATTCTTCATAAATGTGCTTAACATTTATTCTGCCATCTAAGTAGACCCTAATTAATCTTAATTGATTATAATCAGCGGTGCATGATTGATTTAATTAGTTAATCTTGCAAGAGTGTCCAGCAAGCATCAACTTAATTATCCTGAGTAACTCCTCATCAATTGTCCAAATATAACATGATGCATGGAGGCTGTGATGACTGGTTTCCATGGTGACAGAGAATCCTGAGCTCCTATTGGACTGATTTTCACAATGATAAAGAATCCTGAGCTCCTATTGGACTGATTTTCACAATGATAAAGAATCCTGAGCTCCTATTGGACTGATTTTCATAATGATAAAGAATCCTGAGCTCCTATTGGACTGATTTTCACAATGATAAAGAATCCTGAGCTCCTATTGGACAGATTTTCAGTGTTAAAGAATCCTGAGCTCCTATTGGACTGATTTTCACAATGATAAAGAATCCTGAGCTCCTATTGGACTGATTTTCACAGTGATAAAGAATCCTGAGCTCCTATTGGACAGATTTTCAGTGATAAAGAATCCTGAGCTCCTATTGGACTGATTTTCACAATGATAAAGAATCCTGAGCTCCTATTGAACTGATTTTCAGTGATAAAGAATCCTGAGCTCCTATTGGTAATTCTGGGAATGGGAACGATTCTCTGGTTAGAGTGTATGGCTACAAAGTGTCAGGGAGGAGGCCCAATCAACCCCTGACAGAGAGATATTGTGTAACATGGTCTACTATACATTGTTCCAAGTTTTGGCCAACTGTTCCTTTAGTAACAAGGGAGTATTGAACATTTACATCATACAATGTCAACTTAAATGTGGCTAATCTTGGGGCCCCCTAGCAGCTCTGATGGAAACTGCACATACCAGATACAAAATTATTGCACTGACTGAGTGGAGCTTTGTGCTGAGACTCGGTAACATATTCCAGACTGGTTTTCTTCAAATTTATGCGAACAAATGATTTTGAAATACACTGGTCATCAATTTTTCCACAATAGCCAACAATGCTCCGTCATAAATTCATAATCACACACAAATTGGTTATACAATATGTGCTTGGCACATGTGGCAAAGGACAGGGTTACAATGTAGCTTTATTGCCGCGCTACAGTCTTCAACCGTGACAAGAAATACGTGGCAAATTTTGATATCGTCTGGACGGAGAAAAGATGTGTCCATTTGTGTGATCTGTCTTCATGAAACTGCAGGAGTTGTGAGGGGAGTAACGAGAAATCAATACAGGAAAGGGAGACGCAGGCTGCCTGCATATATACACACTGTGACAGGGCAGGGCAGGGGGAAATCAGTGATGGGGTTCTGGTTACAGTCCTGGAAAAATTATTGTCAGAAGGTCTAGCAATATTTTTGTTTGTTTTAGATCTTAGCAATTGAGTTTATCTACTGAACTGTATCAGGTCTTGGTATTTTTTAAATTACCACTTGTTTTGACTATACCGTGTTGTACAAAGACAATTAGTATTAAAGCTCAGCAGAAAAAAGGGCAACTTTGCTACATACACATTGATGTATTATTCTGTACAACAGAAATGAGGAAGAACATGTTGGACAACAATTCTACAAAATAGTTGGCTGTCAACATTTTAATTCTTCTGATGAAGAAAAAATAATGTTGAACAGGAACTCAAATTAAATGAAAATGGCAAATTCTGAGGGAAAGTATCAGTTTTATGCTGTATTATATAGACTCAGGAAATTTCCTCCAAGCCCTTTCACCAAATTTTTCCTTTGAAATGTCTGGCAGCCATAGAAATAACCTGGTGTGGCTTAAAGCCAAGTCATTAGTTTAAGGAAATTCAATGCACAATTCTTGAGGCTTCCTTCCCCAGATTTTTCCTAAGGTTAAAATGTCTGACAGCCAAAGAAATAACCTGGTGTGGCTTTAAGTTAAATTCTAGCCTCTAAGTCGTTAGTTTAAGGAATGCACTATTCTTGAGGCTTCCTTTTCCAGCATGCAGGCCGCTGCCTTGTCATAGATTTCCAGTGCAGGAGTGGCAGACTCACAGGCTCACAATGCCACAACTGTTGCTGCTTTACTGACTCAGAGGATTTTGCAGTACGTTTTCATTCCCCTTCAGCTACATATTAGCTCAGCGCCAATGCATTTACATTCACATTGGTTCTATTGTCGCATTTTTGTAGTGTCCTACCTCTTATTGCAAAATAATGACACTGTAAATATGTGTCATCGAATTTTTTAAACCATGAACTTCAAAGGTCAAAAAAATTATTTTTCCTCTCATATCAAAAAATAAAATCATCACAAAAATACATTTTGTAGATGTAATTTAAGTAACTTAAATAAAAGAGGTACAGAAAAATGAAAATCAACTATTGAAGTTTGAACTAACATGTTACAACATCCTGCTACACTCTATAACTGCAATATTTGAGCTTGTTCAAAACTGTTCCTGGATATTCTCTGTGACTTCCAATTGCAGACACTTGAAATTTTAAAACCCTATGGATTTACAGATGGAGTCCTGGCAACCAAACCGAAGGTCTTCTTCAAGGTCGATATCTCAGGTTCTATTTATACCGTGTGAAGGTCAAATTACCGCCAAGCCAAAAGGGGAAAATGTCCCTGTCCTCACCAGGATGCAAGGTCAACATCTCGATCAATTTTTCTTTCTTTAATCCCAAAAAAGAAGTTCTGAATCTGATACCTCAGGTCATTGGTTGAACTAAAACCAAAGGACACCTTGCCCTAGGGTCAAGGGTGAGGGGTCAAAGGTAAGGAGGGCTCTAACTCACCCTCTCGTAGGGCCAAGACAACATCTTCGTTGGAATTCTGCACCAGGTTTAGAACTGCAGAAAAACAAGACGTGAGGTTAGTTACACATATAACAGATAGAAATTGCAGCAGGAATTTGTGTCAGCCCAATGTTCGGACTCTGAAATGTAGGGAAAATAATTTAGTAGCAGGCTAAAATGCTACATATCAACAAGAAACATCGATGTCCCAAAGTCAGCATACATGGTCAGATTATCAGAATATGAAGCTTTTACAACATACTAAATAATAATGACATATTTAGCGAGGGGAACATATCTTTTTTCATTGAATTGCATTTGGTTTTGGAAGCCTCTTAAGTTCACAGTTCTCTTCTAGCTTCACAGTATTTTGAACCATGATGTCTGACCATGGTGCTGAAAGATCTGTTGTCACTAATTCAGGGTCTGTACATGACCATACATGTATAACAGTCCGTTCAGGAATCGGTACTATGTCATGTTTTGTAACCAAACACCACACCTTCCACAGCATTTTGTCTGTATGTGGGTACCATGAAAACCTAATTCTATGATAATAAGAAAAACACTATACACCACCAGGTCTATGGGAGCTACTCTAACTCTACTGTGTCAGAGTTTAACTACAGTGGTCTGCCCCCTCCCTCCCCATGGTGTAGTAATATAGCACATTTACACATGTTAAGGTAGTTTCCCTATGCAGTGCCATCCCTACTGCTGAGCCTGATGGTCCCTAATGGCAGCTGCCCACAGTGGGAACAGTTTATCCCAGTTCTGTAATGACTTATTCCCGCACAGTTCAGCACCTGAGCCTGGTAACAGCATTAGTAAAGGGGACAGCACACATCACACACACATCAGGCATAATGGTTGGCTGGCATAAGGTTACAATATCCTTGTGCCTAGGTAAGAAGTATCAAATTTTAAGAACCCAACACACTTATTCAGAAAAAACTTGTATTTCCCCATCGTAGACTGGAACTCATTGCCACCAAGCACAGTCGGGGCATCATCACTAGAAAGGTTTAAACAACTCCTGCAATTAAATGTGCAAAGATTGAGTGTAACAAATCGTTCGGTGTGATATAGCTAGCTGCTGCTGCGCCGCGTGCCTGTGAAGCTGGTGTGCTACGCGGGAGGGCGGTTATACCAGCTACTCTGATACAGAACAAGATTGAGAGGGCACGGGTTCGATCCAGGGTATCATTCCTGGCGAGATATTGTGTCCTTGTGAAAGGCTAACTACAAAACTTTTGAATTCCTTACTCTACCTATGCGTAAAATGGGTACCTGACTTTGGTTGGGGTGGCAAAAGCCAGTGGAAAGAGAGGGATGGGCTTCGTTTTCCAATATTGTTTTTCAATACCGTGCCCTAGACACAGTGCACTAAAAACCCAGTCTGCCCCTACGGACTCAAAACTGCTATGGCCAAGGTTCTGGCCTACCTTTAACCTAACATTTACCTACAATATTGAATCTGTATTCAAGCATACAGCAGTCGTACAAATATTGTTCTTATTGGGTAACCATAGCCGGTAAGCTTCATTCACAGTCCGCATAAAGTGTCCCACTGTGTCCATTAGAGTCAGCAGGGGATTGTCATGATTGGTGTCAGACTGCTGATGGAGGATCAATACAAACTGTACTGGTCCTGCACCCGACATGTACAGTACAGGCGAGGGCATGCTTCTAATTTTTAAGTTCTATAAACTGAGGTGTGGTCACCTCTGCTTGGGTAGTTTAATTCATTAAAGTTTACTGGGTTCTCTGATACTGTTTCAGTGTAATTATTATCAATAAGTTTATTCTTGCCTGAAGGCTAATTGTAAGTTAAGAGCAGTTGTTTAATTTCCTTTTCTGTGCAAATGCCAAATATTAGGATGGAATTTTGTGGCGTAACTTAATTGACAATTTTCTATAAAATGATGATTGCTATTTTCAAGTCAACATTGATGCAAAAAAAAGATTTAAAATGTTAGGTATTAGTCTTTATCTTGGCACATAAAAATGTAGTCATGGAGTTTCTGAAATACACATTTTCAGGTTCAAGTTTTCCTTCTAACTCCTTTTTTCATGCTGTCTACATGCTTTATTTTTATTTATTATTTTGTACTTAAGGTGTTTGAGAGCAGGGTAAAGCTTAGAGTAAAAAATCTAGCTAGCATGGATTATTGCTGTCAATTTTGATGATAAGTGTTACCGTAACCGTTTTCTTTCAACACGGGTATGAAAAGAAAGGAATCAATAGAGATTAGTGGAGCTGCAGTGTTTTGGTACCTGCTGGTTCATGCATCACTCCTGCCAATAGTGGGGGGAATAAAACGATGAATAAACATCATTAATGGGAAAATGTCACATCTTATTATACTCAACATGGGGCATGTTTGTCATACATTAAACATTTCACACAACGTGCCAAAAAACAGTTACTCAAGCAACTGGATATGATTTTGATTTTGAAGATTTCAAAATCATATCCAGTTGCTTGAGTAACTGTTTTTTGGCATATCGTATTACCTGGATGTCTAACCTTCATCGACGTATTGGACACAACCTTTGAAATTAATGGCATATCCCCTATTGTCAATACTCAACATGGGGAATGTTTGTCATACATTAAACATTGGCACAATCTCTGAAATTATAACTAATGCAGCTTATCAAAGTAAGGACAGACTGAATATGAAAAAGCCACCATAGATAAACTCAACATAGAATGATGGCTAATAAAATTCTTCACATCACATTTTCTATTTGAGATAAAAGAATAAAATGTAATATATACTAAGTGATTACTAGTGGAGCCTTAGCAATACACCAAAATTCATGCACGAAAGATACCAATGGATGAAATATACACATGTAATGTAACTGGTTCCCTAAACTGATAGCATAGCAGGAAGAGATTTTTTACACAAAGAAAATACACACAATAAATTGCCTATTCTGTATTTTTTTCAACAACAAGCCTAGGACAATGTTACACAGTTTTGTTATCCATGAATATTTGGATGCCTTAAACATGTCCAGAACCGGACAAATTAGTATGCCATTACTGTCGGACCAGGGTTAAACGACTGTCCACTTCCACCGATGATGCCCTACTTTGACAATGCAACCATAAATCCAACCCTCACACGTATAACACAACGTTAACAGACATACGCCCACCCTCCCTTCCCTCCACATGACCGTGAAGAAATAAACAGAGAAAATAAGCCGCAAAATTTGGCAGCAAACGAGACGGAATCTGAACCACCTTCCAGGCTCCAGTCGATCCACTCGAGGGCCTCCGATATCTCCATGTTGGCTGCGTGCATGTCTCCGGCTCGATCCGATCTTGCTCGCTAACAACCTGATATCCCCGTTATCTCGTCCGGTTCTGATCGGGACGTACGGCTCGCAAACCGCGATCGCGAAGCAGACAGGAGTTACGAGTGTCGGGGAGAACCTACGGCAGGTTCCTCAGGCATCCCGTGCTCCGTGTGATGGACGACAGCGGCGTGCGTTCGCGTTGCTCCGTCCGGGGAAAATGGCACGTTTCCGTGGCAGCGGCGCGGCAGCCACAAATGACCCGGAATGAGACGTTTTATGGCTCCGTGAATTCTGTAATTAATTCGTGGGGAGGTAATCTGAATACCAATCTCTGCAGCCTCCACAGGGCAACTCCAAGTCCTTTCTGCGGTTCTTGCAATTGAAAAGTTAAATTTAATTCATTCTTTATTTCAGGCACACGGCACATATCAGAACATAAATTAAAAAATACCGAATATCGGATATACAAACATTAAGTATAATAGAAGAGAAAAAGATTAAAGTACAATTTTACAAAATACAATGTATATATAATTATATTCTGTACAATTAACTAACATTTTCCTTGCAAAAACTGTCATGGAAACAGATACTAAAGCGAAAGTCTGTACCTTCAAGTTGGTACACTTAAAATCACATTTTAGAAAATGAATATTACTATCGTTCATATTTATGTATTCTTCGCAGATAGTTTTTGTCAAGTCTATTCTGTGGTCCTTGCACTTTAACAAAATGATGAACTATATTTCAAACACGAAAACAGATTCTGAAGGGAAAGTCAACACCTTGGTACACTTAAAATCACATTTTAGGAAATATTATAAATATTGATATATATAGGCAGGTAGGCAGGGAGGTATTATTAATATTATTCATATTTATGTATTTTTCCCAGACTGTTTTTGTCATTAGGTTTTGAATTTTAAATTAGATCTCCTAGAAGCAAAGAACGAAATTGTGGCAGCCTACAACACTGTGGTACAAGCTGGCAGCTCTAAATGCCCCAGGCCCCACACTGAGGATAATGTATGACATAATGAGCACAATCACTCCTAATTTCCTACAGTAATCCCTGCTTTTCTCCCAAACCTCCCAACAAATATCACATCTTTATTGCAGCTAATTATGTCTTTGTCAGGGACATAATGATGTTTATGAACATTTTCATAATGTGTAAATTGTGTCATATTAATATTTTCATAACATGTAATTTGTGAACACTTCTGTGTGTGTTAGCTTTCTGATTATGACTGATTTTTTAATCATAAGCTTTATTGTTTATTCCTGATTGCTCATAATATAAATTATGCTGAAATGAATCCAAATACAATGTAGTAACAGTAGCAAATTACCCCCACAACCAGTAAGCAGTAAGCAGTCACATTGTATATAAGGCACTGGTTTTGGTTAGAAAATGCAAGGAACATAAAAGAAAAAACAAAGCAGAAATGACTTTAAATTTTGTCATATATGTTCCCTGAATCTTGTTATTCCTGATTGCAGATATCATCCCAAAATGATCCACAAATTAATGTACCTAAAGTATGTACTGGCCAGGTCTAGGTTGGAAAATGTAAGGAACATAAAATAAATATTAAATCCAAACAGAAGTGACTTCAATTTTGAACATATTAAATGTTGCCCGGAACTGTGCCATCCCAGTGCCACCTTCAAAAATCATTGATGGAACTTTAATAACAAAATCCATTCACCCAGATCCATATCATAATTGCGATGTTATCCCCGTCCCAGAGGTTATGTTTCCCCATATGGAGGGGCAGATTGGTGCGTCAGGTTTGATGGTGATGAAGATGACAGTCGCATGACTCGGAGCAGCTCATGGATTTGTCGGTGGACCGGATTTATCCAAGGTAACCTCACTGGTTAAGTTTTTATGTAACACGCTGGACTCAAAATACTTTTTTTCTGTAAAGCTGGACTCAGGTGCAGGCAACATTGAAAATTAGTGCACAGCTACAATTTTACCTGCACTAGCCTGCATACGCAGGTGGTATTTCAAGCCCTGCTGAGTTAACACACAGAAGTTAGGACAGCAGGCTTGGTCAAAATAGTTCTGGGGTTCTAGGCCACACTTGAATTCGAAGTATGTGTAGTCCCATGGTTTGCAAACCCTTACTGGACCTAGAAGTTGGGATTTCGAATCCCAGCTGTTGTCGCTTATCTAACTTCATGTTTACTACTTACAATGTATACTGTCAAACCTTCCTGAGCACTTAGATTTCATAATGAAGGCAGCTTTCATTTTTGCCCAATTTCTTCTTTCTTTTTGGTGTCCAGATAGAGGATGTCATCTATATTATCCAAATCAATATGGCCTAATGGGAGGGAGGACTTCAACCACCTGAACTTAGATAACGTCAACCAACAGGACAGAGGCAAGTGGCGTGCTGCCATCAAGCCTCAGCATCAGTGTGCAAGCACGTCTAACCCTCGGAAGACAGGGAACAACAGATGATAAACCGGACAGTGAGTATGAGTACATGTGTACGCCAAAAAGCAGTTACTCAAGCAACTGGATATGATTTTGAAAACGTCAGACGTTTCAGCTAGTATCCACTTAGTCTAGCTTTCGTCAGTGACCACAGGGGAAATACAGGTTTATAAGCACAAACTATTGAGTGATATGCAAATAAAGTGAAGTCGAAAAAGGAACAAAAGTCAGACAAGTCAATGCAAATTAGTCAGAAAGCTGAGTTGCAGCAATGGTGCGACTCCTCCACATCACACACAGCAGGCGGGGGCGTATCAACGCTGCCGGATTGCAAAATCCATATCCCAGCAGTCATAGGGGTCAGGAAGGCACCATTACTGGCACAGGGGTGGACAGGTGATTTTTTCCACTTACCATCTTGCAGTCCTACCCAATGCAATTGTTTCTTTACTCTTATTTCTTGAGGGTTTCTCATAATTAAGCGCCTTGCATTTTGCTCCATCCTCAATGAATAAATGTGAATGAAATAAAGATTAGAGTGCACATTTGTGTATTATTTATCTGTGATGTGTCTAGAACTGATACAATACCATACAAACTCTCAAGAATCCATGAGGTACTCTCAAGAATATATTAGTCATTATATCACCTAGGATTATGCATGGGAATTGGTGAAAAATAAGAGTCATGAAAATTGACTTTTTTTGTCAAAATAGCAAAAATAAAATAACATAAAAATGACAATTTTTTTTATCCACCTACTAAGGGAATGGCTATCATAGATTACCCAAGATGCACTCCTGCCATCAAGCTGACATTCCTCCCGACTGCTGACCTTTTGACCTTGAGGAGAACTGTCTGATGGGAAGGCTGAATAATACATGTTCTAACATCTGTCCTGTCCTGGAATAATCTGCAGTAAATCGACGCGGGACGCTCCTCTTTAATTGATGCCAGTCGCGGCCCGGTGCGGTAATTCACACCCCGGTACCAGGGTTGGCCTTGACTTTGGCACATCAAGTCGTCCCGGAAGACAGGACTGTAAAAATCCAATAAGGAGCCAGTCTGCAGAACCATAACTCTTACAGACCCTGGGCTGAGCCTAATGTGCATACATGTAGCTCAGTTTTCTTGTTGGAGCTACATGTATTGTACATGTACGGTCATAACTAGTAAAAACTGATAACATCTGGTCTGTGTGTATAAATTATATATTAGGTGGTCACAACAGACTGGATTGCTGAACCTTTAGCCTTAAAACTGGGGACATCAGGGATGTTTTGGATTGTTAATGCTTGTGTTCACAGGGAAAATTATGTAAGGGACTAGAAAATAGTGGACACTTTAGCCAGAACCTGGTGGTTCTGTGCAGAGGTGGTCACTTAGTGTACGTACAGGTATACACGTATAAATTGATTGTGCTTGTATGCAGAAGACAACGAGATTGTAGTTTGGGAAATATCTGGATCTTAGATTTGGAACAAACCAAGTTCACAATAAATTTATTATTCTAACAGGATTCATCCCAGATGTACCATATATATAGAAATGTCTGGATCCTTAATTTCAGGAAAGAATACAGTGTCCTGAGATGCATTTGCCAGTCTTTGATACCGGTAACACTGGCTTCTACATACAAAATTGTCTTTATTTTCAAATCTTCACGTCTCCTCCTTTATCGATATTCCTCCTCACCCCACTTGCCACGTGTCTAAGATAATATGAAAGGTTCTCTGTCTTCATCAGTTTTTATCCAGGGCAAATTCTCTCATTTTCCTCTCCCAACTATCGCTGGCCTGGATTCATTTCAAAATATTAATCATGTTTCACATGGCTGGTAGTTTTGGACTGGAGACTGGATGGAAATTTAAAAGTCACGAACTCAGTAACCACTAAATGCTTGGTGCATAAAGCAGACAAAATTTCAGTCTGTATCTGCATCTGTGTATCTGGTATAACCACCCCTCAGCATAATGCACCACCTTCCCATTATAACAAACAATTTGTTACACCTAAGTCCTTGCACATCTAACTCTAAACATTGTTTAAACTTAAATCAAAGCTATCTAGTGACGATTCAACTACCGTACTTGGTGAAAGCAAGTTCCACTCTACGATGGTGACCCATGTTTATTGGTTGTTGATCTGAACCAGAAACCCTGTACTGCATTCCCCCTGCCCATGTCCATGACTGTTCCAACTCCAGGAGTAATCTGCCTGTAATTACAGCACAGATTGGAGCCACCTCATTCATATCCTACTGTGGCCCACAGGGAACCATATATATAGGAGGTACTGTACATACTGCTTAATGATATGTGTACTAGTCAGAGTTATTTCTTTTTAACCTTCTCCATGCTGCCTAAACCTGTAAATAAAATATTGGATTTGCTAGCTATAGGCAAGTGGTTACTTCAGTGTGCTTAGGGTTAATTTGCATACTCGGTCACATTCACAGCCAATCCTATAATTATTATAACAGCTATCAGCTTATCATAAACTATACATATTATACATGATAAACTGATAAATGATATTGTACAATAATCTACCTGGTACTTCAATTTGCATTATAAATGATGATATCATGTACACTGTGAGTCAATTATATACCAGCTTATTATGAGAAATGGAATCAAGAAAACTTTCGTTTCTAGTAAACTTTCATGATGACATCTACACACAGAAGAACTATCGTGCTAGTTTTTGTCTTAAAAAAAAATCCTACCTTCATCTTTGGAGAGCCCGTGGACCGGTCTGCCATCCACTTCCAGGATCACATCTCCCACATGGATCTGCACAGGACACAGGACATGGGTCAGTAATGCCATCTGTCTGGCAGATATGGTACTGCACCTCAGGGGGCCCTCAAGACTCCCAACAAGTTCATGGCAAATGGAATTTTTAGACATAATTTGAGCTTTTTTCCATAAAATCAATACATTGATTGGTACACTAGTTATGCACAGGACACAATTGCATTGTACTCTGTCTATCTGTACAGAGCTAAACCAAATGTCTCAGGAATGCCCCCTGTCTGTGACGAATGGTACTGCAGAGTCTATAAGAAGTACACTTGATCTCCATATACAGTATTAAAGGTTTAGGCTAAGTTTCTTTTACCATAAACCTTTCTTTGAGACCAAGAAGACAGTTTTTCACAAATCACATCACAACATGCCACTTATTTTTAGAAGCTGATGACAAGTAGATGTAACAGTTCAGCCAACTGCTTTCTCCAGTTCAAAAGTGCCACCTTTGTCCTGCAATTGGTACTGCACCTCACATGTAACATACAGGTAAGGGCAGAAAGCCAATACCAATATTTCTCTATCAGTGGTTTTTACAAACTGCCAAATGACACCCATGCCTCCACCCTATAGTTAGTGAGATCTAGGAATATATTCTTATTTGCATTTATTTTTTTTCGAAAAATAGTTTTTCATCATCATAATCTGTAACTTACCGCATTTGTCCTTTTTTCTAACAAGGGATGTCTCGCCAATAATTAATTTGTCCAATCTACATGTTTTCACATTTTCTGCCCACCCATGGATCTAGACCTGTTTGAGGCATTTTTACATTAACCGAGTCTAAACCAGAAAAATTTTAATGTTTAAGCCTTATATTTCATTACAAAAGGAGAGTCTTAATGCTGACGGACCTCTGACCATTGGTGCCAAACTGATGAGGTCACTCCAGATCATTGACCTTTTGACCCTTCTCTATATGATGACATTTAGGATAACAATACCATCGCTTTCACTGACAGGTTCTGAGAGACAAGTAAATTAATCTCAATTTTCAAGCACTGAAGAGAAGCAGTAAAAAGCCTATAATATAACTAGGTCAGACTGACTTTCTACTTTATTCCATGTTGTGAAGCTAGAATATTATTTTCTATGTGATGCCTACATTGTAAATTGTATTTTGGGTTAGGAGCACTCGGAAGAACAAATACTGACAAAAAAGGACAAAAAAATGATCTCGATCTAGTTTTAGATCACTGAAAAGCTAATCTCATCACAGTGGTCGAGACAAATAAGACAGACGCAATGTATAGTCTTTACCATAATTTATGGAGTCTGAGTTGATTGAGACCCAGCTTTAGCTAATGATTTTCAATGCAGCTTTTCTGTGGTTCTTACATTGCGCATTGCATTAATGCAACAACATGACACTTTTTAGATATTATACAGACTTTAACATTACAGATTGTACAGAAAATTAACAAAAAGAAAATTAAAAGAAGTAATACAACGTTAAGCATTCAAGGTGCCCATATACCGTGGTCTTTATTGCACATATTAAAATACCTGACATATTGCACATAAGTATGTCATGACACATCAGAAATTATACAGTCTATACAATGTATAGAACATTCAGAAAAGAAGTGATAACAGCACCCTTTATGAGGTCCATATACAATACTACAGAGTACATCATTAAGTCTGTCTCCCACTCATCCCAATCCCCATCTACGCCGCATCTGTCGCGTTGCCATGCCAACCGCGGCTCTCGGCTTGTCGTCATGCTCTATTGTTGGGCCGGCGTGACGTCAACCCGTCTGCTCCCAGATGGAAATAGAAAACGGGCCGTCAGAAACGGCGCGCTGTTTCCTGTCACATGGCAACACTGCCGGCTGCCTCAAATTTACCTGCCGTTTGGTAAAAATAACTACTGACAGTCCTCCCGGTTATAATTTCATCTGGTTGGTAGAACATACATGTAGGATATTGGTATTTTTTTTATACACAACCAGCAGGTATTCTTCCGAGCTTGCTTACTGCTACATAAAGCAAAAAGCAGTACTCCAGTCAGAATCTCTGAGGAAGGTGTCTGATAGACATCGAACATAAGCAAGGTCCAGTACTGACAGTGTATATATCTATAATAATTGGAGATTACACTGTTCGAATTCAGATAGTATTTTAGCAACTTGAAGTTGAACATGCACTTGTAGTATATTAAATTATCTCACACGATATAATAATTGTTTGTCATATCTGTCTCTTGTCTGAGCCAAATAATTGACTGAAAACCTCATATTTCGTATATATATAATATATAGATTGTAACCCAGAATCTTCACTCAGAATCTAAACAGTGACTGTCACAGCAGTTCTAAACAAACAACTGATAAAATTAAAACGACCAAACTAAGCATGCACAAATTTCAGATTGAAACAGTTTCTAGACACCCTGACCAAGATGCCATCCACAAATGCGGAAGCAGTTTCCAGATGCCCCTGACCTCTATCACAAGTCCTCATCAATTCTGCGCAGACGTCCCTACGGGCTATCAACCGCCGAATTGACCAATAAAGATGCGCCCCTGATAACAACACGTTCGGCAGAAGCGCGAGAACCCGCCCGTTAATCGCTGCCGTTCTGACGCTCCGCTGCCCCGCCCACCCAGGTATGAAACAAGATGTGATCTGGCCTCGTGTTGACGTCAGGGCGGGTAAGTGGTGCGTAAGTGTGGGGAGAGGAGGGAGACAATCTGGGGTGTTACTCATGAGGGAACAGATTCATATTCTACCTGCCTTTCTTTATACTGAGGGAAATGCAGGTATATCAGGATTAAATGTAGATATACCAAGCATCAAAACAGCAAGCAACTGGACAGATTTTCAAAATTATTTGGCAGTTAGTTACCTGAGTAACTGTTTTCTTGTATACTATTAGAAGGTTAGACATCTCATTATCTGGATGTCTAACCTTCATCAATGTAGCTATATACCATATTCTATTCTATTTTAAGTTAATGTAACAAAGATATGTGATTTACTAATAGTATGTATTCTATAATAAGTAGGGTAAGTGGTGCGTAAGTGTGGGGAGAGGAGGGAGACAATCTGGGGTTTTACTCCGGAGGGAACAGATTCATATTCTACCTGCCTTTTCTCATACTGAGGGAAATACACTCTGGTACATGTATATCAGGATTAAAATTGTTCTAGATATAATGACAAGGACAATGAACTTCATTGCATATTCACGCCCTACATGGGCCAAATGAACTAGGCTTAGCCTAGATAACTGAGGTACAAAGGAAGGAGGAACTACATGTACATTTACAAATGTATGTCACATCTACATGACTGTATATCTACAAGATATAGATGTGACATTGTAATATGCTACAAAAGAATATGCCACCATTGTTTTATAAATTATGTATGATTGTATGAAATAATGTCAGATTGAGCTAGTATATGTAGCTGCCTATCGTCCACATGTAATTGTCTTGCTGCAGTCCCAATACAGTTTCCACTACACAAGCACCAGGTAGGAATACCAAGTGTAACCCCAGGCATAGGGAGCCAGGATGCCTTACTGTAGCTTATTGGTCACATTAATCCACAGTTTACTGCAACAGACTGGATCTGACCAGACTGTGAAGATTCACAGCAGACAGTGCATACAATTGGACCACAGTGTATACGTACAATGTCATGTACATGTACATGTAAAACTATGTACATGTCTCCTAGATTATACATGTAACATCTGTGTCCATAATATCACCAGGGTCCATAATATCGCCACCTTGAGAAAAAGTGTGCTTAAAGATATTTTTACTGCAACATACCCTAGGTATGTACATTTGAGGTGTGCAGGAGTGCATACCAAAAGTATGTTGCAGTAAAAATATCTTAAAGCACACTATTTCTCAAGGTGGCGATATTATGGACCCTGGTGATATTATGGACACAGATGTTACATGTATGGCCAGTGTATACATATAGCAATGGCTCATGACTCACTCACTCACTCAAGACATTATACGTATTGCAATTCATTGCTAAAGCTGGGAACCACCATCATCACATACATATTTAAATTAAATATTCTACTGGGGAAAAATAACATTTTCTAAAACAAGCAAGCACACTGGTCTAGCCTATAAGCAAGACAGATGTATAATACGTCTTTCTCGTCACATCAAGTGTAGCAATGACTCACCACTCAAGACATACAATGTACATGTACTGTTAAAAGCTGGCCTATGCGAACCACCCTAATAAATACCCTTATTTACCCTTGTTTAACTTTAAGAAAAAACACTATAATTTTGAGGAATGAGAAAACATTTTTCTAAAACAAGTAAGCACACTGGTCTAGCCTGTAAGCAAGACAGATGTATATATGTCTTTCTCGTCAGATCAAGTACTAGATATAATCTCCTTCCCCTCTGGCTACCAGATACAGTGTATATGCAGACCGTATCTTGCATCTGATAGTCAGACTAACTTCCAATTGATATGATAAGGGTTGCAGCCATACGTTAGGCAGAATCTGTAGATGGAAGAAACAGAATTTGAGTGAACTCAAAACAATTCTGATATGCAGATACTGTATCTTCTTGACTATATATTCATCATCCAAAAGATATGATGGGGATGCAGCTACTAAGTATGCATTATGAAGATGGTTGGATTTGTAGAAGGCTTCAAGCAGAATTTGTATGATTTCAAAGCATTATCTTGGCATGCAGACTATATCAAGAATCTGATAGTAGTTCATTGATATGATATATGAAGCAGCTGTACATTATGGAGACTTTATCTGCCAAATTTGAAGAATTTGTGCGATCTTTAAAAATTCCTGTAGTTTTTTTTGGTAAGAAGCATTTCTCAAGAAATATGCAAGAACACACTGATATATAATGCTCCCACCACACACACACACTGTGCCCCCCACCCCCACACACACGCACACAAACACACGTGTCTCATTTCTGCTACGTACATGTACATTGTAGGTCTCTCTCTACTGTACATGTCCT